AGATCATTGAATATTTCACTTGCGACTGAAAACTGTGATGTAAAGAAATCTCTTTTTGACCACATTTCAAGATGATTGGAACATTGCATTCCCTTCCCTGAAAGATGCTGGAGCATTGGTGGAAAAGTTCATCTTCTCCATTTTCTTTTATGCATGATAACAGGAAATGAAAATGGGAGTGTATAAGCTATTTTTTACAATTTTTGAACCATTTTTGGCATAAGACGCGTATTAATTTATGTATATTCTAGTCTCCGCTTTGCGGGTTCAAGCCGAGATTCTTCGATTGGAAATAAATGACGTACGTAAATATATCGGTTTAAAAGCCGTTGACTTTGATAGGAGTTAATTTTTAGCACTAAATATGTACTCCTCAAGTGGAACCGTACGCCAAGTTTCCATTTTTTTAATCACAAAAATTTTGTCAGTTTTCGAACATAAAGTCCAACATGTTGCTAAGCACAAGCGGAAATCCACGATTTTATCTCAGAAAATTGTAGTGCAACTTTTGGCTTGCTTAAACAAAATCTATCCGCTACAAATCGAAAAAATATTGCTCTCCGGACCTACCGTATTCCACGATTTAATTTAAAAAAACTGACCCAGGGATCAATCCCTCCCGTCCGATCTGTTTGAACCATTATGTTACAAACCATATTACACATACAGCCGGACATAAACCCTTCGAAACACGAAATATAAATAACACATATAACCAGTCATTACGTCAGACTTCCGAATTAAACGGCATAGTAATTGTGACGTCCGAAATGGACACGCGAGTCCTTTAATTTACCTGGAAATGAAATCTGGACTGTACAGATATACTGAAGGTCAGTGCGAAACATTCTTAAACCCAAGAAAAATGCGGTATTTATACATTAAAAATGGGAAAATAGTCTAGGAAATCCTGAAAAGTAATCAAAATACAGGTATTCAGATAACTTGCAGTCCCTGCCGGATACCATCCTTTAGCTTTTTATAAAGCATGATCACTCCAGAATCAAAGGTCAAACTCATAAAAATGTCATAAAAATCAGGAAATAATCGATTCCAGCCTATTAAATCTTATCACACTCCAAAATAATCTACACCTGTGGTCGGCCAATGACTTTTGCACCAAGAATCTTATCTCTACAGTAAGGCAGGATTACTTTTTTATCTTTATATAGTAATTGAAGCCAGCGATTTTGAAAGCAAAGGTATTACCGAGTAATAATCTTGACAATACCTTTGCTTTCAAAAAAATCATCTATTTTGAACGTTCAAGGTCCTTTTTTTGCAGAAATACCGCAAAACACGCGGAAATAGAAAATAATAGACGGTAAAGATAGTAGGAATGGAATGTAATCTTCGCTTTGGTTGTTTGTTTTTCTAATTTAAAGTGCATCCAAATAATTTATATTGTAGTAGAACTATTCAGGGGGGATTGTTTATTGTTTTACATTTTTGTTGAAGAATGCGGAAGCTTTCGAACAAAAATGCTATAAAAAACACTGTTAATCAAGATTGTAACTTGTAGTTTCGACGACCGGGTTTTGTGTAAATCATTCTCGCATGTATTTTGTAAATTTGCAGTCGCATTGTATGACTATGAATAGTACAGTAAGATAGAAAGGAAGTTTTTAAAAGATTGGAAACTATAGCTTGTTAGTAGATAGACTGCATTCTGAAATAAAAAGTAAGCTGTAAGTGTTGTGACTGATTTTACAATTTGCAGAATTGTAACTCTTAGTAAGCAACGAATGGAAGCAATACATACTGTTTGGTTTGTGTCAAAACACAATTTCGGACATCTCGATAATCAATACTATTGTATAACTAATAGAAAAAAGAAGCCCTTCACTGTCTACACCCTTCCCATTATCCCCTCCAAAAGTTGCAGCACATCTTTTGTTACAAGTCACATTCTCCAACAAAAAATACTCCTTGAAAGGCGTGGGAGTAGAGTGTAAATTGGAAGGGCAACTTTATAATTAGAGGTGAAACTACAAACTCAGCTTAATTAGCCGTTCCGGAAGGCCATCCTCTTTACAATTTGCAGTTACTCGCCACCTGATGCACTCTAAAGAAGATGCAATTGTTGGTGTACTCTTACAACGTCGAGAAGTTGGGGTTGTTGTTGACTTTTCTCGAGTGGAAGTTGATGGTTTCTTATGAGGCATAATGGATTAGATGGTACGAGTGCGTTCGGAAGATAGTACAGGATATAATGGAGGAGTTCACTGAACATTAGTGAAGGAATCAACTTGAACGTAGTCCTAGAGCAGCTCTTCAGATCAGAGAACAACTTTCTAGGATTAAGGAATTTGTTGTGAAGGATAACCTTTTCGCCCTCAAAAGACATGCTCACAACAATTTTAAAGCAACCCAGATTGTACAGTGGGGGACTTGATCCATTAGCAAGATACGTACCATTTTGCATCCGGGAAGTATCAAAAATGTGGCAAAATGTTTCCCTCGTCAAGTGAGAAAACTCCGATTTCAAAAGCGCGCTGCTCTTTTTGTGAGGAAAAAGGGCGCACCCTTCAAAACGAATTTTTTTCACTTGGAGAGAGACGCATTTTGCCAAATTTTGATACTTCCCGGAAGCAAAATGGTACGTTTTTTGCCGCTGGATCAAGTCCCCCATTGTAATAGATTTGGAAGTGGGGTATAAATGAAAACAAGCGGTGCGTTGATCAGAGTCCGATAAGGTGTCTGGTTCAAGTACTAAAATGGCAAACGTAATCGTGCAGACAATCCATAGGCACTTAATGATTAGGCAAATTACTGCACGAACGGAATTTTTGTAGGCATTATTTAATAAAATTTTCAAGACAGCGCTATTAACTCTCAATTACAATGTTTGGTCTTCAAAAAGAGCAGTTTAGGTCGGGGCTGATTCCGTCGCCGAGACAAATGATGATGTCTTTCCCATAACCATCACTCCATTCTTTTCCTCGATCCCAAAGATCTTTTTCAAGATCAACCTTTTAAATCCTCGTCGGTAACATCCAATATAAGACATGTTGAAAATCATGGTAAATGTTGGGTAAAGGTAGAGCCAGCGCCACATTAGCGCTGTTCCAATTGGACGATAAGCGGCACCAATTAACACCTGACAAATGACTACGGGAATAAAGATGGCTACTGCCATTACTGCTATTTCAATTAAAAGAGCATTTATGAGGGTACGGTAGAGCGCTTTCGTCCGATCACTGAGACTCTGACCCAGTTCGTGTTGGAAGTTGTAGCATCCGTAGGTTGAATAAGCGCAGATCAACAAGCCAGTCGATGTGGGGACATATCGTTCGTAATTATTGTACCAGGTGCTCTGCAAAACATTAATTTGTAATTTTTTTAGTGTTTCAAAGGACAGTAACATATACATATTAATAAAAGTTAACCTACCACTTCCACGAGAAGTATTTTTCCCTTTATGTATTCTGCTATTTTTGGATTTGAATTTCCGAATTTTTCTATAAACATCTGGACGTTTGGAATACTAAAAAGCGCGTCGATATATGTAAATACCATGAGAAAGATAAAGTATGGAATACAACCATAGAATAAAAATTTCCGATTGGACATGAATTGCACCATCTTTTTTCGTCCAGTTGTTTGTGCGTATCGAAAAATAAACATCAGCAATACACACGAGAAGTGTGCAACAAAAAACACGTGGAACAGTGCGTACAATGAGCGAATGACGAACTCATTATTCTAAAATAAACGATTCGGGTTTTCGACTACATTCTTACTGGAAATAAACCGGCTAGGCCACCAAGAACTGTGACATCATAAGGAAACAACGGCTCGTCTTCAAAACAAGCCTTCACTATGAACGCAAACACACAGCAACTCTGACTTCCAACGATATACCTACAAAGATGCGAATGAGGTTGCTTAACAGGAAAATAGGGATACTCTTTGTAACCATACCATTTATAGGCACCAATCTCCCTTGTCGAGTACTTTAAGATGACCTGGATCATAATGATGTAAATCATAAAGTTGATGACTTCCACAACCCAAGCGTAGATAACCATGGCGTTCTTCACAGACATAGGGATAACCTCAACGTCATGATAGCCAACATCAATGGCGTATTCAATCATCTCGTCCCTTTGTAGAATTCTACCAGGTACAAGTCTTAGCAGCAACTTTCAACACGTCTCTAAGCAGACCCGTTAAAAAGTAACGCTTTGAACTCCGTAATCTTTTACCGTACAATATGAATCCATGAAATGCAGCGGGAATGGCATACAGGTGATTTTTTTTGTGCCTAGATGTCAGGTGAAAAATAAATTGGAGACCGTAATTCCTGGTAAACTATCAGGAAACTAACTACACACACGTGCAAAAATCGGTTCCAAAACAAGTAAACATAATCTTACGTCAACTGTAATATTAGATCTACATGTAGAAGTGTGACTCCGCCGTTTTTTTTTTTATTTTGCATTTTTACAGGTTACAGTAAGGTTTTAAAATTTCTTTTGAGATCTTATGAAAGAGCTTTGAATGCGCTATCTATTGATATATGTGTTGTATGATAAGGCTTGACACAACGGTTTTTATGAAGCTTCAAAGATGACCAACGTCAAGTGTAATATAAGTTTATTCAATTTCGATTATTAAAAATTTCAAATTCTTTAGAAGACCCGAGATTTCCTGTTTTTAGAAGGAGCAATTCAAACTTTGGGGTATTAGACTGGGAACAACGTTTGTACATAACAGTATTGTAAAAGTTATGGGAGCAAAATGCGTAAGGAACTGAAAGATTAGAGGGATGCGTGAGTAATAGGCCACGCTTATGTCAAATCACCGGCAATTAAACGATATTAGGGGCTCTATTCCTTACATAAAACACGGCGGGCACGTTAGTAAATAAACAAATGAGGAATGACGAAGAGTTCATCAAGATATACAAAGATTCTGAAGACAATACGGACCAGATATTCACAGGATACGGTGTTTATGTACAAAATACGGGAATATGGGTCGAGGTTACTGTACAATCAGTGTTGTCGTTCACGATTAACCTCCTTGTATGGGGTGTGTTCGGCACTGCCATTCGAGGGGGGATTTTGTCGAGGTGGGGGACGAACGGCGCGCCGTATGGGGCCACCATTTGACTTGCCAGAGGCAACGTAACCGTCTTTTAAGTCTGAAAATGTATTATTACAGTAGATTGTTATACCAGTTGCAAGAATTATTGGAAGGTAACATCATTATCCTGTCTAAAACAGACCAACAAAAAAGAGAACTTACTGCTCATAATTCGCTCCAAATCTCCATCCTCAATCTGACTCGATTGAACCTTGCCCGAGTTTCGATTAGCGATTTTATTCTGCAGTTCTTTCATGACTCCAGCGTCCTTTCTATCATCTCCATTCTGTTGTGGCTTCCTTTGGACGACACTGATCTTTGGCTTGGCATCTTCCTGAGCTTGTCTCTTCTTCTTCAACTGATCTGCAGCACTGTCAAAACTCTTGGCAAAGTTGTTAATCAAAGCAAAAAATTCTTCCGGGGATTGAGTCTTTGGATCTTCACCAAACAGTTGAGCACACCGTGCAAACTCCTTTTTCGCCAGGTCCAAAGCCGAGGCCAATCCATCAACCCGTGGTTTGGCTTCCGCAACGAACTCTTTGAGGGTTTCTGGAGGATTCTCTCGTTGCATTTCGGCTTCCGCAATCTTGAAGGACTGCTGCGCTTCTCGGCACATCATTTCCAAACTGCTGAGACTGACGCCTGATGCAGTGTCAACAAATGCCAATTCCTTTGTAAAGTCCATGCATTCCGGCCGGACGTTTTGAACAGCATCAGCCAGTGCATGCAGAATGGTAATCTCGTTATCTTTATGCGATTTTTGCATCGTCAACTTAAAAAACAAGAATTAGTTGGCACCACACGAAAGGAAAAAAGTTCAAAACCAATAAAGCCTATAGAAGCCTTACCCTGGACAAGGTTGACAATCTAAATCCATAAGCCACAGCTCGTTTCCTTCCCACATTCATCGCATTCCCCACGGCCAGTAACACCTCGAGAACTTGCTGGAATTTCTTGGATTCGGTTACTGACTTCGAAGCCATAGTGACCTTGGACAATTCTGGTTCAATTCTCTTCATCGTGTCCTCGTACTCCGACATAAACGCCATTAACTTCAGTTTCGTTGTGACCCTTTCAATGTTATGAAGCTTCCAGATAAACTGTTCATCCAGGGACAGCTTTTCAATCCCATCATTCTCAGCAGCAAATTGGTTGAAGAGTTTGATTTCATCTTCGTTGGCCATGATTCTCAGCAGAATATCCACTTCATCAAAGGACAAGGCTTTCAAATCAAGTCGATGAATGGCTCCCATTACCTCAACAATTGTTTTTCCAAGCCGCCTCCGAGTGATGGCAATATTTTGAAGTCTCTTTGCGTCCAGAATTGTCTGGCCAACATTTGAAGGAGTCGAGGAGGCGATTGATGATGGGGATGGAGGTCCATTGGCATGCAGCTTCTCTTCATCGGTGCTGTTTTGGTCTTCGCCAAACATTTTCTCCAAGAAATCCAAGTTTAATGTCTAAAACAATATAGATTTAGGTACAACTGTCAACAAAAGCTAAGGCATTAAAATTCAACCAAAAAATAGAGTAAAATGAAATAAAAATAGTAATCAAACCTTACATCAGCCAATTTTTCATCGTCCAAATTATTGAAGATCGTATCCTTGATAACTCTTGGTGGCATTGCTGTCCAATTCAAAGCTGGAAGTTTCCCATTGATCTTAGCGACTTTCTTCTGTGGTTGTGGAGGCCCCATACTAGGAAATGATTTGTTTCCTCCAGCTAGAGGAGGCGGTGGCGGGGGTCCTGGAGGACCTCCAGACTTCAAACTTGGTGGAGGCGGGGGTGGAGGAGGAGGTCCGGATCCTGGAGGTTTCTTGATATTTGCCGGATTGAGGAATCCAGGGGGTGGTGGAGGTGGAGGCGGAGGTGGTGGGGGTCCTGGAGCCGGGGGAGCTGATGTTGTAGTTGCTGCAGCCTCTTCTTTCCTTTCCTCGGACTTTTCCGTCGTCAACTGTGGAGGTGGATGTGTTGTCTTGGGGCTTGTTCCAACGGCCTTGTCCCGAGATTGGGATCGGCGAGTTGCGGCTTTCGATAACTCGGCTAAAATTTAAATAAAATATTAATTTCAAGATCCATGACGACTTTCTCTTGCCAAACAATAAAAAAAATATTGGAAAATCTTACTTTCAATCTTTTTCTTGGCCTTTTCCACTTCCAACTGCAGATCCGTCTCTACCTTGTTCAATTTTTTGTTAGTCTCAAAGTATTTCCTTTCCAAAGTTGTCAGTGTTTTATCTTTTTCTTCAGTTGCCCTCAAGAGTTGTTCTTTCTCGGCTCCTAATCTCGAAACCTGACTTAACAATTTGTTGTTCTGTTCCATGATATCAGCCAAATTCTTTTGATACTCCTCTCGTTTATTCGAGAGCTCCATTTGGGTATCAGCGATCCTTTGTTTGAGATCTGGGAGTTGATCGGCTTCATGCATCAATTTCTCGACCACAACTCGGTTGTCCAGGTAAGCGCGACGCTGGGTTTGGAGCTGTTCGGCTTCATTATCCTCCAACTCCTACAAAAATGGGAAATAAAAAACATCCGGGGCGCAAAACATGTATATATTATACTACACTTACCTTGAGATAATCATCAAGACCAAGGATCGTAAATTCATGTTGAAGATAGACACGGTAGTTGACGTCCTCGACAGAATGGACCAAGACATTAATAAATTGCATACAGCCAGCCATGAAGTCAACATGAAATTCGGGAGGATTTCGGAAAAGGTAAAGTAGGCATTTGAATCGATGGATTTCCTTGTATTCGAGGCGAAACCGATTAAAAGCATCCACAACTTTCTCATGCCCACCTTCGACGAGACACACGGCCGAAAGAAGCTCAACAACCAAGGCTTTCGTTCTGAAGAATAAATTTTTTACAGTTATTACCTAAATTTTGTCATCTAAACAAAGTATACCATATGGAAAAGACTCGCTTACCTCAGATTATTGTGTAAAATTGCTCTGACCAACGAATAAATCGCATTGGCTTCGAAAAATACCCGATTGAAGCCATGCGAATTATTCATAATCGCCCTGAGACAACTGACCAGAACATGAACATCGTCCGTTTGGCTAGACGCCAGATCCAGCGAGGCTTGAGGAGCCATCTTACTGGCCGATTTGGCCGACTTTGTCACTAAAAGTGCTGAATTGAGACTTTTCGCGGATCGACTGGTCGAGTTCAGAATGCGTTGGGAGATAGGGGTGGTGGAGAAGAGATCTTCCCCTGTGGCATTTAGAGGCTCACCCGAAGAATGAGACGCCGAGGAGGATGTGGGGACATCTTCCAGCTCAGTTGCACTAAAAGAAAGCATTTTTGACAGTAAATAAGACCATAAATTTTGTTATATTAGATGATAAAAATAGAAAACTCACTCGAATCCACTGAAAATCTCATCCTCCAGTGCCATGAGATACTCCACCAAGACGGTGAGACCATTATTAGGGGGATTTAAAAAAGCCTTCACCCAATCAATGGAATTTGTCCTCAAAGAAATCTCAATATGCTTCAGGACATCAGTTGTAGATGCTCCGATCTTCTTTTTCTAAAAATTCACATTATTTTAGACATCAAAATCAATACTCAATCATGGAAATTAGCTGATTGGGTTCGACAAATTATTAAAATATTACCTTTTTACCCGCTTTCTTATCCAATAAGACCTTCAGTTTATCCAAATAAACCGAAGGCTCGTCAACTTGATACATCTTCCTGTGATCGCTGACCAACTTCCATTTCTTCTGAATGTCGCACTTCCTCAAATCCCGCACTTTATCCGGTTGTAAATCCATTTGTGACTAGAAAAGATTGCCTTGTTATTATCCCTAATACTAATTGGATTATTTTAAACTTTATATCTGAAGTTATAAATTCTTTTAGGTACCTGACGTCAAAGGTTACTTGCTTTCTTATGTTTTGAGAAAATTTTTTGCATTTCTGTAAAAAGGACCTTGTTTTTCGCAGAAAGATCAAAAAGTGGACTCTAAATCAAAACACACTCATCAAAAGGATTTCCAGTCACGTTAGACTTGAATTTTTGTGATTTTAGAATAAAATACGGTGCCATCTTTGACATAAGTAAGGAATAAAGATAGTCTCAACATCGAACCATCAGAATTTCAGTAAATTCGTCATAATCTACCCTCATAAATAATATTCTTTCAATCTAAAGAAACAAAAGAACAAAAATGGCTGAAAACGTACCAAAACATCCTCAAAAGCTCTAAGGATCTCTTCATCGGGGGGTCGATCCAAGCTGGGCTGTCGTTCCATAATGCCGAACGTTGATGTAGATGGATCTATGGCCTGAGAAATTTCAATATTAACCATTTTAGCACGTAAAATTCGTCCGAATTACCCTGAAAATGTTGAAACTTGTAAAAAAACCGCTTTCGTGCCAATCGTGGGAAAAAAGTATTATTATTTCGCGCGGATAAACGAAGTGTCAGAAAAATGGACGAAATGTCAAAAGTTATTATGCAAATTTTTCGAATATTTTCATGTGGCCTAGCGTATTTTTTGCATAACTAAAGCAAGAAATCGGAAGGAAGTACGTAGTTTATACTTTACAAGGGATAAAAACAAAAAGGTCCTTGATCTGTCAAGTATGGAAGAAAACTGACCACAAAGAATTAATAAAGAAGCATGGGAATGATTATTCATAGCAAGGACGGGGAAGAAAAGCGTCTTAAGTATTAGTCATGTTTGGGAAAAGCGCTGAAGACTTCGAAAAACAGAAGTTCAAAGGGCTTTTTGTCACCAAAAATGGAGGACGACCTTTGTAAAAGTACGGTTTTTTCACAATCAAGTCTTAGTTATAGCCTTTATCTAATTGTTCCTCCCCATGCTTGCCCAAATGAAGTTGAAATGCCCAAAGAATGTTGAGAAATTAAGGATTTCTGGAATAATTATTATGTTATCCATGGCACATATATTCTACTTTTAAAATTAGAGGGTCAAAACGTATCTCCAGAGATCCCAGAGCTATTCTAGAAATCCTTCGCAACCTGCAATTCTAACAAACGAGGTGAAGCCGGCTCTGAACCGGTGATTAACCGACAAAAACATTTTTTGAGAGGGGTGGATCTAAAGTAATATTCGAACCGTGGAGAACTCCGGACGTTTCTCTTTTTGTTGACTCTTTGGTTTATTGTTGTTACAACATGGTCTTGTTAGTGTAAAAGTTTCAATAAAACGATGAACATAAATAATAGTACTAGTTTCAAATAAATATTAAACTTCCCACGCATTAGTACGATATAAAAATAATAACGTCAGCATACGCTATAAACCGCTTAGATCATCTCAAAAAAGCGTCAACTTGTTTACAATTTGTTTACGAGCCATAAAATACGGAAATATTAAATGGACACACCCAAATTCCTTATCACACGATGATTAAAAAATCGTCTTAAGAAATGAAGTGTAGAAAAATGAAATTAGTCTGTAATTGCACCATTACACCAGTCATTACTAAGTTTGTTGTATAGTAATAGCTAAAACTTTCTTAACAAAAGCCCTTAGTTATAGCAGCGGCTTCCACCTTCACTTTCTATAAAATGGAATTGCATTTGACAAAAGCCCCTAATACACGAAATCGCAGAAACCTGCTCTAAACGATGGAAAACCGTTTAAAGCCCCAAAAAAAGAGCAAATATCAGAAAAAAAGACAATTGATAAATGCAAACACATCAAAGTAAAGTCTCATTAAGATCCCAATTATTCGAATTGGGGTCGGAAATTGAAAAAAAAAAAGTTCCCAAATTTCTCCCTCATGAGTCATTTTGAAATTCGAAGAACTTTTTAAGGAAAAGAATTTCAGCCTTGAAACGGAGAGCACTGAAATTCAAAAATTCCTTTGTCGATGACGTCACCTTTTCCAATTTTCCTTTGCCGGAAGGGGTAATTACCCGGCCAGATTGTTTTTGTGAAAATTCACCAAAAATTCAAAAAATCGTTGCGATAAATTCAATTTACAGTAATCTTTTGACCTTAATTACACCACGGCTATTCGGAAAATTACGAGAAATTAGCGAAACCGATGCCTCTGACCGCACTATCAATTAACATTCCGAAAAACAATGCCTGAGGCGCCATTTCGAATGACCTCTTGAAACCGTTTGATTAGTCATTGGAACTAGCCGATTGTTTATTCAAGCGGAAATCTTTTTATGACTAACGACGGAAGCGGAGATTATTAAATTTGGATCGAAAAGATAACAAGATTCCTCGGCTCTAATATAAAAAAGATTGTGCTGTAAAAACTACAAATAAACCTCGAACTCAAAGTACATATCGGAATGCGAAACAACATGTAAATCCAAATTCAAAAACGATTAAAAAACAACAAAAAATGGTCTAGGATCGCCAAAAATTTCGGAAAATTTCCCCCAACTGAAAACGAGAAAAGCCACGGCCATTCTTCTCCCTGTTTTTTTGGGGCGTTCTGATGATTCATCAGTTCTAAACACTGAAATGTGATCAGGAGAAGAAAGAAGAGGGGCTAACACGGGAAACGTTGAAGACTTTGTTAGGGTCCTGGGTAAACAAAAGCCTATAAAATGGACTCCCTGTTGGGTGTAACAGTAGCGCGGTTGTGATCTGGGAAAACTGAGTTTTACGCTCCATTGGGAAAATAAATAACCTGTGATGGGAAAACAATGATTTTCCAGGCTAAATTATAGAGTAAATTTTAAATCAAGGAACAGGCTTGTGGGTATCCAAGCTTTTTGGTTGTTTTTGGCCACAAGAATGACGGTATCCTCAAAGTTTTGACGTCCCAAAAAGCTCTTCCCTTCCGCCCTTTCCAGTGTAAACCCCTCGCATATTCCGTACTTTTCTTTTTTTCTACAACATAAATGTCTAACATATTTCGGGGGATTAGCCGGTCTAAACAAACGAGTCTGCTCCCTATGTACATGATCTGTTTATAACCCAAAAACAGCTCCAAAATCGAAAAATATTCCCGACCAGAAATGCTTTTTGCCCCGGGGAGAATGACAACCCATATCAGCAGTCAGTTCAGCGTTTTATCAAAAAGACCCTCAGGCCATGTCAAAGACGAAGAAGAGCGTCAATTTCAAAATCAGAGCGAGAAAAATGGAAAGGAAACGTTTTATGAAGGGCCAATTGTGAGAGTGGACTGTGGCTAAAAAAATAGTTATTTTAGCGTTAATGTTCACGTACATTATGCTTTTGACAAAAACAACTTTTAATACGTCCAGTTTCTCGCTTTACATCGCAGTCGTCATTCTCAATAAACAAAAGTAATTAATAATCTCCTTTTAATAACCAGAACCGTATTGATGAGACAACCTTGTAAAATTCATATTGACGTAAAAAGAGAATCAAAAAGTAAAAAAAATCGGAGTCAGTCGAATCAAAAAATGCGCGGTCCGGCGGAAAATTATAAATATTTTTGGGAGTTTCGAATAAAAGTAAATTCAAATGCAATACATGTGAAAAAGGTACTCTCAATGTCACCCGGAAAGAAGGAGAGAGGTACATAAAATGACGGTAATAAAAGCGGCCGAATGGTCGGATAACAGGAGACCTTTGCCTGCTCGATTCAATCGACCATAAAACGACTGTGCGTTTTTGCTGAGCTGTTTGCGTATGAGATCTGGAATGACTACTGGATTTATTGGTTACGGAGATTATGTTGTGGCTTGAGGTTGTTAAAATGCGAAAATGAGTGAGAGCATGTGATGATGACTTTGAAACCTCAAATTTTGAAAATCTGGCACACAAATAAAGATGAAAATTTTGATGACTATTATAAGATCAACTGAAGTCATCTTCAACTCTCTCAATACTGTCATAACGGCTTAATAACACCCACCGCCTAGATTACTCCCACCCATCCCAACAATACCAATAATTATAACTCCGTAAAACAATAGACTCCAATTAAGCGAGCACAACTCTAACGTTCTCCAAACCGCCCCGGAGGCAAAAACTCTTCGCCCTCTTGTCTTTTCACACCTCGCGCACAAAAAGAGACCGCCACAAAAGCCGGAATGGTCAATTGTGCGCGCAGAAACAGGCAAAAAAAGAATCCCGAAAAACAATTTCTTTTGTCAATTGGTCATTTGTGAATTGAGTGCAATTTATGGCGGGGATAAGGGCTTGTTTGATGCGGGAGGGAATAGCGGATGGTCAACGGTAAGGGGATTAGGATTATTGGTTAGGATTATTGGTCAGGTTGGGTAAAGTTTTGCTGAATGGATCACAAAAAATGGATAGGCCAAACATCAAAGATTATAGAATCTACCATCGCATATATGTCGCATAAATTTGAGATTTGAAAAAAAGAAAATAAAAAAAATTGGAGAATAAAAGTTCCGAGGTCCCCAAAACAATTAGAATGAATATTTAGACACCCGCATTCCAGCACATCTACTTCCTTGACTTTGGCGCAAAAAACGTACATTTTAGGAGAGAAAATGCCCTTAGGGAGTTAAAGGAGCGAAGGACGGAGGGAAGAATGCGGTTTTCTTGGGCCTAAATCCTTTTTTTACTCCACGAAAATTGGGCAAAAATGTCTTTGTCCACTAAATGGGGTCTGAGAATTGGGTTTGGAGCTAAAATGCGTTACTATTTCTAATTATATGGTCACTCAATACAATAAAAACACGAGTGCTTACTAAGCGGACCACCGTTTTTCGACTTTTTGAGGAACAATAAAACCATCTGGCGCCAATATAATAAGTCATCGTTTTTCGTTTTTCCGTCAAAAAAGTAGTTAAAGCACTACTGATAAGGGCTGCGGAGGACAATAAAAATTTTGCTTGCACTGGTAAGCCCCATTTCCGCGATTTTTTATAATAATTTCTTTCAAAACAAGATTTTAAATTCTGAAACTTTAAATTATAAGGCTTTATAATTGGTAAGAAAATCGCTATTATTTTCAAGCCGAAGCAGTAAGCATCTTAATCAAGGTCAAAAAACAGTGGGAAAGGGAGAAGAGCGCATATGGTTGGTCAGCGAACAATTCATCCTCTTGTTTTTGGTCGAAAATAAATGGGAAGAGTTCGAGAACGACGGAAATGACCAGCTGAGACCATAAATTCTTAATCTGCTGGCGGATTAAGTTTAAAAAGGTTTTATTTTTTTCTTATTGTAATCCATTTTTCAATTCTTCTTTCATTCAAAAAAGGACATTCTTTGCGGATTTTTTCTACAAAAATCCAAAAACATTGTAGTTTATGGGAAAAGTCAAAAAGAATTTCCGTGCATTCAATGGAAAGCGCAGTCAAAACAACAAAAGCAAATGCCCGAGGGTCCAGAAAAGAAGTTCCAAAAATCCGCATTCCGTAATAAAAAACCATCTTTCTGTTTCCAAAATGGGAATAAAAAAGAAACTCCAATACTCTAAATGGTGTCTAATGAATTCAATACCATGCAAAACGTCCATTAGCACTAAAAAAAGTTGTTTTTATTAGTCGAGATTTTGCAAAATAAAATTTTTCTCTAGATAACCTAACATAAGAAACGCCGTTTTTAGGCTCGAAAAATATTTTTGAGCAAAGTCGATTCATAAATTTTAGAAAACAGAACCTCCGGAATAATTCAATTACAAAAATTTCCAGAAAAAACACATCTGTCGCCCTCAGAAATCCTCGGAACCTGGAGGATTTGAATCATGGAGCAAATGAAAACTGATTTATTCCAAGGAATTAAAATTCCCGCAGTGAGGAGGGTAGGATCACCATCAAGGTTAATTGAGCATGCCCAGAAACGGATGAGAAACTTTGAAAACCCCGAAGATTACAGTAACTTCCAAAATTTAAATTGGAATTCGAAAAAACACATAAAGAAAACAGAATCGGAAATCTCGGAATTATATTCGATACAAAAACAGTAGGGCTGTAAAATGGGGAAAGTATCAAAAGCAAGGGAAGTTGGGGTCAGTGCGCGAGAATTCCGCGCGCTTTAAACTCTCGCGCCTCAAAGGTTAAGCGAAGCGTGAGGCCCCAAAAGACGTCGCACAGTGCGAGGGAAAGCGAAGGAGAAACCGATTCTAATCTCTGTAACTTTGTTAGCCCTTTCGGTGGCAGTAAAAGTCAGAGTGGGCATTTAGAAAGATCTTCGAAGGCAAGGACGTTGGAGCTGGGCGCTGAAAGGGTAGCTGCGCCGAGGGTAATTACTATTATAGGGGGCAATGGAGGGCCACGACATTTTAATATCTTCAACGACATAAAACTGTCGAAAATAAAAATAAATTCGCAAAGAATTAAAATCCTATCGGAATCTACAAAATAAATTTATATTTCTCTCTTAGTTCCACATGAAAGGTTATAAAATACAGCTAATTACAGATACTAGTAGTATCTCACAGTTAATACAGATATTTCCTGCCTCGAGGGTATTTGTTAGGTAAATGAAGGGCAGCGGACTGTTCGGCTCGCTCACTGGCCTGAGGCAATGTCCCGATATTTGTATGGATTTCCCTTCGGAAGTTAGGGCGAGGCTTAGATTTGGCCTGGGCTAAGAGATCGGGATCAACTCGAGGGGATAAAAGGCGATGAGCCGGAATCTAAAAAAAGAAGAAATAAGTCAAACTAAGAGAAACTTACCGGACCAGTAGGATCATCAACAAAAAGGCGCTGGGACCTGGACTCGAGCCACCGTTCATAATCTTCTTCGAATTTCTTGGCCGTTCCAACATACGGCTTCAGGAAATAAAGGAGAACTCGATGGATGTAGATGTATTGCATTGGGGTTTCAACCGAAAAAGGCCTTCGAGAACGGAGGAAATGGACGGCTCGTTGGACTGGGTGCTGAAACATCAAATCGTAATTTTAAAAAATTACCATCAATAGGTAAAGATAAATACACATTACCCTCTATTACCTAAAGCATAAACTGATCAGATAGAAATAATTACCTTATAAGACGGTCCTCGTATCATACTCATCATGCAGATTTCTACAGCAATCAAGCAGGCACCTCGACTAACACCAAGATGATCAATGACAACAGTTGGGGTTTTACTTCTTCTGGCTTCATTTAGAAGGATAAGTGGGGCATGAAGATTGTCCGAGTTGTTCAAATCACCTTGGAACAAAACCACCTTCAAGCTCTTGGATTCCGGAGTCTCCACATTTGAAGTATCTACATAATTCACATTGATCGAATATTTGGTAATGATATTTCCAATCTTATCACAATGTTCGGTTGTCACAGTGAATGCTCCAATCTTCAAGTTCCCCCCGACAGATCTGAAAATGTCAAATCCACAAACTCAAGTATCGAGACATCAAACAGGCTCGTCGAAAATTCAAGATTTCATCGACAATTCCAGTACAATACAGAAAAACTTACGGCCAAAATCGTGAGCACCGCTCTTCCTCTTTTCTACTAATCATCATAAGAACAACCCCGACCTTCTCTTGCGTTATCATACGCCAAAAGTCTTGAATCGTATTGCGCATTGGAGCTTGGGTCAAGATGAATGAATTGAACAAAGGAGGGCCACGGATCCAATTGGCATGAATAAAATCACTCTCTTCGGAAAACGAGTCAGTATTCAGAACGACTCGCGTATCTTCTCGACATTTGATCCCTGAAAACATTCCGAAATAGTGATAAATTGTGTTATACTAACTCGAATTCCGGCATTTGTCCAAATTATTTTCGGAGGACTCGCTGTTAAACGGAATATAGTTGACTTGATTGTCAATGATTTCAAATCGCCTTTCCATCCCACCAACTATCGTCGACTTGAACATCTGTTTCCTGGCTGGACCGAAGATTCTCTTGCCCAAATGGATGTTGTTGTAATCTAAAATTAAGAAAAATGACGTCCTAAAAATATAAGAAAGCGCATACATTGTCCATGAACTCGAACATGATCCTTGTCCGCCTCTAGATTGACTTTGAACTCCATGAAGCGCTGAATTGCCCCTTGAGAATCAAAATTCAGCTCGAAAAACTTTTCAATTGGGGAACGAGCAAAGGAAACTTCCCTCTGAAAATACATGTGGAAGAACAATTTAACCTTACTTGTGCAGCCATCTCTACACCTCTTCAATCAACCTCTGTCCGCGGAATCCGGCCAAACTGACGAAAAATTCCGAACATCGCAGTCTCAGTGAAAAAAATCAATAGCAGTGAGACGAAGTGCAACATTAATTTCAAATCCACGGAACAGCGGGAAACTTATAAATAGATTACAGTACTCTAAGTTCGCTATTATTACCTTATTTTTCTGTTGCTGTAAATTGAATTTTGCTTTGTATTTGTTCTTTTGTTTTTTGTTTTCCCATCGGCAACCATGTGTAATATCTCTTGTAAGCATCGGAAGGGGAGAAACAATGAAGGAAAACATGATGATAATCACTGATAATCCTGTTTTTACATGCTTTACAACAACTCCATTCTTCACATTTCCATGAAACTCCTCTTTCAGTTTGATAATAACATGTTCTTTGCTCAACATTCCAGAATAAACTAGACTTTGTTTTACATTCGGATCAAAGGCGAAGTGAACTCTCGGCTTCTTTGATGACCTTTGTTTTTCACTCTCAAGTTGGGTGCAATCAACTACAGGACGTGATAAGAGCAAAAATCATTGAAAGTCGTGCAAAAAACCTCTGAAGGAAGACCAAGGGGCGATCCCGAACTCTCCACATTCTGAATCGAGGCGGTCTTCGTTCCGTTCTCACGGGAAATTAGGGGTTTCGCGTCCTTGATTCTTCGAAAAGTCGGCATCAGAAGAAAAGTTTACAATCGAAAAGCCCCACAATCGATTATCAAAGGGCGATGGACGCATATTGATAACAGTTTAAAAATGTTTTCTCCCCTGCAGGGTGACCCTTATCAGATGGATGAACTGGAACGGCCGGCCTTTTATCAGGACATAAAGGAATGTCCGAACGCAGCAGAATCTGTTCATTCTTGATTGTTAAAAGGCCGGGTCTTGAGAAAACAACTTCATTTTGGATCGGGGATTTCGGAGAGATCTTTGGAAGAACGTGGAGAGATCAACCGGAAGGGGGCTTACTGTAATATTAGGGCAATATTAAACTAGGCTTAAATATCCAGTTTTTGGTAACCGTTTAGGCCCATGAAGAATTTGTGAAGACTGCCATGCTAGGCTATCAAATTTCGGACTTACTCAATCAAATTTTGAGTCATTTCACGAATATCCCAGTAAAAATATACTCCCTTTCTAGTTTACATTGTTTCTTTTGCCCTTTCACAATTTGCACCCGCTGAACTCTTTACACAATTTATACTCTGATCACAATCCCATCGCTGGCTCCCAAAAATGCTGACTTTTTTATGTGTTTTCCCTCTCAAAAAAGCGAACCTCGACTAAAAGTTGTCCGCAACACTTTTTACGGCCTCTCGGCGGACTGTCGAATGTGTTTTGCTTGTTTATCACCTCTTCTGTAGATTTATGTTTATTCCGAGGCGTTCCGTGCAAACGTGACCTTCTCCCTATAAACTTGGGCATCAGATAGTGTTATTTTTTCAGTTTTCCTCGATTGTTGATCTAAAAATGGGCCCTACGGTAAACGCTGCTTCCCTACATGGAATTCCTAAAGAGATTCAGCTGAGGATCTTCCAAAAATTGAGCGTTGAAGATGTTGAGAGTCTGGGACAGACAAGTTCATACCTAAAATCATTCATTCGCTCGAATCGGAAGTATTTGGCTCGACTTTCTCGTCATTTGGATGTGGACATGGAGAAGAAAGAGTGTAGAATACGAAGAGAATCGACTTCAAATCAAGTTACTTGTCAATGCATGCTGGTAAGTCTTCAATTTCTTGTTTTTTAATACCTTTAATCGTATAATATAACCTTTGGCAGTTCGCGTCCTATTTACATATTTTCTTTCGGTAAAAATGTTGCAAGATGTTGGGCAAATGATGTGACTTATATAATTATTCTTCGATTATTTTAGGACGATTCTGAGCAACATCTGCAGGACATCGAGGTCTCCACGTTGACTTTATCTGGCCCATTGAGAGATGAAGGTGATCTTGAAAAGCTGGTGTCTGTTCTCAACAACACCCGACAACTCCGAATCCGCTCTTTCCACATGAAGAAGATGATCGTGCAAAACAAGTCGCTCTGTGAGCGTTTGTATCAATTGCTGGCAAATGGAACTTGTCATGTAAGTATACACACTTCATAGTGTGAGATACGTTTTCACTTTTCTCATCTGATTCCATTTTTACTTCTTGTTTTTAGGCGATCAGCCTGGAAGAATGCCAATTGGCGTGCGGATTTAACTCTACTCAAGCAGATCGCATGAATGAATTGATCCAATTTACGGTCAAAGATTGTGCGCCCATGAACGGACTGAATCTTCTAAACAAATATTTGAGTAAGCTGGCCATGGAGATGAGGTTCCGGAGCAAGAAGAGCATGCCTTTCTATGCTGAAGCTCCCGATCTTACAGTTCAAGAGGTCTGCAACTTTATCAAGGTAAATTTTATATTATACTTGGCACCAACTGTTATTTTTACATACCCTTGTGAATTGTTTGGTTTTAGAGCTGGATAAACATTTCTGAGGCGCCAGGCTTCCAGATCTATGTGACGCAATGCGACACTCTCTTCTTCCATGATTTCCTCGCCGAATGTGAGCGTCAGAACCTTGTTCATCGTCATCTTCAGTTCAATTCAAAGGCTCGGCCGATGGCTCATATCCAATGCCAATACGACACCCAACTGAAGAGATTCCAGATCTATCCGATTGTTGATGTCCCACCGGTAGGGCCTACCGGCTATTGTAATGCCCGTTATTTCCGTGATTTCTAATTAGAGCTGGTCTCTCGTATAATATTAGAGTTGTTATTTGTTGTCAAGCCTATGACATGGACTGTCATAAGTAATAGGTATTCTTTATTTATTTCGCCATCTTTTAGCCTCCATTTTCTATCATTTGAAGTCATTTTTTGACAATTTCAAATCAATTTCAGTTGGTTAGCTAGCCAATTGAGTTTTATCAGTTGTTTCTTGTTGATTGTTATAAAAAATAAAAATATGTAAGAGATTGCCTCTGTCAATGAAAGAACGTTCTTATCAATTGTGTAGAAAATTCTTCGCCCTTCCAGGAACATCAGACTAGTGGGGGTCAAGTATACAGTCAGGGACCTGATCCAATGGCAAAAAACGTCTCCTTTTGCATCCCGGAAGGGACCAAAATGACTCCAAACCATTCCCTTCTCTAAGCTAAAAAACTCCGCTTTGAAAAGCGCGCCCTTTCCTTCAAGGCGGGCTCTTCAAAGCGGAGGTTTTTAGCTTAGAGAAGGGAAGGGCTTGGAGACATTTTGGTCCCTTCCGGGATGCAAAATGAGACGTTTTTTGCCATTGGATCCGGTCCCTCACTGTAATATACGTCAACTCTAAAAATAGTTTTATCTCTTATCAAAAATGTCCTCATAATACTCCATAATGTCTGATATGGTCATGTTCGGAGCTGTCGGTGCAATTTGAAATCGCCTTGGAGGTTTTGGGACAGGTGAATTTGGAGGAACAGGCTTTTTTGGAAGTTTGGGACTCATTGATTGGAGAACTTCTTTTTCGTTGACATAGACGTTTTTGAGGGCTGGGGAGGGACGCTGAACTTCCCGACTACGACTTCTACGTTTCTCTGGCGGGACATGACAACAAGTAGCGCCAAAAATGTAGAACATGCAGGATAAAAATTGAAGAAACGAGCCAAAAATGGACATGAAGAAGGACCAGGAAAGGAAACTTCGCTGGAAAAAAATGAAATTTGTAAAATACGGTATTTCGAATACTTGATAATAAAAGCTGCCTAAAGAGGAAACAAAAATTTTGCAAAGCTGTATAAATAACTTACCGTAAAAATTGGCACTACCGTTTCCCCATTTCGGATTTCCAATGGAAAAGTCAAGCCCTTTTTGTTGTGTTCGTAATACATGGCTCCACAAACACCGGACAGTGCAGCTAAAGTTTAACATGGTCTAAAAGATGACTTCAACTTACCAGAACAAAATATTTGTATGATCAAAGTGAATATTGCACATTTATTGGCACAAGCACAAAGTCCAAATAGCAGTGCATTTAAGGCCAAGACCAAGGAGATCCCATCGAGGATGACTAGGACAGATTCAAAATCTAAATCAGCACAATTAAATTAGAAATGTAATGGGCTAAGGTGCAGTATAAACTTAATCCAACTTACGCCTCATGGACTTTACTGTTCCGTGATTTCGAAAGATGGGAATTCTGAGTCCATCCTCCAGCAATTTTTGATCCGAATACCTACTGTAACATATTTTCTGTTGATTCTCGACTTGACAGTGTCGGTAAAGACCCCGGTGAAGATAAGAAACGTCTAAAACATCATACCTGTTGTCACATGTACATCCTTTACTTACTCGGCACATCAATTGAAGTGTGCTCTGACCAAAAATCGGTCCCAAAAGCCATCAAGACCAGGCCGGTACCCATGAAGAGCAGGGTGTAGGCCACCATATTAGCAGTATTCAAGTACATTAGTTATTACAAACCGGACTGGTCACTCTTTTCAACTCGAATGCCGGAGTGGTTTTTTTCGGACAGCTGTCAGTTAGCTGATTTTTTGTTGAATTGAAACAAAAGCCGGGCACTCTTGCCTCGAGGGCATTAATTTAATTTTTACGAATTTTAATTGCCTTGTCATTTGTTTTTGAATTTGTTTAGAGAATAATGGGATAAGCGGATTTATCGGAATCCATGGATCAAGTCAGGTACAGAAAGTATGTTATTACTCATAAATCACCGGCCACCTGTTACCAACTTGATCCTTCAGTCCTCTCAAAACAAACCATATTTGATGAAATTCGGTTCCACTCACTGCGATTGATGGAAATGGGGGTACATTAGGTGTACAGAAAAGTCGATGTTTTACCGATTTTATTTATTAAAATTTGAATCAATCTTGGAATAAATTATGTCGCGGGGGATTAAAATAATTTGCGTATTGCACTTAAAGTAACAAGTATTATTTCAATGTCATTCGCTCGCAATTATAATTTTCTAGATATCTCCACCAAACAGCTTCCCGATTCCATCCAAGAAATTCCAATTCACACTGTATTTGTCATTCACAGCAATCGGCCCATACATATTCTGCCCTCCAAGACTTAATCCTTGTAAGGGTGACAACTGGAGACCATCTCTTCGACCGACGGGCATCCCAAGAACGGATAAACTCTTGTCTCTGCCGATTTGGATCTCTTCCCGAGGTTTTGCATTCATGCCTAAGGGCTCGAGAAGAGTGGACAAGGCGTTTGGATATGTCGGCGGGGATGTTGGGAGGCTGTTTTGCGGGGAATTTGGTTTAGACGGGGACTTTCGAGGCGAGTTTGAGTTCAGTGGGGGAAGAGGTTTGCCTTCGAGGAAGTTGGTGAATAATGATTGGTCCCGCTGGAATGTATCATAAGGTCAAATATGTAATGTAAAGTTCATGACAATGTTTTGCGGGAAAAAATAAAACAAAACTCGAAATTTAACTCACTGTGACTTTGTCAAGTTGTTGTTTGAAAGGTAGCATAAATGGTTCAAACGGTTTGAAGATAGTATCCATGATTGATGGAGGCGGTGTGGTTGTTGGAGGCTTGCTGGTAAATACCCACGGATAGCGGAGATAGTTGTCTGATGGGGAATCCTGCTGGAACTAAAAAAATTAGACGACTTAATCTCTTCTCTAGAGACCTTACACTGTTCATAGCAGGCGATTCTCTTCGGTTTGGCATGTCGATCATGTTGATAATCGGTTGGACAAATCCGTCGATAATTCTGTTAGAATCGAGCTGGGGTTGAAAATTGTAATCGTAAGGGGTTTGGGAAGGGCTTCGGAGAGTATACCGTTCATCTGCGGAAAATATATTGCATTTCACATATACAAAAGAACTCGCAAAAAAGATAAACTGCACAAAAGATCATGACACAAACAGGTATCCTTTTTTAAAAGTCTCGAAACGTTTTGTTTATGGCAACTTACATGGCTGTCCCCACACCAAATAATATTCGAATACGAACAGAAATGCCCAATACCAGCTCATCTGCATACAGTTTGAATGCGCGACTGACCGATTGGAAAAGCCGCCCGAGGGCGAATTGTGGATGAATGGAAAGGTGGATATGGCAGGGTCACTTTCTCTTTTCTCACAATAGCCTGAGGGAAAAGTTCCGAAAGAAGCGGCGAATCTCCAAACAAAGAAGCCTCGGGAAGATTTGAAGGGCAAACATTCGGTGAGATTTTGATGATTCCAGGTAAATAAACAGTTATTCAAGCAGTAGAAAGTGAAGTGAGCTTTTACTTTACTTTGTAAAATTCTCTCCTTTCGTTATATATGTAGTTAAAAATACATTCCATTGCCGTTAATTTACAGTTTATTTTGATATTTACATTGTAATCAACATAGAGATATACCTGTTATCAACGATTGCGTCACAGTGACATTAACAAAACTATTATTCTTAATTTTGACAGTAATTTCGACCGGTAATTTCTGATCTCAGTACTAAAACGTATCGTCGTAGCAAATTACTGCACAAAAGCTACTGTTTTATATGAAATGCTGAGAAAGACTACGTGGAAATCTCGGTGGAAACCGTCGGTGAATTTGATAGCAATTGGCTGATATTTAACCCGCCTAAAGACAGAGATGACTTGGTTTGTGTTGACTGGGATAAAGAAGGAGTTATCCGGGTCTTGATGATCTGGTTGAACTGAAAAAGAAATTTTAAAATTTGACATCAAGTCTAACTGACAAGGGAAGTACTTGAAGTGTGACGCTCAGATTTTGATGAAACTTGGCACAAATTTAGAATAATTTTTTCTAAGATATATGCGGGAATCCTAGCTCGCGCTTTGCAGAAACAACCGAGATTTTTAGATCGAAAGTCGGCGAAATTTTAGGACTTTTTGCCGAATTTCGGCACGAAAAGTTTCATGCCTATTTCAACTGTAAAGGATAATGTTTCTACAAAAAATCAAATTTTTCCGCACGAAACTGCCAAAGTTATGGCCAAAAAACGGTTTTCTCTCTGACCGCTCTCCACGTTGAGCGTGCTCTCTCGGCGGCAAAGATCGTTCGATATCTCGGCGGCGCCCGCAAAGCGCGAGCTAAAACTTTCAGGAATTGATATTTAGTCCATACCCGATGTGCGTGCAAAATTTAAAAAAAATCTGAGCGTCACACTTGAAGTACTTCCCCTGTGAATTACAATACGAGAAGAGCAAGTCTTTCTTTTAAAATTGAAAATACTTACAGAAAAGTTCTCCAACTTCCTAATCTGCTCATAAACCAATCTGACTTTGCTCTGAATACTCGACTCCTCAGCAATCAGCGAGTATAGCGTTCTCACAAAGAACACCCAGATCTCGTGCTCCTCTTGTTCCAGGACTTGACACAACTGCCCATCCAACGACTGGAATGTCTGATCCAACTCGTCCACCAGTTTCTCCATGTCCCTCAGATTCTGTTCGTTCCTTTCAATCAATGGCTTTATAAATTCCTCGTCTTTCGAATCTTCAATCTTGTTTTCAAGGTTCTGTTTATTGATCATCAACCGAGTCTGAACTTCGTAGACCATCTCGAATCGTTTGATAAAACGGACGAATGGTGCTGTTGGGACATTCCGATCTTGTGCAATATTGACAATTTGTTGGAAAAGTTCGGTATTCTTTGATTTTTCTTGTTGAACATTCTGAAGATCGTCTAATCGGCCGCTGACTAATTTGTAGAGGGTTTTTAAGCGCTAAAATTAGAAGATGAAAATTATTAAATTTTTTAACGAAAATTCAAAAAAAGGGTTAGTTCACTTACCTCAACTCTGACTTTCTCCAACTTATTCAAAGAATCATCGTCCATACTGTAAGTTACTCCCTCCGGATCCAAACTAAAGGACGCTTGGCTTGATGAATTTGAGCTCTTCTCACTTCCCAAATCTGAGGAAAAACTGTTGAGCGTGTTAAACTTGGACACTTGGAGATTCTTGGGTTTCTCCGGGATGGGCGGAGGTTGGGGACGAGATCGAGGGACCGGTAGAGGATGCACTTGAAGCATGGGTTTATGAGATGCCGGGGGGAGAGGAGGGGGCTGATCCATTGATTGATTTAAGGAGGAGAAAGAGTCGTTTGTGGAGAGGACAGATCCATTGGCAGAGTCAGAAGAAGAATGGGACATGTTTTCTCGGGATGGAAGCGTTGTGATGACAGGCGATGACCGTTCCCTTTCTTTTTCAACTCTGGGCAAAGGAGTGGGCTTAGACTTGGGCATATTGAAAGTCTGAAGCTGAATGGTGGAAGTCGATGAAACGGGGGACGAGCTGAATGTGGATTGGAGATTCCAATCTCTAAAAAGGCCAACATATTACTTTATAGACATTGTAATCAATGAAAATCCGGCGATGTACTCCCAAACTACTACAATTACAAAACTAAAATTATCAGAGAACTCACCTAAATTTTTCCTCCAATTCTAATCTCTTCTGCCTCTCAAACTCGACTTGTCTCTGCTCCTCGAGATCAGGCAGCAAAGATCGATAGCCCTGATTGTCAATCAAGCTTCTGTAGGCTTGCTGCGGCTCAGTCCCGAACTCCGTTGATTCAGGAATGGAGTGGGTGGACTGATTACTCACGGGAGCGACGTTCTCTGTCGACGCCGAGAGATTCGGGTCGTGCTGACCAAACTTCCGTTCAATCCTGAAATTAGACGGTTCATTAAGTCGGAGGGGAAATGGAGTTCTTCTAATTTGTAATCGAGAAGGATTGCGAATTCTGGACATCGTTTCTTAACTGAAGCTTACGAGGGAATGGTCTGAACTTCCCCCAGCGTTTGGGAAAATGACTAGTACAGGTGGATAGAGCATGTCAACTTTGGTAAAAAGAGCCATTTTCCAGCTGCGGAATAAGCCCGGCCGACGAGTAAAATCGACCGAAAGTTCCACAAAAACTTCCTCTTTCTCTTCCCTCGGAAAAGAAGAGCGGTGTCCAGTGGTTCGGTTAGCCGAGTGGATAAAGCATCCGCTCGATATTCTTTTGGGGGTTGGTTCGATTCCGGGGTCTCGCGAAGGAATAAGGCTTTGATGAGTAAGATCAAACTCTAACAACCCCAAAAAAATTATTTTGCCTTTTTCAAAGCCAAACAAGTATAACTTCGACGTTCCATCGCTTTGAAGGTTCGGAAGCACCCAAAAAATTCCTTTTTTGACAATTATTTTTTTGTTATAATTCCCCTATAAAACGTATAAAAATGGCAAAATATTTTTTTGGGTTTTTAAAGTTTGATCTTGCTCATCAAAGCCTTATCACGGTCCTTCGCGAGACCCCGGAATCGAACCAACCCCCAAAAGAATATCGAGCGGATGCTTTATCCACTCGGCTAACCGAATCACTGAACACCGCTCTTCTTTTCCGAGGGAAGAGAAAGAGGAAGTTTTTGTGGAACTTTCGGTCGATTTTACTCGTCGGCCGGGCTTATTCCGCAGCTGGAAAATGGCTCTTTTTACCAAAGTTGACATGCTCTATCCACCTGTACTAGTCATTTTCCCAAACGCTGGGGGAAGTTCAGACCATTCCCTCGTTAGAGTAAAAGTAAATAATTTTTATATTGTGCTAGCGAGTTACCCCCATCTATAAACTCGTATTCTCAACTCACCACTCAGGTCCCTTGACCTTGCAGATCCTTCGCCGAGCACCGGACTGACTCCGTCTGAGGTATCCCGACCCGGAGTTCATGGGTGTTTCGCTGCAACGACATGAAATTAGTTTTTTTGGGTCAACGTTCGAAGAGAAGGGAAGAAAAGGTGCGAAAACACAAAGAAACGCGATTTTCAAAATTCCGCAAATTATAACGCACGGTAATTACAAGTTACATAACCATTTCCCGAGTGGAGAATTTTTACAAGCAAAAGTAATCGTTGAGTAAAATTATATGACTCAATTTGTTGGAGTGGAAGATCAATTATTGCGGGCTGTGGGCAATTGCGGAATGGGGAATTAATGTATTTACTATTAAAAAATAATTGAAAACAAAATTAAATAATTGCGTTTACGTTATTTTCCAAAATTTTTCCCGTTTCTCAAAAAAATTCAGTTTTATTACAAATTTTAGGGCCATTATAATGTAATCCTTCCCATAACAGACCTCAAAACCCTGGACAAAGGCGGGGAATTTGCATAAAATGGCGCAATTTGCCAAAGAAACCGCCCCGACGGACGAGGGCAAATAAAAAATTAAGGGAAATATTAAAGGTCGGTGTCTCGAAAACATAACCCAGGTCAGGGAAGGTAACCGCTCTCGGGGTCTGCTCTCGACGCACTCTCCTCGGCTGCAATTGCACCTCCCGGGGTCTGTTCGCCCTTTATTTCACGCACCTTGAATGGGGAAAAGGAGAATGCGAAATGAATGGACTGGGAAGTCTCAATTAGGAGGGGCGATTCGACGGTGCCTTGGGGCGAAAGGGGCTAATTTCTGGTTGAAAATGGAAATACAAAATTGTGAAATTTCTTGGAGATTTGTGGTATTAAGTAACAATTTAAAAACTTGGAACTTGTTTGCAAATTTTTTACTATTTCAAAGCACGGTAAAGATTACCTTTTCTAAATTCTCTCGGCTTCTGAAAGCACTATACAAACTGTCAAATAATATTTGTAATCAAGAGATGCCACACCTCTCTCTCCCACCTTGAACTTTGAACGTTCCCCGAATTCCCAATACTCAAATTCCAGCCTTAAAATACTTCGTTCATATCAATTTCATAATTTCGAAACAATGCCCATACAACGGCTGATAAGCAGCTCAGACAGTGGTCGAAGTAAAGAATCGGATTCAACGCTTAGGAGAAGTTGAATTCAAAGATTTCGAGGAATTCCGTTAATCCAAATGGAATGAAACTTCGCTAAAAGGATGAAAGACGACCAGTCGGAGGGATTTCGGCACGGGTTTCAGTAATTTCAAAGGGGATTTGGTTAATGTAATCAAGAATAAGGAAGTAAGGAAGAATTAGTCGGATAGGGAAATCAGAAAATGATGACGATGTGAATTTTGGTTATAACATAACAGAAATGCAACACAATTCATTTTCTTAAAAATGACTATCTTTAAAAAAAGCAAATAAGGAAATTTCGAATAACATTACGTATTTTTGACCTCGGAGTGGCGTCATCCAAATGTAGAAACATCAACATGATCTTTGTTGCAGAAAATTAACTTTTTTGCAAATCCTAATGTTTCATTTAGCCTTACATTTGCATGGCACGCAAATAAAGGAAACTTGAAAACAAATAATTCAATAAAACACAATGGCCCTTATCAGTATCCATAAAACTTCCATAAAAGACGCGAGAATTATATCTGAATGTGAATCATCCTTCAAAATATTACAAATTCTTTGTCCGACCTCACTTTCTTTTCCTTCACACATTCCAATCCCACTGTTTCCGCGCGTTGACCTTGTAGCGAAAGTTTTGCAGCGCAAAAGAAAAAAAAGAATGCTACCTTGTAAAAGATAACTCACTCTTCTTGTCGATAAATACAATAAAATCCTCCTGCAGGTCTTCTAATCATAAGCATCTCTTAAGCTGCCCTGGAGGCTCTGAAAAGAAATTAAGCCTTTGCGTTGGCCTCATTTTTAACTCAAATGCAGATCTTTCAAATCTTAGCTGAAGCTTTGTTAGCAAATATTATAATTACATGTTTATTAGCAGTCCCTTAATAAAGCTAAAATTGGTAATTTTAGGCTATTAATGAGCCCCAAATTTCTAATTTCCAACCCATGACAGTTCATAAATTATGTGTAGATTGAAAATAAAGAGACTGATAAGAAGACGACAAACAAAATTCCAGTAATACAAAAAATCTTAAGAAGAAACCAATCATGATGAATGATTTGCCATCAGGGTGTGAAAAACAGACGATATGATTTTTTTGTGAAAGTGCAAAGTATTTGTGATTAAGGCCATTTGAAGTGAGTCCAAGGTCGCGTGATTTTTAAATTAAAATTTTAAAAACAAGTCTTACGATACTGTAATAAAAGTTTTTTGGCATGACACCTTTTGTTTATGCTAAAATATGCAAGGATTGATTCAAGAGATTGAACATAATGTAATCATAAATCGAAAGCCAAGCCTGCTAAAATTGAATAAAATGATGACATTTCATTTTTTGTATTTGACTTGAAAATTTGAAAAAAATTTCCCAGGAATCCAGAACTCGAATTCCTTTCCCTCCCCCCTTTACCTCGACCCCAGAAGACTGAGCAATTTGAAAAGAAAAAATAGCTCAAGAATGAATAAATTCGGATCTCCCTCTGAAGCCCTAAGAGCATTTGTTAAGATGACTCAGCTGCCCCGAATTGCACTCCCTGCAGCCCTCCGCGCCCCCACCCCTTTTTTCCCCCTATACCTTTACTGGACTGAAAAAAGCGAGCGGATCGAGTGTGCGCTCAAGGTCAGCCGAAGGGAAACGAATAATTTTTGAGTCACGATTATGTTTTTTTCGACCGGAAGAGAACGCCAGGATCGGAATATCAACGCAGCTGATCTCTAATTTGATTTATTAACGCTTTGTTGGATTAATTAGCGATTCAATTCTTTGGTCCGGTTGCAGATTTGGCGGATAGGTTCTGGGTTTTCGTTAATAAACTAACAGAGATCTATACAATAAAATTAAGGAAGTTTTTTACGATACACCGTCCTTAATATAATAGAAAAACGATCAAGTCAATTGATATCAAAATTCGTTGATTTCCAAGTAAAAATCTATCAAAAACCGCCAAAAATCTTCTCCAAATGCCTGAGGCAATACCATCCCCCTCTCCAACAAAACCTTCCAAATCTTTCAAAGTCATTCCTCATGTTGTTTTCCAAACAAGGGTTCGCTTTTCTCTCCAGATCCCGTTCGAAAAAAAGTCGGAAAATCGCAATCGTTAAGAGTGCCGTTAAAGCAATAAAACCAGAAGGAATGTGTAAACTGAGTAATGCCCTTAGCGAATGACCAACCCAAAATTCCGAAACAAAGGCCAGTTTTTAACAAAATACAAAAAGACCTTTAAAAATACAAAAAAAAGTTATTTGCTTGCAGGTTTGCGAACGGAGATTAAACCGGTGCTCCCACATCGGGTTTTGTCCGCATTTCATTCCCCGATTCTCGCATAAATTATATGGAAATTACAAAATTTTTGAAGGTCTTGGAGCAGAACAGGGGTGAAGTGGCGAAAGATAGTTTTTAGCTGAATTTTGTCTTGAAACTTTACTTGTTTTACCTCAAATTTGCTATCAAATTTACTTTTTTATTGAACAAAACACTTTTTTCCAAACAATGATTATATTTTTCAATAGAGATAGCTCTCTGGCTGGGCCATGTATGTCTATTTCTAAGTCAATACCGCGGTATTAATACCGTTCAAATTACAAAAAATAGTATAATATTTTCTCTCTCCAATAATCAAAGCTGTAAAATTTCTTCGCTCAAAAAAATATTTTTAGAAGCGAGAGGAAGGTCGTGTGTTGTGCTACTCATAACAATCTCAAGGATTTCCCCGATTATTAGTGAAATTTGAAAGAAATCGAGGGGCGTTTCGCCGACGGCCTTGAAGATTGGCAAATGAGATTCGCTCCGGAATTAGGGGCCATTCTTTTCCTTGATGTGCCGAACATCTGGAGGCGCAGTAAAACTTGGGAAGATGTGGTCAGCCAAGGTTGAGAGATAATATGAGGGGAACCCGAGATTTGGGGGCCGTTTCGCATTTTAAGCGGGGAAAACGGCAATATGCGAACAAGGAGACACACATGTAAATATGCAACGGAAAGTTCTTTCGCCGTGCTGACCGCTAAATTTTCAATATTTGACAGGAACGGTAGATCAGCGTTGAGAAAAAAATAAATCATCAATGTCGAAGAGATGCTCCACAGTAACCAGTCACTCTACCGGCCCAACAACTGTGCACGCACTTTCATGAAGACTCTCTGATCCTCTTGTTCCGCTGACCTCATTGTGCGCGCGATGGAAGCGACAAAACGAACTGTAACAGCAATTGTGTTATAATCAGATCATCAAGACGAAGACGTTTTTCCCACTCGAAAATCTCGAAAAGAAAACAAAAGCAAACAATGTTCCTCATCAACCAAAGTTGCTCCGTTAGAAATTAGCTCGTCGACAGCCGTGAAATATTAATTTAATGACTAAAAAACCGTACGATTCTCGGGAGTTTTTCTCATTTCCCTTTGGCGTGTGTCATTGTTGAGGGATAATGGGGGAATTCAATTAATTTATGACACAATACAGTACATTAAAAGGGGGATGGAGGAGGAGGAATAATCTCTTGAACTTTTGAACATGGAACCGGGACGGCGATGACTTGCACGATTACCACTTAAAAAAGGTTATTGCTCAAGTCGTCACAGCGTTGAATCCTCAGGAAGTATGTTCGGAAAACCCCGTGCCAACGGCTTCACGATTTAAATACGAACCCTAGCTAGGCCTAGAAAGAAAATGTAGAAAAAATTTAAGGGAAGTAAGTTCATTGGATTATACAGAAATATGCCCTTGCCTATGAAAAGATAGTTGCCCGAAAACGTTTCAGCTAATAATGAAAAATATAATTACGTAAAAAACTCCATTGGAAGACTAGTAGTAAGTTTTAAGAGTCGTCGAGAAATCTTGATTTGCAACGACTGTTATCCAGAATGAGGGTCAAAATCGCCGGATAATTGAATAACTGCTGACAATCAGAAGAGGGATTAGCCACTGTTGCAACAAATTACCTGAGCTTAAAGAACACGAACGGTTAACAAAAAATGGAGAGATTTGGGGAAAACAAAAAAAATTAGGTGAATAGAATATTTACCGATTACAATTTACATACAATAATAATGGTTTTGGCACTTCGGTTAATGCCTCACAGAAACTTCTCGTTTAAACCTCAAATCCTCAAAAGAAAATTCACCGTGTTTGAGCCAAAAGTCACATAAATAAATAAAACTTGAGCGGAATAAGTCCTTGCTCCAACAGAACAGATGATTTTTTCTCACCAGCCTCCTTACTCACCTGAATAACCAACCCTTAAGGGGAGATCTCATAAAAGGGGCATACCAAAACAATAATAACAAAAGTTGGGATGGATAAAGGATGGGATTTTACTCTCAGTTTTCGATCTGATTTTGAATTTCGGCAATTAGGGAGCAAAATTTCGCAACCTGAATTGTTATCTGATTGTGAGTGGCAAATGTTTGGTCATCATTTTTGAAAATAGAGACCTTTTTCAAATTCTTCTAAATTTTTGCTATCTCCAGTACAAGAAAGTTTATAATTGACATTCCACTCAATTCGATATTTAATTTACACCTGGATTTAACTATGTGCACTTTTTCCGTTTTTTCCAACATTTGTTCTGGGTTAGTTTTTGTTGCCTAAGGGCACGTCCAACATCTGGTTGTCACGGAGCTCAAAAATATATCTTCATCCAAAATAGCGTTAAAAAGAAGTTGAAGCCTTCATTTTTAAATATTGTCACATTTACGCTCTATTCGAGTTATCTATTTTTATCAGCATCTTATTAATTGAATTTGTAAATGCCTTCAGGTCCGAGGCTTTTTATTTTTGTTTGGTCAGTCGTTTGGGGGTCTCAGACACTTTTTGGCCGGCCTTTTTATTGCTATTCCCTTCACGTTTTTTTTGGATTCAGGGAGAGTTTCATATTATTTTAGACGGGAGAAGCAAAACTCGGCGATTCTCACGGCTTTTTAAGGGTTTTCAAATAATTTCCGGGTATAAAAGACCTCCAGAATTCTAATTTTGACTCAATTTTCCCTTTGGCAAACGTTTTAATCCATTCTTGACTCCAATTTATATTACACTTGAGGTAAAATCAGCCAACTTTTAAATAAAAAAAATTTAGTGGACGCTTGAGTCTGATGTCTTCAACAGCTCAAGGGGCTGCTCGTTTAAAAAAGACCCGATGACCTCTTGTGAGAAACTAGCTCTTTTTAAAATAGTTTTGTTTTGTTACGCAATGTTTTCCCGTCACCTGTGAATATTTCAAGGCTTATCCCTGGTGTCCCGAATACCCTAGCGGAATATTGTTCATTTTGCAAAAGTCATTTGTAATTTATGATAAGCATCCGTTTCATTGTTTAGAGCCCTTTACACAAGCTTATTTTAGAAAATATAAACTTTCGTTTCGATTTTCAGACTGTTTGACTACGAAATTATTGTTTTTTCCCAGCTTGAATAACGATGCATGACATCGCGGTGTGATTTTCGGACTTTGCAATTTTTATTCAAATCGTTTTTTTCAGTTTTCGTTACGCAATAAAGTCCATTTTTCATTTTCCGATACAAAGTTTGACGGATTTCTAAAAATATTTTGTACAAAAAATGAGGGAAACTCGTTGTAAATGAGTAATAACTGCATGTTCATGTAGAATTTTTTTGAAACGTTTTTGCAACTATCTCTTTACATTGGCCATCCTCTTTTGTCCCGGATTTCAAGTGTTACTTTAATTCGTTTTATTTTCAGCCAAGATGAGTGATACCCAGGTTGGCCTAGGAGCCTGTCTGGTCTCGGTGTTATGTTTCGGGTCGATGTTTGTGGCCATTCGCAAATTCCAGCCGGGTGATGGCTTCTTTGTCCAATGGGTACTATGCTCGGGTATCTTCTGTGTGGGCGCCATTGTTCATTTAATCCGAGAATGCCCTCAATTCCAACCGTTCGCGATGATAGGGGGAGTGTTATGGGCCAGTGGTAAGTGTTTGATATTACTCATGACTCCGACCTTATTTGAGTTCGTAATTTTGTCCATAAATTGTATTTTAGGTAATCTAACGGCGGTTCCCATCATCAACGCCGTAGGACTCGGTCTGGGTGTCCTGATTTGGGGAGTGGTAAACTGTGCGGTTGGTTGGGCCATCGGAAGATTCGGACTTTTTGGAACACATGCTTCAATCCCGGCTTATGAAGCCGTCAATTACTTCGGACTCTTTCTTGTTATTCTGGGGTAAGTAGAGACTTTGAACTACTGAATTGATCCCATTACACTAAATACAAAGATTGTTTTTAGAGGAGTTCTATTTGCACAAGTAAAGTCATCAAATCAAGAAGGAGAGGGTCCAGAGGAAACGATAGAATCGAATACTCGAGGCTACCGAGAAGTCTCTCCTCCGTCGCCAGGCCCCCAAGACGAAGAGGCAGCCGGCTTGGTGGAAACAAACCCGGGAGATCAGCCCGTTCTGTTATCACCGCCACCCAGGATAAGCAAGGCGAAGATTGTGTAAGCTTTGGGATTAAATAGTTACTGTATCCAATTTGTCTTGATCGCTCTTGGCCCTGCATCTGACTCTTTTCCTTTCAGAGGTTGCGTTCTCTCAATTTTTGCGGGGATTTGCTACGGATCCACGTTCACTCCAGTTATTTACATCCAAGATAACCCGGATAAGTTCATCAACCCCTCCAAGGACGCCATCGACTATGTCTTTCCTCATTTCACCGGGATCTACTTAACCTCGACCTTTGCCTTCTTGATCTACACCTTGATCAAGCATAATCAGCCATTCATTGACCCTCGCATTTGCTTGGCCGCTTTCTTTGGCGGAATTCTTTGGGCCTTGGCCATGTTGGCTTGGTTCGTGGCCAACGATAGACTCTCTCAAGGAGTCACCTATCCCATCAATGGCATGGTACCGGGAGTGGTGGCCACATTGTATTCGGTATTCTATTTTCGAGAGATCAAAGGGAAACGGAACTTCCAGATATTAGTCGCAGCTATTGCGATTACATTGACTGGGGCTGCAATGGTCGGGTTGTCCAAAAATGGAATTTAAATTTTTTGAGATCCATTCTCTGTCGCTTAGATATTGTTGTTGTTGATCTTTGCACACTTTTCAATCTCAAGGACGGTTATTTTAAAAATATTTTCGTATCGGTTGTTATCCTATAATTAGTCTCAAAGTATTATTGTTTCAATAAAATTAAGCTTAGGTCTTTCAATTTATCTTAACAAATATAATCAATAAATATTACATTGGTCCATCAGAAAACATGTCGATGAATTTGATCCGGGACATTAGCCTTATGATCATCCGGAATTGCCCTAGCCTCATAGGTCGCAATTGCTATCCGTTCTCTAAATCCATGTTGAAATGATCCTCGAAGTCCAATGTAGTAGATACGAGTCTGTTCGGCGCCAAAATTCTTCGGAAAATGAAGGGTAAGGTAATAAACATTGGAGAACTTGGTGCTGATCAAAGGATAATCAACCTTGGCCTCTGTGTCAATCTTAAGCTCAACTTCTTGATCTGGCTTTCCCGCAGCTACATCATCAAACGACATCTGCAAAGAAACCACTGAGTTTCAAGAGATTTAAGCTAGTAAAATAGGTACCTAAAAATCAAAAAAAATGTATGCTCACATTTTCTCGGTCCTTAAAAATCCGAAGCCTGGCTGGATGCATTTCACCCTCTTCTCCAATCAGAACAATACCCGTAATCTTGACATGACCCGTAAACGGAAGATTAAACAATAATTCCTCATCAGCATCACTGGTAACTGATTTCGTCCTATAATAAGGTTGAAGACAAGAAAACGGACTTACTTATCAAACCTATCACTCCAGACTTTGAATACCTCAACTCCTGTACCCTCTTGTTCTTCATTCAAAACATTTACCTTATCTTTGTCAATATAATTGGCCATGTTATACTGGGTCTCAGCATCAGCTGTCTCGACAGTCACTGCTTGCGATCCACAGTCACCGTGGCTATGCCCGTGATCACACATTATACCTGATGAACGTTGTACTCAAATTTAATACCTTCTTCTCATCAAAAAAAAGCAAAAAAGATTGAATTAGGGCGCAAGCTGCCAACAACATTTATCGCGGGCTGCGCAAAATACCTAAATAATCCGTCATTCTGATTCCTTCTTATGCTGTTGCAACTTGCAAGTTGACAGTAGATTTGACTGTTGTGCTATAAAATTTAGCGGAGTTGAGGTTATAAAACGTTCCTTCGTAGTACTGTAGAAGCGAGTTGCGTATGCTTATGCATTTTGTTTTCCTGCTGACGTATTTTTTGAACACGCAAACATGTTTATTTTTTTTTTAATTTTCAGGAGTTGTTTATCATGGATCGTCCTCCGCCGAAGACTTATCTTGAACAGCTAGAAACGGACAAGACTTCTGATGGACGACCAGTGTGGGCTCCGAAACCTAATCAGACCCGGCAACTGAACCATGAAGATCTGGTTTATCTGGCTAAGATCAAGGCGTTATCACAATTTTCAGATAAAATACAGAAGGTAAGTAGCTCACAAAGTTTGCATTTTGTTTTTAGAAGAATATGAAGCTTCGATACCGCTTGAATTCTGTTTCCAAGGAGATCAAACTCATGAAGAAGATCAAAAGGTATGGAATTCTGTTTATTGAAGGATGAAATTTTAGATTTTTGTGTGAGAAACTGCTGGAGATGGACGAGAATATTCATGATGAAAGGATCGACTTTGATGAGAACGATAATGAACAGCAGATTGACGAGACCATCAGTGAGGTTGTTACTATGGTCATGCAGAATCCAACTTTGGTGGAAATGAATATAAAGAAGAGCAAATTAGCGGAGATGAAGAAACGAGAGCGTGACGTAGGTTGCACGTCGCACTTGATTTGTTTTTCATTTTTTTTATTTTGAAATTTTACTTATTGTTTTAGGCACACCAAGTACCTATCTCAATGGATGACGATGATGCTGATAAATCAAGACAGCATATTATATCCATAATTGAAAGTGTTGCCAGTGAAGGGATGTACGAGGAAAATAAGAAATCCCGATCAATAAGGCCTTCACATCCATCTAAAACTCATATTCAGAAGCCGAGTTCTAGTTATGTAAGTCGATTTAAATTTTTAGGTATCTCTTTTTAGACTGCTCGTGAAGGCGACGAAAAGCCGGAGAAGCCAGCAGGGATCTTTAGGCTAAATTACAATGGCTTCAAAGATCCAGAGGCTCAAAATACATCCAACTACGATGCTCTATCTACACCTTTGCGAGAAGTATTGAAGATCGCACAGGGCAGAAAGCCAGACCATGGTGGAGTAACTGATGCTTGGCTTGCCCTTATACAAACATCATCAATGTCTCCAAAAACAAGTTCCTTATCTCCGCCTGCCACGGCACGCAGTCGTTTGTCCACTTTCAACTCGATCTCATCGGCCGCTTCACCTGATCGGAGTACCGAAAATAATCAGCATGATGTAAATAAGAAATAAGTTATTTCTGTTACAATAAATGTGTATATTGTATTCGCCTCCCGTAGTTTGTGGAGCACTTGTTTCTATCATTTTTTTATCTCTCTGCGGTTCCCTTTCCACTCTCAAAGATGTTTTTAAGACCCAGAACTTTTTTACAACAACAATTTAGAACTATGAAGGTTGTGGTGGAAAGAGCTCTGGCTGACAATTACATGTATTATGTGATCGATGATAGTACCAGAGACGGATTTGTCGTGGATTTAGGGGATGTTACGAATGTAAGAATATTGGTCTTTAAATGTTTTTTTTAAGAGCGGAAAATTGCTGACTTTTGTAAATAAGAACTGTTCAGGTAGCAAAGGTTGAGCGTCGAGAGGAATTCAAATTGAAGGCCGCTCTAGTCACACACCATCATTGGGACCATTCTCAAGGAGCGTCTGAGATCCGAAAACAATATCCGAATATCAAGATCTACGGTGGAGATCAAGACCGAATCCAACAGACTGATAATGTGACTGACGGGCAGGTCATCAACTTTGGGAATATCGAAATTGTCTGCATTGGGACTCCTGGACACACAACATCCCATATTTGCTACTACGCCAAGGACAAGAGGACTCAGAAGAAGGCGCTTTTCACTGGGGATACTGTATTCTTAGCTGGATGTGGGAAGTTTTTCGAATGTCCGGCATCTGTTATGTACGGAACATTGAATAAGCTACAAAATACAGTCGATGACGATACGGTAAGTCCTGTTATATCGGTAATACGGTCTCAAGGCATACCTGATATAAATTTAATGGTTTAGGAAGTGTATTGTGGCCACGAATACAGCACAACCAACCTAAAATTTGCCAAGGAAGTAGAGCCAGGAAATGCCCGGATCACCGAGAAAATCGAGACAGTAAAGAGCAGTCTCAATGCCGGGAAATACTCTGTTCCCTCGTTGTGGGGAGATGAGAAGTTGTACAACCCGTTCTTGAGAGTCGAGTAAGTCGTTTTGTATATTCATGGCGTTACGGAATTACGACACTCACTTGGAGTTTTTTTTAGCCAGCAGTCGGTAAAAGAATATTGTCAAGCAGAAGATCCAATTGAAGTCCTCGACAAGCTCCGAGCCAAGAAGAACAATTTCCGTGGGTAGAACGTTCGTTTTTATCAGTATCTTCCACTTTTTGTAGACATTTGTATTATTGAACCCATAAATTTATTATATTTATTGGTTGTAAGCAACAGTATGACAATTTAAGAAAATTTTGAAGTACTAAGATAACAGGATATTTGAACCCCCACGATTATGACCCACTGTCGATCGCTGAATTCCTGATTAATGAAGGATTTTTATGTAAAGCTCGACCGATGCAGTGAAAGGAGAAAAATTAAGGCCGTTTTTTAAGTCCTTTATGTTTTTAGGCCTAGTTTTGAACTAATTAATTCTGATTGCCTAATTAGATCACATTTATCATTGAAAACATGTATAACTTAAATATATATTTCTGTATGCAAATACACTATATTGTAATCTTATCCTACTGTAGATATGTGAAGATTGAGAACATCTTGTCAATATTACACATGCTGTACTTTCTTGATTCCTAAGAAATACTCGGCCACTCCAATGTAATATACTGTCTGAGCGATACCGAATAATGGAGCCATGACCATCATACGCAAAGCGGCGCCTTTGAAGAGAGCTCGGGGACCTTCTTCCTTTAGGATTTTTCTGAAATTAATCAGAGATCATATTACACTTGCAAACTCTGAAACATATTCTAAACGGCTTACACAAACGCATCCGCGATTCCATTATAGGTGGAGGCTCCAGGGACTTTGCTAATCAGTTGTATTCTCGTTTTGATTACTGTAATTGCATCTTTTATTACTGTGATGCAACTTACCATCCAGGGGCGTAACAGAGAATGATCCAACAGCCCCAGCTGTTATTCCGGAAATAAATGAGCCGTAGAACACCGCATCTCCACTTCCATCACTCTTCCTTGGCGCTAGCGAATCTAAGTGAGCAAAAAGAGGGAAATAAATCATGGAGAAGGTCACGTCTCTGGCCATGGTGGGGCCAATTCCCCGATATAAACCAGCAATTCCTTTCTCCTTGAATAAGGAAAGCGCTAACTGTGTGGCACTCAACTTCGTTCCTTGGGCTTCTAAAGATCAGAAATAATCAAAAATAAATTCACTCACGCTGCAGCTGGATCTTTAGAAGTTCCATGGGAGTGGTCACTATAATCTGGCAGAGTCCGGCTAAACCACCGGCAACCATACCTCGGAATGGCGGAAGGGTTCTGAAAAGGATTCGTTTATTTTTCCGTAAAAGCAATCACATCAGTCAAACTACAGTAATCCGACTTACTTTTGATTAGGTACTGCCAATTGATATCGAAAGAAGTCGTTGGCAACCAATTTTATAGCTTTCTCTGGTGTTATCAACAATATATTGACTCCAGATCCTGAGTATATAGCCCTTATACCTCCACTTCGCCAAGTTTTTTGCGCACAATCAACTCTAAGTAAGCAATAAGGCAATGCAGAGAGCGACTTACAATCCTTTATACTGTAGTGGTTGTCCCGGAACCGACCTCTGGTTCTGCAGTCTGGTTTTCACCAAGTCCAGAGGGAAAACACATGTTACACCAACAATACCGGCGAAACCTCCGTTTAAGATCTTTGGCAGGTACCTAAAGTAAAGCCGGAAAAATAAATGAAATGCTATGAACTCACGAAAACTGTGCCTTTTCGTTGGCCATTTGGAACAGTAATCGGAGAGCCTATACCTGAAATATAATGTTTGTTAGATGAGTAATACAGAGCCTATTTCCAATAAACATGGAAATATCCACCAAAAAGAGAAGCAAGCCCAAGGAGAGGTAAAAACGATTAAATTTATTTTCAAAACAACTATTCAACGGCTTCAAAAAAATTGTGAACTTTGATGACCATTTCCATCGTTATCTGCTCTTATAACGCCGACTTACGGCTTTTTCTGAACACTGAAAATGAGAGAAGATAACGTCTAGATACAAACACGGATGGAGATCAAATGATAAACAAGATAAGCTCGCCACGTGCTGAAGACATCATTTGCGACATTTGACGAACCATTCCTCCGAATGAGCCGGCCAAGTCAAAAACCACACTTCCATGTGACGTTCTTTGAGGACCTTTCCTCTCTTTCTTGTTCTCTGGCTGCAATCTGGGGTTTGTTTTCTGTCTAAACATAAAAATCAAAAGACTGCGGGAAATAACTTACAACCCTAGATAGAAACACGGATGACCATTTCCATCGTTATCTATTTAGTCGGCAAGAATCAAGTGTAATATCGCGAGAAACCGAAGAAACTAATAAAATTTCTCTTGACTGGCGTTCATTTCATAGTGTCCACAGCGAAGTTCCAAAGACCAAACGGAAAAACAGGAAACCTCCAAAAAAGTTGTAAAAAATACAAATTGACCTTTCGTCGACCTTTCATCGTATAAAATGTCTTTTATTTTTCTTGACATTATTTCCGAAGTGTTGCAAGCCAGCGTATGACTTCCACACGAACGAAATGGAGCAGTTACCGGACTCTGGGCTGAGACAACGGCGTAAATTAACCGTGGATGAGACAATCAAGTCGTTTGATGCTTTCAATAAGGTCGTGGACTCTGTTCAAGAAGAGAAGACTGCCACAAATGGAGTTAGTAAGTTGTGTGAAGACTTTCTCAAAGTTATTTTAGTTACCATCTGTTCCTTTGCTCTTATTTTGATATTATGCGGGTTTCAACTTTGTGAATATTATTACAACGATGATGTGGAATATAAATTCTCGGTTGACACGAATTTTGATGAGTGAGTGCTTTTACTTTTGAGTACATTGTTTAGACGGCCGAATCTGGACATCGACATGATTGTTAACACTCCCTGCGGAGGTTTAACCGTGATGGTTGTTAGCCATAGTAGTGCTCACAAGAGAACTCCAGAAGATGGCATTAGAAAAGAGCCAACTCGCTTTGAGATGGAACCAAACGAGCAGTCGTTATGGAGTATTCTTCAAGCAGCTCATAAAGAACAGTTTAAGCCCGGAACGAAGCTAAAGGCACTCAATGATGTATGTTTGTTCATATCTATTTTTTCAAAGGAATATTTTGCCGTTTTCATGGATTATGTAAAAATTTTCTTTCCAGATGTCTTATGTAAGTAGCAGTGTGGAATCCGGGCTTAGAGATATAGCAAAAGATAAGGTGAAAGAAGAGGAAATTGACATTAAAAAGCAACGAGCAGCGAATGGAAATAAAGGCCATGGACATGGACAAGTTGTGATGATGATTGGTAATGGAATGGGGATGTTCCAGCTGATCTCTGGTCAGTTTATGATTTAGACAGGCTTTCTAGACACTTTTTACTTCAATTGTGCACATTGTTTTACGGCTTTTTGTCAAATTTAATTACTTTAGCCAATGGAGGAAACGAAGGGCACGCGTGTCGTTTGGTTGGCAAAGTACCAGTTCTGAAGGGCGATGACGACCGAATTGTAATCTCCTCATCCAATGTCATCAACTTTGGACCGTTTATGGGAGAGCTGGACAATGGGGCCAAGTCCAATTTCTCTCATCGCATCGAGAGGTTCCACTTTGGAGATCACGTTTGGGGACTGGTTACTCCATTGGCCGGGACTGAGAAGTTCTCACAAAGCGGTGAGTGGTTACACATTATGTGATATGCGTCTTGGATACTATTAATGAAGGCTGACTTGATTAATCTTAGGAGGAACAATGTACAAATATTTTGTCAAAGTGGTCCCCACAAGGATCGTGGGCTTCTTGGGAAAATCTATAACCTATCAATACTCCGTTACCTCAATGCAACGGGAACCACAGGATTCGGGACATATTGGAAGTGGAATCACCTTTGTTTACGAATTCGCCGGAAATGTAATTGATGTTTATCCGACAAGAATGTAAGAATGGCCTTTCTAATCATGGGAAAGTTAACTGACAAATATTTTAGGGGTCTAATACAACTGCTTCTCCGTCTTTGTTCAGTCATCGGAGGTGTGTTTGCAACGAGTATTGTGATCCAAACAATTGTCTCTAACTTGATCCAACGAATACCCTATACAAAATTGTGATGACGTGTATGTTTCTAGCTCATATCAACATTTTAAATGCGATTCGGGTAATTAAATTATTTTTCAAATCACGAAATAAATCCTTGCGCTATTAGACCAAATAAGCCTTGTGTTAATAAGTGTCAATTTCAAAGATTTATGAGACGAAATGTTATTCATAATTAAATTTCTTGAAGCTGTCAGAATGCTAGCGACAGGGCGGATCTTCACGACTTCATCCCTCTGATGGCCGCCTACGCGTCGGATCTGAATCCGACGGACTAAATTTTTTCAATTCTGGGGAAATCGCATAAAACAAAAGAAGTTAACTAAATAAACCTTTATTCAACTATATTAAGACAACTTTATGGTAAGCCCTAATACACAGACCTGATACTTGACACTGCTGCGTGGGACAAAAGAAGATCCGCCAAGAATTTCACCTCTAAATGCTGACGGGTGTCCTGAATCCAATCTTGAGCGACTCGAGCGGCGGGGCCTTCCAGAAGTTGTGCTACTCTAACAGCAGACAATAAGTCATTCTGTTGAACAAAGAAGTTGACTCTGGCCAGAACTTCCCGATTATCCAAGGTCTTCAAGTCAAGGGGATCTTCAGGTGAAAATCTTCGGGGGAAATCCACGATAAAGAGGGATTGGATCCAAGAAGAAATGTACTTGGCCAGGGATCCTCCGTTCTCATCAATGCTGGCAAGTCGAAATCCGATTTTATATACCTGCAAGTTAATATGATGACGTTACAATCGGGGCTTACTTGTTTAAATCGAAGTTTTAGATCCGCTTCAGTGTAAACGCCTTTTTGGAGACTTTCGGAGGGGAAGATGGTAATGAGCGTCTTCACAAACTCATCGTTTTCACAAGCTTTGCCAATCACGGAGAGCTAAACGATAAAAACATTAGCAAGAAAATAGGAGATAACATTGAATCCCATATGTAACATAATCAGGTACCCTAAACAACTTAATCATCACATATCAAGTACATTACGGTATCCGAAAAGACAACAGTATCTTAGATATACTTACTACAACACATGCAGGTCTACTAGGTATCCCAATCATATATTCAACTACTACAATATACGTTACCTCCTTTTCCAGTGGTTTTCTTCTAGCATCGACAGTTTCTCCAGACTTTTGGCCAAACGCAATGGATTCATGGAGATTCTGACAGGCCAGCCAGAATTGTTTCGATCTCCTGTTCTCAGCGTCCAATGCAACTCGACTTTCAAGGGCTGTCTCGATTCCTCGAAGCTTCTCCAAGGCCAATTCCACTTGTTTTTGATGGAGCCGGCGTTCCTTTTCGACTGCTTCCTGAAGAAAGAGTCATAATAAATAAAAAACATAATCAATGTAAAAAAATCCCATCGTTTTTAAATCCAGTAACTCGAAACCTTTCATTTGGGACAGAATTCTTTTTTTCCTACTCTTCCCCATTCTAACATATTGGTTAGTTTTTTTCGAGGCTTTACAGCTATTCTGAGACTTTGGCTAGCCATTTAAAAAATTTGATTGACATTTCAACTCATTGGGCAACCGGAGCAAATTTGCAACACTGGCTACTTACATCCACAGCCTGAGCATTCTCAATATCATGGAGTTGTTTCTGGGTGCGGATGACCTGTTCGAGATTGTCAGCATGAGCAGCAGCAGCCCTCTGAAGTCTCTCCTCGAGCTGTTTCTCCCAATTACTCTTCTCATCTCTCAATTTCTTCTCCAATTCCACATTACTGATGGCTTGGACCCGGGTCAATTCCAATTCGAGCTGAGCCTTAGACAGATTCGCGTCAGACTTTCTTTGTTCCTCCAGGGCTTTGGCGATGTTTTTTTCTTCAAGGAGCTGAAAAAGGGCGATAATACTTCCCAGAAATTCGAATTACAATAACCCCGACAAACGAATACATCATTTCCGCCATTGTAAAAATCAAGTAAAATACGAACCTGCTGTTCCGTTAACTGTCTTTTCAATTGATCCACCTTTAAATGGGCGTGGGCAATCAAAGCATTCAATTCCTCTTCAGTCAGCTTCTTTTGCTTGGCATGAATGTCAACATTTGGAACGACAGCCTTCAATTCCTCAGCGAATCGTTGACGACTCTTATCAATCAAGTCCTTGTACTGATTGAACACCCTGCTTTCATTGCGGGCATTCTGGATCATCTGATTCAACTCATCAATCTGATAGGAGAGCTTGTCGGCGGTATCACGAGCGTTCACCAAGATTGGAGCACTAGCAGCCGCGGCGTCATGCTTTCCAGAAGAGATAACCTGAAATTCGCGGTTTATTCTCTTAAAGTTCACCTTCGGGTTTACGGAGGTCTAAAACAATAACAAATGTATAAAATCCTACCTTTTTCAAACCATCAAGAGCATTTCGACTCTTGGCTTCCAACTCCAAATCCTTGTTGGCCAAGTTCTCAGCGTAGGCCAAGGCTTCTCGGACCTTATCCCAATTTGCATTTGATCCCGCATCAACAGCTTCTTTAATTGCTTTAGCATGGTTGGTGACGGCTTCAATTGTCTTGATCTTCGCATCCGTGGCGTCTTTTACAACCTTCTGGGTCTTTTCCAGCGCAGAGATAACATTCTTTTCAATTTCTAAAACAAAAAAAATATAATTTAAACGTCATTAATCCGTCAGTACAAAAAGCGGCAAGTCAAGACCATCTCTCACCTTTGGTAGCTCTGACGGTCTCCTCAGAAGTTGGTTTCTTAGTTGACGGGGGAAGAACCGGCTTATGGACGTCAACCGGTACAATCTCTGGTCTTGGCTTCGGTGGTGGAAGCTCCTTCTTCTCGGGGACAACTTTGTGAGCCATCTCGGAGACCTTCTGCTTCACTTCGGAAACAGAATGTCCCAATTTCTCAACAATTGGGGTGCTTACAAAAGCATTCCGTCTAAACTTTCAACAATACCTAACAATTAAAGCAATAAAACTCACGTTGGAGGCCCAATTGTGGCATCAAACAATTGTTTGGACTGTGGGATTGTATCTTCAACAGTTTTCCGGAACTCGGTATCAACGTAGGCGTATCCCAAGGTTCCTCCGACAACCCCAGTACCAACCGCAGTCAAGGCGAACAGCTTTTTACCAACTCCACCACTTTTCTTCACACCTTCCGCTGCTGATTGCGAAGCTTCACGTATGGAGCCAACTCGACATTTTATGGACTCCTTTGCGGCCAACCGCAACATTATAAACCCCTAAAAAGAAATAAAATAAAGAAAGAATAAGAAACATCTCAAGGATAATATATTTCATAAAATCGCGAAGTGACAATTGTCGAATACAAGGGCAGGGTGAAAAATCAACGGACGTGTAAACCAAGATGTTTCAATAAAGTTTGTATTGTAAACACTTGCTTCTTGATCCATGAAAAGAAAGAGAAAAAGAAGGGAAACACTTGACAATTTGTGTCAAGTTTGCCCAAAACGGAACAGTTGCTTCGTTTTGAACCGTAAAGAACATGTACACATGTTGGAAGCGAATTCACGTGAAGGATGCGATGAGGTAAGCGGATGATAGGTGGAGTTGATTATAAGTCTAGGAAAGCGTCGTTCACAGGTGTTTTATTATTTTTAATCGCAATTTATAGCAAGTTTTTCGTATTTTTTGATGTCTAATGGCCTATCGAACCCAACGAATTCGTTTCCGTCGATTGCCAAGTGATTCCCTAGTGCCTGATATCAGATCTGAGAGAATTACGAATTATTTCAGGATTGAGAATAGATGTTTATTCATAGGATACAATTTTAAACACGGGGGGAGTTCAATGCGCTCAGCAAAACTTGTATGTCTCCATTGTCTGGCCTCAGAGTGGCGGCTAATTGTGCCTCAGAACGAGCATCATGCGCCTTTCCTTGATCAAAGTAGCATTTCGCTCGGAAATAATGTAATTGAAATGCCACATTCTCCGTGTCCGCATAACGGAGCGCTTCTCCGGCGAGCTTTACGGCTTCCGGGAATTCGTTGTTTTGTCGCTTGATGTCCGCTACTGTGTACAACAACTCGCATTTGCACAGTCGAAGTTGTGGTTGTATCGCCTCGATCGTGTTGTTCTTGTTGGTCTTGTTCTTCGTTGTTGTTGATGATGCAATTAGTGGGGTGAAAGTGTTTTCGTCAATAAGAAATTCGGTGCATTTCTCGAGGGCATGGTGGAATCGATGCATGGCTTCTTCGAACCGGTTCCTCCTGTATAATGTGCGTCCATCGTCGAATAACTTTCGGATTAGTGAGATAACATGTTGAGGATTCGATTCGGCGGCGATTTTCCAGGTCAGCGAACGAAGACGTGCGCCGCGGCGGAGGAAAACATCTACTGCGTTCTGTTTGCCGTTGGTTAAGGCTATCTCTACTGCTCGCATACCTGAAAAATGATGGGTTTTATAGGTCGATATGATATTCGTAAGACCCTTTTAGAGTTTTTATTTATGTAGATCTCTGGTATCATCGGCAATTTCAAAGACTTTCTAAAATCACTTTATCCATCTCTTACCGTCATTGTTCTTCGCATCGACCTGAAGTCCACTTTCTAATAGCCGATCAACGAGTGATTTATTATGATGAATCGCTAGTAGATGTAACAAGGTGTTCCCATCTTTGTCCACGACGTTGATATCAGCTTTTCGGTTGATTAATTGTGAAGCCAATGAGAATTGCTCATTCAGAATAGCATGCGAAAGGGCGGAGAGGCCCTCAACATCCTGATGGTTTATGTCGATTCCTGAAATCAATTTAGTTATGGATTCCTGACTTGATTTGCTTATAGATTTTCAAAGTAACGCCATATAGAGATCCCACCTTTATTCAACAACAAATCCACTAGTCCAATATGGCCCAATCTGCTCGCCACAATCAGCGCATTCCACTGAGTTCCATCCACGAGATCTTTATTGATCTCTCCGTCATAGCCATTCAGAACACTGACCACCAGATCCCACGAGCCAGACTCCACGGCGCATATTAATGAGGATTTCCCATCGTATCTCTGATCTTTGGAAAGAGTAACACCCTTTGCTAAGAAGTATTGAACTAGCTCCAATTGACCATTGGAACAGGCTATCAGCATGTTGTTCACAAGATTTACATTGACATCAGTTTTGTTGAGGATGAATTCGACTAGTTCGATCTGGCCGGCTTTTGTCGCTAATTCTAGACTATGTTGGACTTGATCCGCTTTGATTTTGTTCGCATTCTCTCCCCAATCGCAATCGTAAATGAGTGCGAACATGTCTACAGACCCTGCTAATGCCGAATGGACCATAACTGTCTGTCCCACACTGTCTCTCATGCAAATGTCCACTCCTGCTTCTAGTAGTAGTTTGACAGCTTCTTTGTGATTCTCTCTAACTGCGTGCATTAATGGACTCATGCCAGTCGATCTGCTGCAACAATTGACCTCCACTCCATAGTGGATTAGGAGTTGTAGAAGAATAAGATTGCCAGATCGAGCATACGAACAGAGCAGAGGCTCTTGGTTCTCATGCCAAAAGATGTTGGTTTGAGCTCCGGCCATCAAAAGTAGACGAGTCACTTTGTTGTTTGGGTAGAAAACATTCCGTTGGTATAAGAGCGCACTCTGAACTTTGGTTCCGGCACATCTTTGGATCCATAGGACCTGCGCATCTCGGCCAGTCGGCATTTCCGGGGCCATATCTGGAGGCATATATTTGTGGGGATTGGCCTTCAGAAGATGATGTCCTAATTCGAACAGGTCTTCCGGGGTACTATCACCTTTTCTGGTGTAGTATAGACCATGAAGAAGGTGGCCATATCTGGAAAGATGATATTTAGTGGGTAGAATAGAACAGCTCGTACAGATATGTAGAAAGGGGTACTTACCTGACATTGATAAGATAATCGGTATGATTACTCCCATGTAACAACCATTCCCGCAACGAATTATGACATTGAACATACGCACCAGTAGAGAGTTTACATACAAATGGACTTAGCAAGTATAACCTGAATCGATTTAAGCATGAGATATGAGTTACGTACCTGTTTTCCAACTCCTTGGGGGATAAACCATAGTTAGCATTACCCGAATTCATAATTTTTAATAACCTTTCGAAAGTCAGCGGACGTAATGAGGCCAGGATCACGCTCATTACCGTTGATGCAGCGTGGAACTGTTGGAGAGAACTGAAAATAGATCAAACTAGGGATCAAAGTAACAGCTAAAGCAATATAATTTTTGGGGTTACGCAATTGTTGCAAGGACTCACGTGAAAATACAGTTAAAATACAAGAGGTAGAGTTGGTTGAGGTCCTGAGGCAAGAGAGACAAGGTAGTGTTCCGCATCTGGATGAGGTCATTCTCGATGATATCCATCAACAATATAATGAACAGCGCGTTTCCTTTGGCTCGTTGAACAATTTCATCGACGAAATCGCAGAGCACTTGGTTCGGAGATTGAGGACGTTGTTCGCAGATTCTCTTCTCCAATTGAGGATTCGTGGTTAATCGGTAATCAACGAGCAATCGCATATCTCGAGCCACTCTCTCATCGAGTTCCATGTCATCGATCCAAAGAGATCTGGCCTCAGCGCCGGCAAAGGGAATATTCTCAGTTGAGGCGGTTAGAATCCATCGGATCCATGGAGGTAGTAGATGATGGCATTCTCGGATAAGCCATGAAATCGATTCTCCGTTTTCGTTTCGATGAAATTCGGCTTCATCAATGGCATCCACCACAATCATCGCGGTATCGGGCTTCGAATCAAGTTTATCCACCAAATTCAACGGCTCTACGATGAGTTTGGTAAATAATTTGATCGGCGACAACTTCAAAGCCTCGTTTTCGCCTTCTAAAAGTTGAAGGAGATCATCGTTCTCTTCAATTAGGTCGTTGTAATCCTTCATGGCCGGATTGGCTCGGAGATATGAGGCTAGATTTTGTATGAATTCAGGAATTCCACAAGTATTTGATGAATATAAATGACATTCATGATAGGCAACGACTTTGTTTGCAACTTTCCTCAACCATTCGTAATTTTTGGAGCTGACTGTGGAGTCATTGGAGCCTTGATTTCCAACGACAATACCCGAATCCACAGTATCTCCGTTTGAATTCTGCAAGAGTATAAGGTTAACATTACTACTTATGAGTGTTGTCTTACCTTTTTCGCGTAGAAGGATGAGTGTAAAAGAAGTTGGCGCATGATTGCGGTCTTTCCAGTGCCATTTGCACCTCTTATCAATGTAATCTTGGCTTGTTCGGCGATTACAGTTTGATGTAATTCTTTGAATAGCCATTCTCTGCCCAAGAAGACAACATCAGAGGTGTTTTCGGGAGTAAAGTCATGCATTTCGAACAAAAACGACGGCTAAATTGTCAAACAATTGTCACCAAAAAGTTTAATTTACCTTATTCTTGAGGATTGCACTCTGATCCACCAAACTTTTCATGCTGGGCTGATGAAACAGCCCATTGAGGTGATATTGGGGACGATGTCTCGTAGTTGGAGGCTCATCTCTCGCTCCATAACTCAACGATCTCATTGCTGGACGACCAGCCGGTAAACAGGAGATTGTTGATTGAGCTGAAGCTGTAGGGATCTCGACATGACTTTTACAGTCTCTCCATGAGGCGTCATACACTTCCCCAGAATGATCATACGAGGTGTTGGGGAGGAATTGTAACTGTCGTTGATGGTTGGAGTTGATCATCAAGTTCTTCATGTGCTCATGGATTACTTCCTCGGCTTCTTGGGCGTTGGGAGGGTGCTGAAATGTGTGATTTACATATGGTAGGCAAAGTAGAGATGATTAGGAGAGTCGAATTTCTTGGGGAGTTTTGAAAACACCCTTAATTTCCGGACAAATGACCCTCCTCAACTCCCCATTCCCTATCATAAATCATCCTCAAATCTCTCTTCAAAAACCCATCTTTCACACTTACATAGCTGGGAAGAGGCGGTCGGGAATGTCGATTATTCCGTACTCGACAGCTCCCTCCAACCCCATTCTCTCGAGGTGGGAGGCTGCGAAGAAGGGCCGGACTGTCAGAAGGCACCGTCATACACATGGGATTCTGTTCGTAAACGGCCGAACTGGTCTCCGTGACGGCCGAGTTGGTCATTTGAGAGCCATAAAGAGGCCGTTCGAAGTTCCAACTGGTCGGTTCTTCGGCTTTGCTGAGGCCTGAAAGTATTATTGAGGTTATATTAAGTTATATGATGTAGTATATGCAATAACTTAGTGTAACTCAAAGTGAAAGAGCTTTGAATAGCCCATGATTTCCTCGCTCTTACCCTTCCTTGCCCTCGTTAACCTTGGCGTTGCCGGCAATCGGAACAGCCGGCTTTTAAAGGGATTAATTTGCCGCAGCGAACGGCGAAATGTCCCAAATTTGTTGTATTCCTGATCCCCGATCTCATCTCGAACCACCATGGACGACATGGCACTGAGGCCGTCGCGAGGGTGGAGGTTGTTGTGAACAGTTCTGGAAAACAGTGACTAGTAAAAAATAATTTGATAAGGGCGATAAAACATCAACAAAAAATTTCTGGAGCAAAATAAAAAAGCGACAAAAACAATAAAATTAATGAGAGGACTTATCAGCTGAAACAAGTTATTTTTTGATGACCTTAAGATAATCGAAAAAACATTTGGCGTTATAAAAATATTTGAAGGACAAAAAAATGATCACGGTGGGACTGCTGAAACATTTCCAAAAAGATCACATGTGGTATTGATATTGTGACTCAAGAAGAGGGGATGAGAAAACCCCCTCTCTCTATTGACTAACCCCTCTAGCGCGCAACAATAAGCCGAGCGAAGAAGAGGGGGTCGAGAGTACAAATAGCAACAGTCTCGAAGTGACCGAAACCCCCCAAAAATTCCTTCGAAAACCGAGAGTCCTGAATACGAATTACGGGCGGATTCGCGCAAAAACTCTTCCCCGAATCAGTTTACGAGCACATCCCCCGCGACTTCTTGTCGACTGCACGGTGCATTTGCGCGCTGTTGGAAGACGCCAGAAATGAAAAGGAGCCGTTTACAGAGGAACGTTACTGCTTAATATGGGAACTCTCAGAAACCAATACTTTCCTCTTTGTTTGAGTGATTGCACTTGGGTTACGTAAATATAGTTTGATGCATAGGCTACTAAATAATTGGGAAGTTTTCGGACTTCTGGTTTTGGCATTTATAGGAGAGACTGCCAGGTTTTAGCTCGAGATCACCGACATTTTGATGCCGCAAATACGATATGCACATTAATATCAAAAAATATCCTACCCCTCCTTTACTTCCTATAATTTCTTGAGGATTGTTGGTAATCTCAGTGGCCCCTGTAACTCGGGTTAAAAGTTTCAGGCAAATGAGAACTGGCCTCGATACGTTGTTGCCGCAAAAACGGAAGAAAATTTGAGGTCGTACCTTGCATATATATTTTATAGCATAGCAAAAGATACTATCCCCGCGGACCTCCGGAACTTTCGGGATCGCCGACCCATTTGTTTTTTGATACGAAGCCCGAGGACAACATTAAAACGCGCCAAAACCTATACGATGCCGCGGGGCAAAAGATCCCTCACATAACATGGTTTAGGGAGAGCGAGGGAGAAAAGTTGAAATCAATCAAAGGAAACGGCCCAAAAAACAAAGAAAAAACTAAGACCGAAGATGGAACGGCCCACAAAAAAGGCCTACCGGCATTTCTTGGGACTTTCCGGGGGCTCTACGATAACTTAACTTTGGAAAAAAAAACGATGAAGAAGGCAAAAGTTGCGGTTAATTCCCGGGACAAATGTTCATGGCCAAAAGTTTCGCCAAATTGAAACTTTTGATGGAAAAAAGAAAAAAGTGGGCGCTCTTTCAACCTGAGCAAAACGACGGACGGCCTCCCGTTCTGTTCGCACTTATCCCGGCTGTTGTAATATTTATTAGGCTCCGCATCTGAATCGAAAATGGGCTCGGATAACGGGCGCCGTGCGAGGAGAAGAGGACTCGGGTGAAACTTGCAACACTTTTTGATTGCTTTAAAATTGTTTTGACTAGTTTATTAGGCTCTGCGCTAAATTTAAGGGGCAATTTCTTAGCGAAAATTTTCTGCGAGATCTAACAAGTAAAAAAGTTTCGGTTAAAATCCCCCAGATTTAGTGCTGCTTCTTCCTGGGGAACGTTTCCACCTCCGAAAACCCGATCCCAACCCCAGCCAATTTGAATATTCAAATAGAGAAGCCCATTTTATAAACCCGTAAATCCGCGCCGGAAGCAGCCCACAAGTGCGGATTGTCCACTCCAACGGGTTTTTAATGGTGTGACGGAATGGCCTCGTGGGAAGTTGACTTCGGGATCTTGCCTATTTCTTCGTACAGGACGAGTGACCCGTTGGGCCAAATGCCGCGAAAAAAACAAACCCGAAACTTCCCCGAACTGCTTCATAACCCGGAGACGCCTCTACTTGGACCGAGAAATTTCACACGGAATTCAATCTCGCAGAGAAGCGCCGGCAAACCCTAAAGTTATTTGAAATCGAGTAATGGGACTTGTAAAACGAGCCAGTCGGTACTGGGCCATGTGGGGCCAAGGCGGTCTTTTTTAATGGGGTTTATTGATCGGGGTTCGCTTAGAGATGATCTGGGCTACTTTGGAAAGGCATTAAACCGTTTTTAACTCTCCTGAAAACTTATATAACTGTTTCAAAAAGCTCGAAAAGTTATTTCAAATACTTCCTTAAGTAAACTCCCCTTGTTTCTAATAGGAAATAAAGTTGGAGCGGGCCATATCCTCCTTTCCCGAACCCTTTATTTGAAATCCGATCCACAATGACCGATGCGTAAAAAAATGGGCCCTCCGGGTTTTGAACTCTTTTCCCGAAACCTAAATAACAAAGACTGGCGCCTGAGGGCATCTCCCGAAAAGAATGGCCTCGATCAGAGGTTCAGCGAAAATTTTAAAGGCGAACAGCCGCCATTTCAAAAGATCGACCCGACCTAGGGGCATGTTCGTTTCGGGCCGAGCGGTCACTCGTTTCGTCGGTTCTTCACCTTTAGTGGGGGTAAGGTAATGATTGCGGGGTCGTAAAACGCGTCATTTCCCATAAAAAAGTTTCCAAACCGGGTGGAAACAATGGACGGAATTAAAACGAAATTAATGGACTTTTCGATTTATTGCGCGTTGATGGAAGGTCAAGTGAGTCGCTGAAGTGTGGGTTTTTTTAATGTCTTCTGAAGTCAAGAACCGAGCTATGGAGATCTTGAGAAGAGGAGATCAAATTCGAATAGATCAATGAATAAAAATATTTATAACAAGATTGGTATTAATGCATAATTTGTCAGCAAAAAATTGAATAATTTCTGGGTTTCAACCAAAATTCCAACGCAAAAACAGTTTGAATCAAAATCAAAAGGGATTTTAACGAAATTTACCCAAATTCCATCGCTCTCCCATTCGAAAATCATCCAGATCCAGCTCCTCCGATCTGAAAGACATTATTCTTTTCCCCCGATATCAGCTTTCGCATATTCTCCGCTCGCCAATCTTCCAATTTGGAACAGACCAAAAAATTTGGAATGATAAAGAAGGATAAGACAAAGGGACGTCCCGACATCTCCCCAGAGGCCCAAAATTCACAGAAGTTCATCGTTATCCATGCATTCGCAATTACGGCGGAGAAAAGAAACATTTGGGGGGACAATCAGGGCCAGATGCTTTTTGTTTGCTGACAAGCCCAAAGGTTTTATTGGGGTGGGATCAGCGAGAGCTGGGAAAAGGACAAAGGGGGCTCACAAGTTACAATGCACACAAGTTACAACGGCGTTCACGGTCGTATACGGCAGTAATAATAATTTTGTACTACTATAGTAGACAGGTGATGTTACCCATGAGTCTTTCCTCAGTTTTTCTCCCTTTTTACGGCATTATTGACATGTTTATGTGGTTTGTCATACATTTTGTTGTCTAGTCTCCCATTCCAGAAAGAAAAGATGGAAGAAATATATAAAAATTGTCCAATATTAACTTCCAAGTTTATTACTGTACAAGAATGAATAAACCGCAAAATGATTACAAAAAAGAAAGATCTTTGGGCTGAAATTGAGGAGATTAACACTCATGAGACTTAAGGAATATGCTTATGAGTAAAAGAGGACTATTAAAATTGTTCTCACTGCAGAATCGGATGTTATTTACCGGTTTTAGATGAACAAGTGTAATATTGCCAATGTCATTTATAAACACCCTAATAAGAACAACATAAGAGAGAAGTTATTGTAGAGAATAAGGCACAATCTCTTGTACAAACAGACTATGGCTAGGGTACTGTAACAAAATTTTTTTGGGAGAAAAAATAATTTTCAAATTTCATTCTAAAAAATGTCTCCAGAAAAATTGTTTTTACAGTACGAAATATCTGAAACTGTCGTTTCGCAATAGAAAACAGACAACACTAGAGCATAATCCTAAAGTTATGTGAGATCTATGGGCTAGGAGAGCGTTTCAAATGCGTATTCGGCTCATTTCTTTCTGCCGGGACTACCAATGCCGAACAACTTGATGTCTCCTGCATTGAGGAGCGCGTCGATCGATTTCTGGGCAACAAATTCTGGCCTTCTAGAGAGTACAATTGAAGAGATGTTCGGCTGGAATGGGGACTTCCATTAGCGATACTAATACTCTCCTTGTCTTCGATTATTTCTTCGGCCAATTGATCCTCAACTTCGATTATATTTCTCTCAATATTCGTCTGAAAAATATAAGATATTACTTTGAAATCTATAGCCAATAGTCTATTAACAAGTACTATTCAATATAAAATTTACAATTGTATCAGCTTCGACCTCTTCAATTGGCAAATTCATTTCAATATCGGCCTCTGTGTCATCATTCTCACTGTCCGATTTGTCCGGATCTTTGGGTGGTTCTTTGCCAGCTAAATCAACAAATAATGAAATGAAAGTGCATTCTACCTTCCGCATCCTGATCTCGTTTGTTGCTTTCTTCCAGATGTTTCATCAATACAGCCACGACCACATTGACCAGCACGAATTGGGAGATCAGAACGAAGATGACGAAAAAACAAGGGGCCAGGATCGGGTCCACACAACAATTTCGCTGGCAATGATCGGATTTGTCACAATCATCCCGGAGAGCGTCCTGGAAATAAAATTTAGGGGATTAAAGATATTCGATTAGAAGAAAATCAATATTTGATGTAGTAGTTGTATACCTTCATAATTCCATTCCAATTATCGCCGGTGGCAATTCGGAACAACGTCAGGAAAGCCATGCCAAAGTTCTTAAAATGGGCGTGTTCTCCGAGACCGTCGCAGGGATGCTCTTCCGAACATTCTAGAAAAATTAGATTGTACTTGACTTACTAGCCATGTAACCTCGATTATTCGAAGAAAGAGTTATACTGTAACCATACTTACCCAATTTGCCAAACAACTCGACTCCCAGAGCAGCGAAGATAAAGAAGAGTAAAAAGAAGAGAGATCCCAGATTGCCAACTTGAGGCAACGCCTCTCCCACCGTATCCAATAAAGATCTGATTCCTTTGGCCATCTTGAGTAACTTTAGGACTCTGGCTATTCTAAGAACTCGCATTACTCGGATGATCGTAGGATTAATTGGCAGTTCTAGGGCTTCGAACTCCTCGAAGATGATACCAGCGATCGAGAGGATGACAATGAACATATCCAGTTGATTCCATCTGAAAATCATTCATATTGGGAACGTAGTAAATAAAGGGTTAAACAGTAGTAAAAGTACTCTGCAAAAATTACCGAGCGTCCAACAAAAAGTTTAAATCACAACTTATGTTATATTGTACTAGCTCACCTTTCCCGAAAGAATCGTTTAATTCCCAACGCATACAACTTTATACTGGCCTCCATCGTAAACACCGCCGTGAAGAAGTAATTCAGCGCCCTGAGGACATATTTCAAACCCTGAGGCATCATATAAAACTCCATGGCCATTGAAATGACATTAATTCCGATGACTGCAGCAATGGCCAGATCGAAGTATTTTGAAGTGATGATACTATGCACCGTCGCTCTGGTGGGCCCATACGTCGCCCAATAAGGTTGATTCTTCTTCTTTTTCTTTGGTTTCTTCTTTTGTGGACAGTTCTTTTCGTATTCTTGTCGCTTGATTTGTCGTTCAATCCTCTTTTTCCTCGCCTTTTCCCTCATTTCTGCCTCGAGGGCCTCTTTGCATTTGTGGAAATTCTCCACCACAACCCCGACGAACATGTTGAGGACAAAGAAGCCGACTAAAAGCAGAAAGGAGATGAAGTAGATCATCCGCCATTCATTGTAGTTCTCGATTGGCTGGATGTCCACTCCGACCGCGTCGATTCCCTGGTACATAATGGAGACCCATCCATCCTTGCTCGACAAGACGAACAACGACATCAGGGCCTGGCCTAGGTTGTCAAAGTTGTATCGGTGGTTTGTCCATTTGTTTCGGGGGTCCGCTTCGCAATCAGCTCTGGTGGTGACATTACTTACATCTTCGCCCGCACAGTGATACATCATTCCCTAAAATTAAGGAAACTTATTTGAAAGATGCATTTCTCCGTACAACGAAACCCCTCTACAACCAACTAATTTTTTGATTTACAGAGCATAATACTTACTTTGAAAAGTTGAACTCCAAGAATTCCAAAGATAATAAAGAAGGTGCAACAAATCAGGACGATGTTTCCGATGGGTTTTAGACTGCTGATCAATGTCATCACCACCAACTTGACGCCCGGCGCTCGGTTGATCACGCGCAATGGCCTGAGGGCACGGAGAAGTCGGAGAACTCGGATAACTCCAAAAATTTTCGGAGAATCTAAAAAAATAGTTTTGAGATCAGTTCAAAAAATTTCAAAACACATTTCATCGTACAAAACGTACCTCCGCTGACAAACATCTCCATTAGCAAGTTGATCAGACTAATTATGACCAGAATTCCATCCAAAATGTTCCATCCATCTTTGAAATACGATCCTTTTCCCACGAAACAGCCATTCGCGATGACTTTCATTGTCATTTCCACGGTGAAAATAAAAGTGAAAATGTAACCCGTAACGATCAAAAAGGTCCTCTCCACGCTCTGTGGGGGGATGGAAGGTCGTTCCATGGCCAGAGTGATACAATTTACACCAATAAACGCGAGAATTGTGTAATCGAACCACTTCTTTTGTGTCAACTTCAAACAAAAAATTCGGATCTTATTTTTGGGAGAAAAGATGAACAAAGAAGAGTCGGCGCGAGTGTAGATACAGCTCTTCCTCAACAGTCTCATGTACCATTTCTTTTTCTTTTCGCTCTCCGCCTTCTCCTGATCTGCCATCGCTTTATTGAGCTCCTGACTCATCTTCAGGTACTTGTTCATGGCATAGGCCTCAATCAACGCTCTAGGGCCATGAATTGGACATGTTGGATTGAGCAGAGTATGGAGTCCACTCCAGCTGTTCATTCGTTGACGTTGAGAGTGTTCGGGATGGATCTCGTCGACCAATCTTCCATGTGAAGGGAGGACCAGAGATGTATGGCGCATTAGACGACTTGGGATCTCATTATTGATATGAGGACGGGATGGACGATGGCCGAGATGATTGGAGATAAAGGGCTCACGGACATTGGGGTAGTAGCGAGGTCGGCGGAGAGTATCGCGGCTTTCTCGGCGAAAATGATCCTGAAAGTGGGAAATTTGACAAAAAAAATTAAAAGCTGTCATGTTTATCCCGAGAATTTGAACTTTCAATAAAAAATTCCTTCAAAAATAGGCAAATCGACACAATTTACATTATATAGATGACTTTTTCCAATCGGCATCATCAAAAAAGGCAAAAAAGGCGTCATGATGACACATGCTGATCATATTTCACTTCATTTTTCTAATTTCTAGCAATTTTAATTTTTATCCCCAGAATGCTTACATCGGCCGAGACAATACTCCTTGTCCGTTGATGAACCTCCAGTCGATGCCTCAGGCTATGTAAATTCTCTTGCGCACAAGTGCAATTCTGCTGGATACTCTTTCTTGCCTCCAAATACTGCTGAGACGTCGTTGTGTAGATCAATTCCTTGATTTCCTGTTGCTGCTTACTTTGTTCGTCTTCAGCATGCTTTCTGGCCTCTTCTTCCAGCTTTCTTTTCTCCTCTTCTTTACTCTCTTGAAACCCTTCGACCAAGATGGCAACTAGAAGATTAAAGAGGACATAGTTGCCGAATGTCATCAATGCGACGAAGTAGAGAGCGGCCCACGGTGTTGTCTGGGCCATTCCATTAAAGAGAACCATGTTCCAATCTTCTTGGGTGAGGATCTGAACAAAAATTATATTGTACTTGGTAATAAAAAGTGTCTAATGTAAGACCGATATCGACTAACGATTGGCGTCTTAAATTTCTTTCACGTCACAACAACTTACAAAAAGAAAAAAAAAAACAGTGAACCAACCACTAAAAATGTTATTCTTAATATCACACTTCAAAAAATCATCATAAACCGAATTTAGCCTCCTTAAAACATAATTTCCGGCCAAAAATGCTATAAAAATAAAGCACAAACAACATAAAACTACCTGGAAGGTGGTAAGCATAGCTCTGGACAGTGAATCAAAGTGCATTCGCTTCTGATTGGCTCCGACTTCTTCATCACAATCGTTCAATTCTTGATTACAAAACTTACAACCAAATATTTCCATGCCAAGAATACTGCAAACAGCCCGTCACAAAAACCAAAAAAATTATACATTCGACAAAACAGTACATTACAGGACATTGAACAGGGGTAACACAAAACAAGCATTGCGCAACAGAAAATTGGTAAGGCAGTGGACATAGAAAATAAGAATTATTATGATAGAATAAAGTCTACTTGAGGAGAGAAGGTTTTACATAATTACACCAGAAAAGAAGAAATCGTCATTATTTTCACTTCAAATCACGAAATCATGATTTTAGCGGAAACCCCTACCTGAAATACAGTAACCAATGCCCAGAGAAGAGAGTCGAAGTTCTTGCGCTCACATCTCTTGACGGCTTGTCCAGCCACATGCTCATCCTTGCTGCAAAACTTGCAGCCGAACAAATTCATTCCCAAAATGCTGAAGAAATTGAGATAGAAAGAGAATTTGGATGTTAAATAGTATGTTAATTTTGGAATTGTTAGATATTCTTATGCTGAATGAGTTGAGAAAGGCCTTACCTAAAAATGAAGATGAAAAGAACCAGGAGACCGAAGAAAACGGTGACATTGTCCATGGTCTTCAACATAACCACCAACTGATACCGAAGAGCCGGCATAAATCGAACCAATTTGAGAATCCGAAGTAATCGAAATGTTCGGAGCACCGACAGACCTCCCTTTCCTTCTTGAAAGAGTTCCAGCACACTGAGGACGACAATACAGCCATCAAACATGTTGAATCCATCGGCCAGGTACCCGAACAGGCCATCCGAAATCACTTTTAACAACATTTCAAAGGCAAAAAGCCCCGTGAAAAAGTAGTTCGTGTACTCGAGACTGACAGTCAAGAATTCTGGCTGTTGATGGTGCTCGATTCCCATCAAGACCGTATTAATCAAGATGGCTATCAAGATGCCTCGAGTAAAGTGATTTCCATTCGCGAATTCCTTAACTTTCTGTCGAAACCACTGCCAACGGATTTGGCAGGCGCTCTGGGGAGTGTTCTTAGTGCGTCGGCCGGGTGTGGACCGCCGAGATCGAGGTGCTGCGGTCTCATCTCCATCCATGAGTTCGGCGTTGAGTTCGTCGGTTCGGCGGACCTCATCCCAACGCTCAACAATGCTCAGATTGTGCTTAATTCCTGCAAAAATAATTTAAATCTCTGATACCAATCTAAATTCTGGCAGTTGTTTAGATTAAATTCAAAATTGTTAGTGTTACTTTAGTCACCTAAAGAAAAAAGATTCACAAATCAAGCTAAAGGTTTTTCGATACTTACTCCCATTACTTTTATGGCTCAAGCTGTGTCTTCGATTACTTTCTTCATGATTTTCCCTCGGTCCCTTCTCTTTCAACGACCCTCCAATAGTCCGATCCACTCCTTGATCAAGATCAAATGTAGTCTCCTTTAACGTGACCATTTCCTGGACACCCTTCTTCTTGTTCGATCTGTTTTCTTGATACTCGTCCCATCTTCTTGAAGTGTATCTCTTGAATCGTCGAAACCAATGGGAAATGAATCGAACGAGAGCGGCATAAACACTGTCGCCGCCTCCTTCTTTGGAAGATGTGGCTCCTCCTTGCTCACTACTGGCTATAATGAGTTGTTACGTGTAAATGGATGAGGTTGAAATTGACATAGATTTCAGAGACAATTACAAAAAAAAAAAATATTTTTTTATCAAAAATATAGAGAATCAAATCTGGGAGGGAGAAGACAGAAAGGTCTGTTTCATACTACGGTAGCCACTTACTCAGTGATGAGACTGATTTCATCCTCTTCCTCTCCTGCAACATCCTCTCGGTCTCTCTTCTCTTCGTCTCCGCAAATTGCGTGGCGATAACGACCAAACACAAGTTGATCATGAAGAACGCTCCAATAACAATCAACAATACAAAATAGATCCAATTCCAGAACGAGTGAGCATCTTGAACATAGTACATGATATCCGTCCATCCCTCCAAACTGATCACCAAGAAGATGGCAACCCAAGCGAAGCCAATATTGTCGAAAGAGACCGAGCCTTGGAATGGATTCTTCCTCATCACCTTACACTCATTGTAGTAGATGTTCCAGTTGATACAGGATCCATTTCCCACTTTGTCGTACTCTTCGATGGTGAGATTACATCGAACATTGTTCTCAGTATAGGGTGGGAGATTCTGGCAGGTATGAAGGCCACCGGCATCGGATTGGCTACAAATGTAGTCCAGTGAGGTATCTTCTGGTATGTAATACCTGAAATGCCATTATTCAAAAAAATATGTAATTTCTTTAATTAAATTTTTATACAAACTTTTGCAAAATCATTTCCATTAGTCTGTCTAGCTACAAATTCGATTGTATCTAGATTTCTACATTCTCCGCGGCATAAACTTATATTACACATGTCTGTCTGAAAATGACAGGTCTCCATGAAACGTAAAAACCAGTGAAATCTTACTTTGTTAATGAGACATTTTGAAATACGACTTCCGTCACATCATGCGAGAAGTTGGTGCGGGGCAAGTTGATCACACACCGATTGCGCAGAAGACCCGCCCACAATTGAACACCGATGATTCCGAAGATGAAGAAGACGAAGAAGCACAACAGCAGGACATTGCCTAACATAGGCAGAGTGTCCAACAATAAATTTACTGAAATTTGAGGGATTAAAGTTAAAACACAGTTCACAGAATTTTAAATTTTTTGTGTTGAGATCAAGTACCGTAGACTCACCGAGAATTCTCATGGATGGAATCCGATTTACTGCCCGAAGCGGCCTCAACACCCGGATTGTGCGAATAGCAGTTAGATTAATGTTACCCAAGTATTCTTGTAGAAGGTACTCCGCAATACTAAAAAAATATTCTATTGGACACACTGACTTACCCGGCAATTACAATGAAAAAATCGAGGCGATTCCATGTGTCCGAGAGGTAAGCGTTTTCACCGGTAAAGCCCAGAGCCGTTATTTTTATCACCTAAAATTTTAATAGAAATAAAAGCTTGTATTTTATGAGATTCTCTTCATAAAAGATATTTTCAAAGCCCAAAATTCACAGCGAGAAGAAAACTTGCCATTTCAGCTGCAAAGTAAAGGAAAATCATGTGGTCGACGAGGCCCAACACAAAGCATCGATATGTATTACAATCGGGGCCATCCTCACAGGGCCGATACATACCCAGAGTGATACAATTGAGCATGATGACGATCATGGTGAGGCGATCGAACCAAGGGTTCATCACCATCTTCAACGTCCATGATCGGGGCGGTTGGGCTTGCTTGAGGCAGTAAAGGGAGGGCTCTACGAAACTGAAAACGGAAAGGATGATATCGGCGTCAGATTAGTCGTATAAAGAAGGTTGAAAAATATGAAGAAAGGACCTTAAATTGGCAAAAAGTAAAGAAAAGATTACCCGGGATACGGAAGGTCTAAGTCACCACTTTCGATGAAATCTTTGTCCTCATTCCAATCGACCTGCGGCACTCGGGTCTCTTCGATGATTGGCTCGGGCTCAGCTAGCATCGCGACTTTCTTCGAAGAGAAACGTCGACCTCCATCTCCTTCATTCTCCTCCGACGGCGGTTGGCTTATCGATTCGAAGGTCTGGTACTGTAAAAGATGATCAATAAAATTATTCTCAAAGTCATCAAGATTAAAGTTGGGACAGCGGCAAAATAGTCCCAATTAAAGAAAAATCAAATTAAAAATTGTAGCTATCTATAAATTTCAGTGCAAAAGAAAGCCAAAATTCGGATTACGAATTTAAAAACTGTCCGGTTTGCATGTTCTTCCGAGCTTCCAAAAAACAGCTGGCTCTAAAATAACAATATTTTTTGTAATAAAAAAATAACATTACGTGTTGACCGTAAAGGTTAGTGGCTTAATCCTTAAAGCATGGCTTATCATTCAAGCCGAAACCGTCGAGATATCGATAGTAATTTGAACGAACAGAGCCATCAAAAGTGTAGTACAGAAACATGGAACCCGTTTGAGTTTACAAAACGCCTATAATCCTAATCCCCAAGGGTTTGTTTCGACTGTTTTCAACGCGGAAAACATTCGACAACCGCGCCGCTTAAAGTCGTCGAGTTTACTCGAGGATTTTAAGCCGTCCCATTAGCCAACAGCTTTGCATAGTAAATGGCCATCTCCTCTCCGCCGAACTCACTTCATCATTTTGGGAGTCGTGCCGGCGGCGGCGTTGATTCGAGTACCGTCGATTCTGGACAGTCGAATGCCTTCGCATAACCGACCTAAATAAGGTGAGTTAGAGGGTTGAAGGAGTGATGCTTAAAGAATTCTAAACTTGTTAATTTAAGGAAAAATCAGTATTCTTTTAAAGTTATTTGTTAGTAAAAATGGTTTAAAATAGCGGTGAGGACCATACTATAATATATTGTAGCCAAAGTGGATCCCATAGGCAAAGCCTAGGAACTCCGTCTCAAGAAGAAGATGATAAACTGGTGGATACCTTTTAGAAGGAAGCCCCGTGTACTTGGAGAGGCTCTGGAAGGAGCGCAACTCCTTGGCCACAGGTTGTTGTAGCATTGCGGGAGAGGGTTATAAAAGGGGGAGAGCTTGAGTTGAGTGTGGAAACTGGAGCTGCTTAAGCGTCTTGCCCTGCGACGGCGGTTGCCGGTTGCTGGAATCGACTGCTGCGAACGTATCCACGCACTCCCGAGGGCATGTCAGTGGTGCGAGAGGCGCTGTGCCGTCGTCAAGTCGGGGACCCACAGCGCGTTGCAAAGACATGCGCCCGTGGCCTGGAAGACCACAAGGCCGTCTTCACAGCGCATAAACCGGGAGCTGAAAGTTGATTTGATTAGAATTACAGTTGATTTTAGTCTTTGGGGATAAGAAAATAATAGCAAAGGTGGTCATTAAAAGTAGAAACAACTAACGACTTGTTTCAAACTCCGTCTGGGCTCGTTGAGATACCCGTTGAAGCAGTTGTAACGTCGAATGTAGTGGCTCGTTCCGTTTCGTCTGACCGATTATAGGGCTCACGCAAACACCTGAACCATTAACCAATGCTACCTTTCGTGTCTCACTGAAAATTGCCCATATTAATCGCGTAATCGGGCGTGAATTCCGCGTATTGGTCGCGAGAAACATGTGAAATGCAATACCCAAGACTTCCGGCGCTGATCAAGGAGCCCAACGAAAGTCGCAAAAAACATCTGACTAGCCGGAAAAGCGGAAGAAAGGCGGGCCAAAAAAGTCGCCCCAGACCGAATCGCGCATCAATTTTACACGTATCACTGAACTTGGGCCCATTCTCAAATAAAAACGGGAATGGCGGGCGACGAGGGCACGCCAATAACAGTTCCCCACCCCCGGCGACAGCCTCGACTTCACGCTACTCCCCCCACTTGATATTGGAATGAGGAGGAGCGGCCGTATGTCCTCTCCTTTCGCCATGAAATTCCCCCTCCATTTCATACCTCAACAATTTGCATCGTGAGAATACACCATATTTACAGCATATAGAAGAAAGCGGGAACAGGGAGAGCACCTTGGCCCCGTTCTCCCGTCCCCCCACGTTCTTCGCCGGCTTTCCTCTCGGCCCCGCGGGCAAATTGTGGCCCGACCTTGGCGGACTCAGGGCGGAAAATCGCTGTAGCCCCTTGGACAATTCGGCGGCGTTCCGGCATGAATCCGCATGTGTTCGCAGCCCCTCAGGGCACGTCATTACACCGGTGGAGGCCGAGTGTAACAGAGCGGGTCATTGGCTACAAATGGAAGGAAATTGGGGAGGAGAGGAGACAAAAGAGCGAGATTTGTGGTCTCCAAGGAAGACGGGTGGGGTAAGAGGCGACCAAAAAATAAAAATTTGTCCGGAGGACGGTAAAAACTTTATTTTTCTCTATTCAAAACTCACTTAATCCCATAAAAGCCTCATAAGTTTAGCTAAAACCTGAATATTATATAAAGTATAAACAACCGATGATGTGGCTATGTAAACACAAAATGCATAAAAAATGCGGGAAAACATTGCAAAGTGCAGATTGACCTCTAATGCAGTTATGCTGCAAAAAAATTCATGAGAAACTGAATTAAATCTCGCTATGTTTAAAAGACTGTAACATTATAGCAGTTACATTTTTTACAGCCATTTTTGATGGGAAAATAAACTGAGGGTAATTTGTCATTTTCAGTCTCTGAACCCCAACAAAGATTAGTGATCTTTGACCGCAAATATTGCCCATGAGACCCATAAAAATGGCTGCAAATCTCCCCTCCAGACAGGTACAACCATTGTCACATCCATTCCCAACGTAGTCTCATAAATGATGAGATAAAAAGAAGACTTTAAGGGCCGGAGCAACAAAGGACACGAGCATCACTCAAAGGCTCTCGAAAATAATTAAAATTCCACTCAAGTCGTTAGTTAACCTGTGCCCTTAAATGCAGCCCCCGGAACCTCAACGGCGCGCCAAGAAAAACGGGCCCCGCCAGTCCGGAAAGTGTCTTTTGAAATGGTAAAAAAGAAAGTTTCTGAAAGGAAAATGACCCGGCTGTCCCTGGCCGAACACGCCGGAGGTGATAAACATCGGGAGCAGCCAGAAAAGAAGGCCAGGTTCTGCAGCCCCAATAAGGCAATGGACTTTTGAATAAGGTCAAAAAACACCGGTTAATGAAACATGACGGGGCCGAGACTGGGATGTAAATAGATAAAGGGGAAAGTGTAAGTGGATTAGAGAGTGGTTTGGGATGTTTTGAGATTAAAGGAATCCGAGGAATGAAGAAATTCCGGGCTGAGCATCCGGAGAAACGGCCGTAAAATCGTCAATCCCATAAACCCGAGAAATCGCCGGATATCGAAAATATATAAGACAGCTCTGATCATGATCTTCTCCTCTCTTTGTGAGAAATTAGACGACGCGTAAATAAGCGGAAATCGAGCTGAGGAGGTATTTGGACGGGTTTGAGGACTGGCTGGCGATCAAAACATGACACTTAGACAAGTGTCTGCATGCCCAAGAGAACCCCATGCATTCCCACAATCTCCCCGAGGACCTCCGGCTGTCGTAACAAAGTGCCCTCCAGGCCTCTTCTTTCCACCGTTTTCTTGACTCACCACAGGTAGAAGGAGCCGAAGATCTTCTTCTTTATCTCTTACCCCCTCGGGGGAACGCTGAGGGAAACCACTGGCGGCCAATTAATCACCAACCGGGGAGCAGTGCAGATGAAGGTGAAGATGGAGGGGGATGGGGGTGGCAGCTAACGTAATTTGTCAGGACTTCGAAGCATTCAACGTGATTTATCATGAAACTTCGATTCGAGTTCCGAGCCGAGAAAGTGCAAAGACGTCAGGAAATAGTTTAGAAGACGTTTGGTGACAAACTTGTCTCCAGGGAATCCAAAATGTTGTCAAAATATGATTAAATCGCGTGGGATCAAGACATTTGGCTTTTATAAATAAAAAAGTGTATTATTTTCGCCGGAAATCGGATTTCTCGTAAATAAAGAGGACCTTATGATAACCATGACATCTTTATGAACGGCCATAAAGTTCGGCATCTTCTTCGGAGCACAGATCCCCCTCAGAGAACGGCTCCTTCGCCGGGGCAAGGAGACGTTTATTGAGGAAGGAGAAACGGCGAATTTAAAAAAAAAAGAAAAACGAAGAAACAAACCCTCCAGGCTCCGCTCCGTCTTTCTGCACCTTCATGAAGTCGCCCGCAACTCAGGCTGTGCCCGAAATTTGAGCACCTTCTATTACGAACGCATCAGGCCAGGGGGAAAGGCGCAGCCCAGAGTCCCGCAAAATGAATGTGGGAGCGGCCGGTCGGGGCACGATGGGAATCAGAAGAAGATGCGTACCGAATATCACGCCAGAAAGGGGAATCTCTGCACTTGACGTTTTGAGTAAACATCAAGTCGAAGAAGTCCAACGGTACGTGGAATCGAAGCATTTTGGGGGACAAGTGGGATCATGCGGAAGGAAAAATGGCAAAATTTTTTTAAAAATCAAGAAATAGCATTAAAGTGCAATTACAGTAGTAAATGACACAAAAAACAATCCCTATTTTGCAAAGAAAGCTCTTTAAAAGTAAATAAAAAACTTCTTGAAGCCCCCATGTATCCATTTCAATGATGATAATCAAATATTCGGACGGCAAAAACAAGACGGGACATCTTTAATAAAATTTCTCCTCTACGTGCATTTACAACAACCAGCAAGACAACTTTACATTTTCAGAATTCCACCGTACCTGTAGAACAACAGTACGCAAGGTCCGGAAGTCTAGTGCAAGGTTCTCACAAGGCCAACATAATGGTTTATGTAAGGCGGTCAAGGCAAGTGTGAAGCCGTAAACAAAAGCGCTGGGCCAAGAGTTCAAAGAACCATGGCCAAAAATCTCGAAATCCGCGGATTTCGAGGTTCTTAGACAGCCGGGTAATCCGCAGATGCATCCACAAGTCCTCCAGCCGTCAGAGGAACCAGTGTTGAACGTCATCCCCTGCGGCGGATAATTCCGCATAACGGGCATGGGCCCGGGACGGGCGGAGCAGTCGATTGGGCGCTCATCGCTCTCCCCTCATCTCCTTTTCATCCACTACGCCGCAGAAGGAAGCGAGCGGGAACAGAACAGAGAACTAGTATTCGAAAAAGGAGGGGGAGATATGGCCAAGTGCCCAGCGGATTATTTACAGCCCGCACGGTCCATGGCCTCATGGACGGCGGCCGAAACAAACATCTGCATGATGAAGGGGCGACTTTTTCGTACTAGTACCAAAATTGCAGGGATTTTGTCGACGAACCGGCTTAAAATCAAACTCCATCTATTTCTACCAGCCTAAAATTTAACAGTCACGCTCTATATTAAAGCTAGATGCCTACTGTTTAGACGCAAATACTGTTCAATGACAAAAACCCGACTGAAAGCACCCCAAAAAAGATACGTTGTCCATCCGTATCCGGAACAAATTGACCGCTCAACTTTGCGGCCATTGATCACCCGCCTGTCAGAGAATTCCCTCACGGCCTTATAACCACTCAGCGCACGACTAGTTGAACCCATGCAAACATAATGCAACCTGGTCATCCGACACCCTAATGCCCATCCTCGGCCCCAAACATATCCGTTTGGCATCCGATTCGAAGTACAGGAAAGGCTTTGCAGTCATTTCCTGCATTCCGCTACGGTAAGGCCGCTTTCCAAACAAAAGAATCGGACCGCCGAGATACGGTCGGGGAGGGGAAAGTATGACTTTCATAAAGACGATTACACGTATCACTCTTGTTTGATTTAAAGTTATGTCAACATGGAAGGTCTAGGGCCTCCAAATTAATCCCCTTCGTAATTTCGAAAATCGAAGCCGATCGAAAATCAAACGTCTATAAGGATTACAACAGGTTACAATTATTTTTTGAAGGTATTTGACAAGAAACAGATCTCAAAAGAACCATGAAACGTGCAGGACATAAGAAATAACACTTTTGAATGTGCTTAAGGGCTTAATCCATGGGGGATTCATATGACATGAATCTTTTAGACTCTCTAAACCGAAAACGCCTCCGATGATATAAAGAGATAAAATATGTTTTATCCAAAAGTTACTATATGCAACTACTACAAGTTTTTAGTGACAAAAAGGCTCTGTTATCGACCTGAAACCCTCAAAGGAACGGTGTTGGCCCTCAATCATTAGTTAGGGTCATTTGCCGACCAAAACATTGCCTTACCCACCAACCAAAAATCCTCAAGGATCGAAAATTTCAGATGTCCCTGCAACAGTCTTCATGCCGCAATAGACCAATCCACAAACTCAAACATCATGTTAAACAGAAGAACTTCCAGTAATTGCTTAAAAATATTAATTAATTCACTATTAAAAATTGGACCTCATGTCCAAACAAACATTTGAGCGCTCACGTCCGAAAAAAGTAGTGCCCAAACTGAACCGAAGCGGGAATTTGAAGCATATTCATGACCATTGAAAGGACATGAAATTCGGGGAAGAGATCTCGTGTCAGATCTGGTATGGCTCTCCAAGTGTCCACTAAGTATAATATAATTTGCAAAGGAGATGTAAAGTTGGTAAAAAAATGTTCTTTGAAATAATTAGGCCTCAAAACGACTCTTTACTGCCGAAACTACAATTTATTAGACAAGGGGCTCAAGCATATCTTTGTATAAAATGTCGCCCGCCTTCTTCAGAACACTAGGGCGCAGCTGGCCGTCAGTAATGTTATTTTTATTTCCAAAAACAGTCTTGGTGTTGTAAACTTGCGCAAAATGTCTCAGAAACAAGTGAAACCTTTCGGATCTTGGGATTTTTCACTTCCTACTAGTTTTGTGACCTCAGGGGAATTCAAAGGATTTCCTGAACTTCAACTCACTCAAGGTTTGTATTTATTTTGATCAAAAAATACACTATCATTTCAGATGGGACTGTTTATCTTCTCAAACAATTGAGTAGCAATGGAAGCCGAGTATTATTTAGGAAAACATTAGGTTCAAGTGATTTTGAGAGGGTTCCAGTTGAGGATAAGATCAAAAATGGAGGTAGGTGCTATAATATAAAAGTTGTAATAAATTTGGCTAATTATTCAAAGTGTAAAATGTCAGTGTTGGAAGTTAATTTGACAGTTTTTTAATCTGACGTCAACTTGCCGTCAAACTGCGTCATTTTCGGCATTTTGGTTCTTTCAAACACGAGTTTAGCATACATTATGATGAATATCATTAATATTGGTCGTAACTTGTTTTATTGCTTATTTCATCAGAAATTTGGTTCCTAAAAATTTTAAATTAGTACGATTTTATAGCAAAAATTTACAAAAATTTTCTAAAAACTTCAATTTGACAATCAAAATGCCAGAACAACTTGACATGACGAAAATGCTGCTTCAAGTTAACGACATAACATCCCTAGTTTATATGATGCTCCTTAGGACTTAAGCTTTGTTTCCAGTTAATGCGTATGGTGCTCTCTCGGTCTTTGCCCGCAGCAAGGACGAATTTGTTTATACCAGCCCATCAAAGATCACTTGGGTTAGACATGGAGAAAAGAGGAGCTTCCAGGCCGAGAAGAAAGAGTTGGGTGATTTGAACATTTACAAGGATCATGTTTATGCGCTCGTGGAGGATAAAAACGTCAGGCCGTCGACGCAGTCAATCGCGAGATTTGATTTTAATAATCCGGAAGATGAATTGACAATTGCTGAAGGATATGATTTTTATGCGTCACCAAGAGTCAGTCCTGATGGTCAATATCTCTTGTATACGGGTTGGAACGATCCTAACATGGTAAGAGGTTGGTGGTTATAGGCCTTTTTATCAATTTTTATATTGTACTAGACTCTTATATATTTGCCTAAAATTTTAGCCATGGGATGCGACTACTGTTCACCTTGTCGACCTTAACAAAAACCCAAAGACTAGTATACGCGTTCTCCCTCATGATGAGAAGGCTCTCACCAATTATCAGGCCATTCAATGGGCTCCAGATTCGAAATCATTTTATTTCATCAGCGATCATGAAGACTCTTGGATAATCTATAACTACAATATTGAGAACAGTGAGTGCTTTTTGGTTGTCAAATTTGTTTTCTTTATTTTTGCATTACACCAAAATTTTTGATATTACACTTGACGCTCTGAGATTATTTTTAGTTTTTTGCAGATTTCATTCATCGCGTGGCTTCTGTTCACGGTGCAGATCTGGGAGACGCAATTTGGCAGATTGGGGATGACAAATTTTATGCGGTAAATGAGAATTACGTAATCTACAGTGCCAATGAAGTGTTGTTCAAGAAGAATGTGAAGACAGAGGAAGTGTCATCTATTGAAATTCCTGGTTTCAATACGTTTAATAAAATATTCATTGATTCCAATGATAATGTTGTGTGTTTAGCACAAGGCCCGGTCAAAGGGGATACCGTTCTTCATATAACTCAGGACGTAAGTTGATGCTAATATAATATAATTAATACAATTTTATTCGATTTTGATAATAATAAGATTGATGTTTAGAATCACCTTCACATCCTTGATCAAGCCTATGACTCGACGGTTTTGGAGGAATATGGATTTGGCGAATATAAACTACTAAATTATGATGTATTTGATGAGAAAACCGGCGAAAAATTTGTGATCAGCGGCTACTTTTACTCTCCAGTGGTGAGTTATAAAGCACACGGGAGAGTATCCGTATTTTAGAAGTTAAAATTAATTTTTGCTTACACTGATGTTATGACATCACATTTTTGTTTTAGAACCCCCATTTCGAAGGACCTCCGGATGAGAAGCCGCCAGTCATCCTAATGGCCCATGGAGGTCCTACAGCCCAGACTAAACCTACATTTGACAAGAAGAAGGCCTTCTATCAGTCCAAAGGCTTCGCGATTTTCGATATTAATTATCGAGGATCCACTGGAAAAGGGCGCTACTTTAGAGATGCCTTATATGGAAAGTTCGGCCAAGCAGATGTCCAAGATGTGTGTGATTCGATCAAATTCCTATCAGAGGGAGGTCCAGCCTTAGAATTCATCAATCCGGATAAAGTTTTCATCACTGGCGGGTCAGCTGGAGGATATCTTCTCCTAAGGGCTTTGGCCAGAAATCCCGAGGCATTCCGAGCCGGCGCTTGCTCGTATGGATTTTGTGATATATACGCATTGTGCTCTGAAGATCATAAGTTTGAGTATGCATACAATTATGCACTGATTTCACCAAAAGAAGACAGTAAGGTAAGGAAATATCATAGATATCGTAGATGTTAATTTAGACATGGGAAGAAAGAAACATGACCGATAAATTGGACCGAATTAAGACCCCGTTGATGTTATTCCACGGTAAAGAAGACCCTGTGGTCCCATACGCTCAGAGCATTTCGATTTATGAAGCCTTGAAAAAGAATAATATCCCAACTGGCCTCGAACTCTTTGAAGGGGAAGGGCACGGATTCAGAAGCAAGCCAGTCATTGAGAAAGTACTGGATACTACTTACAACTTCTTTTGTGAAGCTCTGGGGGTAACTCCTGGCAAGTCGGAAGCGTTGCCACCAGGAAAATCCATCAAGTTGCCCAATCAGGCGGTCAGGCTGGCCCTCAAAGCTGTTGCCAAGATATAGATTGTTGCTAATAATATTTTTACAGTGTAAATAAATATAGTAATCCTGTTTCCCAACTTTTGCAGTCGGTTTTGATCGAAGTTTTTCCCGCAACGAAAATTGAATTCTTGGCATAATGTCGAGGTAATAATATTTTTCCATTTTTTTTCCGAAAATGGCGCAGAAACTGAAAGGTATACTTGCACCAAACCAATGCTTCTGGGGAGCAGCGTTGGTATATCCAATATACGATTTAGTTTCGCAAAGTAAGTTGTCCATATAAAATTTATTTGTTTAGCCACCAGAGACGATGATAACAGGTTCGCGAGATTCCTGTATCTCGACAGAAGTAATTTCAAATGGACCGAGAAAAATATAAACTTGTTTGACGATGAATTGATCAGGTATTCGGAAGAAAAAGATGACGACTTGTCCGGGGCAAAGGTGAGGTCAAACATGATATTATTGAATCTTTAGATAAACGAAGTATTTTTGATAACAAGGTTTTTACCGATCTAGGTTTGCATTTCAGGTGATATTTGCCGTTCATCCCGGCCTTCACGATTATGTTCATGGACTTTTTTCGGCGAAAGGAGGAGCTGAGATTGATATTGCAGCACGGATATTGGTGGACAATGTGGAAGAGTTTAGGAGTATTTTGCCAGAGACTGTCAAAAGGTATGTTCATACTTACTTTTATTATCTGTTGAGTTTAGGTTGACAGGGAATTCATTGACATCACAGCAATTGAATTTGATCTCAGATAAAGAACTAAATTTGTTAATTTTGCCAGATAACGCTAAACGATTTATTTTTCACAGATGTATAGTCAAAGCCTCAAAGTAAGTCTATAGACTGATTTATTGAAAATTTATTATAGATTTAATTTAATTATTATACTTTGTGTTTCAGCTTTATCTACATGTTCGTTGACTCGCTGGCTAGCGTTTTTTCCTTTATGGTTACTTATCCCGTGTTTCTCTTTCTGACACCGAAAATAGGGCCAATCGCAAGTTTAGTGGTTGTTCCTTTGCTTGCCACAGGTTTTTTCTTCTTCATTTTGAGGTCAATGTGTAATTATGCGGTGGATTCTCATTTGGATCAACAAGCTACTGAATTGTAAGGCTTTATGGTGTTTTTGGCGGTTGCAAAATGGAGCCAAGAAGAATTGGTCAATTTTAATTGGATTTGTATTCTTACCGATAAACTTTACAGAGATGAGGAGCTGTTGAAAGGAGCATACCGATACCTCGAGATCTCTCAGAAATTCTGCCTTCTGATGAACCGATTGGCCAAGAAAGACCGAGGGCATCCGTTTTCAGCCGATGGGAATCCTACAGACACTTCCACGCCATTTGCATATCGTCTTGGAGTTCTCAAAGACCGGGAAAAGGCGAACAAAGAACAAGCTAGGAAGACAAAAAAATATGTTTGAAATGTTAATTGTTTCTTGTTGATAAAAAGTAGGGCTCTAATAGTGTCCACCCTGAAATGATCACATTCATATCAATATCTATGAATCTGTTTCGATTGGTATATTGTAGTAGGTGAAGATGAGTAAGCCACCGCCGAAACAGAGCAAACCTCCGATAACTCTCCCTCTGGACAAGTGGATTCTAAGCACATGGGGTCGGAGGTTCAGAATTGGGACATTAGCGGCTACAGTTACAGTATACCCAATTTATTATTTGATTGTGAATGGGCCCTTGGCTAAATACCGGTTCAAAACGAAAGTCGATGCGGATTCAATATTGCCAGAGAGGTTGGAAAAGTTGGTCAGCAAGGTAAAAATGCTCCTTTGATAAATATTCTTTGTGTTTTAGGAACTACAAGACTTCAAGGACAGAGAAGCAAGAGCCGATAAGGATACTGTAATCAGCTTTTACATTCAAAAGGATCTCAGTTAGTTGAATGTTACGTGTTTAGAGGGGTTTAATCTTTAGAGAATTTGGACACGGTTGCCGTCGGTTCTTTGGGAGTTCGATTTGGCGCTCATATTGGTTTACCTTTGCCAGCCAGATTTGATAGCCAAGAACAAGCCAAATCTTACTGCAAAGAATACCTGGAACCGCTGAAAGTCCTCAATAAAGATGTTTGTGTGGTATGGGACACCAAGTTTGGCGATGAATTAATTGGGACCTTCCATTTGTCAGATAATGTAAGTTTTGTCATTGGTTTGATATTTCATAAATAATTTAGGCCCTGAGGTTCCTAATCGCACGAGATATCCTGACTAGAGAGGGTTATCAGGCATACGCCAATGCCGCTATATCATGGGCAACGTGGACAGCCTTCAGTTCGCTTCTCACTTACTGGTTGCATCTACGGAAGAGCAAAGGTTTCTTCAGATTTTTTACAATATACACCATTATTACTGGACTGGCGGTATGGGCACATATTGAGTGGCATAAGTTGTATAGGTAAGGAATGGATTTTGAAGTCGGAGTCTGACTATCAAAGTGATGTTGTGTTGCCAAATTAATATAATCTTTACAGATATATGAACGATATCCACTCTGATTCGACTGCTGCCAAGATCTCGGCTTCACATTGTCTTGGAGGCATTGAATATTATGTGAAATTACTCAAACGTCATCAGTAGGTTTAGTATAATATAATTTTTTATAATTTTTGCGTGAGTTCCTGAAAGCAATTAATAATTGTGTTGTAGGCTCCTCCGAAGTGTAATGGACAATGGCTCACTGACATTTACCCCAGCCGGAGACAGATTTGGAGCTCCCACCAAATTTGTGGTCAGATATTCCGGGATCAAAGACATCAAACAGGAGTTCGCCGAGCTTGCCGAACTCTCCGAGGGAGACGTTTTCTAATTGTTATTGTCTAGTTAGGAACTTGTTATAAACATATTCATTATTACTTTATTGGCGGCACTGTACGTAGACTTGTAAAGGTATATTTCTTTTAATTATTCCTGAAGTATAATTATTGTGAAAGTTTTCCGACAATCTTTTGAGAGTTTTTTAAAAATCCTGGGCAGTAAGGGCAACTGAGATACGTAATATTCACCGGTGAGCATAAAATAAGACCTAACAAAATGAGTTCTCATCAAGCGTTAGCCATGTACAATTCGAGATTACTGTAGAATGCAACAGATCAGAACTCATCTTGTTATTTTAAGTAGACAATTTGAACTCATCTAAGGTTTTTGCGAGACTTTCGAGTGTATAGGCTTGCCACACTTCCAGCTTTGGATCATTATCCAATTTAGCGCATTTACAACACAAAGTATCGTATAACTGACGGCCTGTCTCTTCTTCCACAAAGGCCTTCGTAAAGAGGATGTTGAAGACTTCGGAAGTGCATTTACTGCAGTATGAAGTGGTGTTCTCGGTTCCTTCCTCCAACACATAGAGATAAAGGTCGTCCCTGGAGTCCACATAATCCATCACACTCCGGCAGTAGGCCAACGATCGTATCAGTGTTCCGCGGATGAGATCGTACAGTTCGGGGTCGTCAATTTTCATACGACGCGCAATCTGCCAACTGAGGTATTGCATGGGCACCAACGAAGGGTATTTGTGGATCCTATTCCATTCGGCCGCGATTAGATTCATTTTGTACTGGAATACGGATTGAGGACCAACATTCCAAGCAACGTTATTACACCATCCAATGGATTCAACCCAATGAACGCAACCTCCGTTCACCCAGACAATATCTCCTGGCTTTTGGGTAAATCGGTAAACGGGGATGCCAGCTGCCATTAAGTCATCAAAATCCGGCCACCAAGAACTGTCGAGGAATTCGATTTTTCTTCTGAAAAGCCAAGACAACTATGAGTGCGCTCTAGCTGTGTGCCCACCGTATTTTTTTGTTTAAACTTACTCTTTGCACATGGCATCAATCATTGGGAAGTATTCGTACGAAACCCCAAACCACTCGCAATCTCCTGGGCCAGCATTTAAATTCACACTACAAAAACTGTTGTTCTCCAGATGAGCTGGTGTCCGACAACCTGGCATTTTCATGTAAAACTGAGCTGTGTTCATTCCTCGGAGGTCATAACCCAAATGGGATAAGAAGTTGGTCTTGTCTTTCAGGCGGCAGAATGATGGCAGTTTTTGAAGCTCCTGGAAATTAGGGGCATTATGTAATGCTTTGCTGCAATGAACGATGATTATTATCAACAAACACAACCCGTACTTACCCCGACCTGCCGGTGGAACTTTGGCGAACTAAAGTCCACGTTGGTTCCGAAATAGATCTTATCCCGGAGAACAGCATTCGCCTTCCTCCCGTTGTTAGCGAGTTTCTTCTTTTTCCTCTTAATTCCGCTATCGTCCGAATCCTCGTCGGAATTCACCTCACTTTTAATTTGTTTTTCCCTGTGATCCAGGAGGAATTGGGTAGCCTCAAAAACAATACTTTCAAAGGAAAGCCCTTGGTATTCAGCGTACGTCTTCACATCACTCCGGCATTTGAATGAATGAAATCGCCATGTTTGCGAACCTTCGCTGTCCACATTGGTACGTGTTGGCATAAACCATTGCTCTCGGAGCTCCAACTCATCGGTTGCGGCGAGTTTTAGGATAGTCTTTGTAGAGAAGGCAGCGTTGTCAATCCCGAGAACGTTCGGTAATCCCCTAACCATCGCGATTGAGTTCTCCAAACACAGATTTCTCACCGCGGGGCTCATGGCTTCTTCGTAGGTTCGCACATGAATCAGAGGTACTTTCGGTGTCAAACAGTCCACTTTCGAACGACATGGCCGCGGTTGGAAAGGAATTTCGTCGGTTTTAATTTCCGCTACAATTCCAAGCCCTCTTTCCTGCGTGTTTTCCGCACATGTAGAAAAGATCTCTGTCGAACTGATGTCTAGTGGCACTTTTAAGGGCGAAAATAATGAAAAAGCCAAGCTACACTTTGAATTCGAATTGGACCGTCTGGACTTTGGGCTTGATGAGTTTGAACCAGGTGAAATTGATGACGGTTTAGGGATTCGCGAAGGTGTTGGAAACGCTTCCGATAAAATTCGGGAAACCGGAACGCCTTGAAACGGCTCCTACAAGAATAAAGTAAAAAAAATTTTGTTCATAGGGTAAAGAAAATTCAACAATCCAATCCTACTTCTTTTTTCTTCACTGGCGAGTCATTATCCACGTATATATTGTCGAACTGGTCCGAGTCGTATTCCTTAAACGGATCGTCTCCACGACAGCCATATAAAATCCCCTTCTTCACCGTGAGGTCCGAATATCTTTCCTGGATGAGCTTTAAAAGTGTGGCATGACCGCCAGTTAAGTTCCGTTCGTTAATCTTCAAAATTAAGTAAACCTGATAAAGTAGCCGATCCAACTGAGCATCACAAATATCTTGAGGTATAAAGGTTGCTAGTTCCAGCTCGTCGAAACGCCGCTTCTCATCGCGAGCTGGTCCCATTCATGCAGGACCCTGGAAAATCGCGTATTAACTTTGCGGATTTAAAGAGTATTGGCACGACTCGAAATTCCACACAACGTCGTTATTCCCTCGGTGTAAAAATTAATATGAAACGGATTAGACAGCGGGTGGATAAATGGAATTTAAACATAATACTAATCTCCTAATAAGATGAGCTAAATGATGGCTTCCGGTGGCAAGAAGATCATGCCTCCTCATGAAAAGAGAGTTATCAGATGAAAACGAGGTCACTCAGACTTAAACATCGACCCCCGCTGAAATATCCGTGGAATTACCACAGAATTTGCGGTATAAACGTTGAATTTTCGAGAGTCACGTACCACAACGATGGGCATGCAAAACGAAGGAACGAATGCAAAACCCCAAATGCGAGTGGACCGAGCCCGAGAGGGGACCGAGTGTGCAGAGTGCAATGCGACAACGCTCCTTTGAGCTCCTCACCCCCGCCAGTCGTCCTTCTCCCCTCCACTGGTCACTCGCGCGAAAACAGAGCGGCGGCTCTATTCGCGAGGTCCGCGCTCTCTGTTCCGCGAAAGAAAAAAAGAAGGTAGAAGGGAGCGAAAACATTGCGGTATGCACGGCTACAATACACGAACGAGTTCTAAAGGTGGGATGCGCTCTTCGGGAATGCACCAATGCCGATTGTTTCCATGACGACTTCCCAAACAATCGCGTGTTTTTGTGACCGAGATTTGAGGATTTCTGGATCAATAGGTCGAGGGGTTCGGCTTCTTTTGATACCTTTGTTAACTGCAACATCCTTTTTCATGACCAAAATTTTCGCGGTTTAAATAACCATATTTACCTGCTCACATCGTCATATAAAACGTAAAATTTCCGTTTCAAGCCTTTTTATGTATTACGTAATTACAGTTATAACTTGTTTTTCCCGATCAAATATTCAAATTAAAGATAATTACATTTATTACAAATAGACCCGTTTGGCATAACAACATAATAACTGTATTACTTTTTCTATAATACAAAAGAGGCACTGGATTCGAGACTCAATAGAAATTCACAGTCGGAATATTAATTAGAAACGTGATATCAAAGTAATTATCACTAAGCATATAAATTAAATACCTATTTTACGAGGCGAAGACGTTGCAATTAACAGGGGAAGTACTTCAAGTGTGACGCTCAGATTTTCTTTAAATTTTGCACACACATCGGGTATGGACTAAATATCAATTCCTGAAAGTTTTAGCTCGCGCTTTGCGGGCGCCGCCGAGATATCGAACGATTTTTGCCGCCGAGAGAGCACGCTAAACGTGGAGAGCGGTCAGAGAGAAAAGCGCTTTTTGGCCATAACTTTGGCAGTTTCGTGCGGAAAAATTTGATTTTTTGTAGAAACATTATCCTTTACAGTTGAAATAGGCATGAAACTTTTCGTGCCGAAATTCGGCAAAAAGTCCTAAATTTTCGCCGACTTTTGATCTAAAAATCTCGGTTGTTTCTGTAAAGCGCGAGCTAGGATTCTCGCATATATCTTAGAAAAAATTATTCTAAATTTATGCCAAGTTTCATCAAAATCTGAGCGTCACACTTCAAGTACTTCCCTTGTAAGAATAAATTATAAATACTTAGCACTAAGATTCAAATTGCTCTAGTTTGTCGACCAGTAATTAAACCCGCTATGATGATATTTCTGTGAATGGATAAGTATTGTTTTGGCATAGCTCGTGATCTCGTTTGTCGCCCCAGCCACCGTTCGGTTTCGAGGGTTTCAATGTGCGTTTTAGAACTTCACTTTTGACCAATGTCTCCGGGAAGAAGATGTCTTTCTTGAACAGATTCCTGGAAATAATTATGTATTATTACTTTTCGCAGGAGAACTTTTAAAATTCAATGCCCTTCCACTCTAAAAAAACAAAGAAAAAAATAAAAATTAACTTACAAAGCCAAATCCAAGGAGCTTCTGATATTACACTTGTGAGTGTGAACGCCGCAATCTCCAACATGAATAACCCGTGGAGCTTTGGCTACGACCACGTAGAATGGGTCTTTTAGGCATTTTAGACTGACTTGTAGCATTGACCAGTCCCAATTGTAATCATCATAGGTGCAGAAGAACTAAAATAACATTATTTTAGGTACTTCCCAACCGAAATCTCAGCATTTCTCTCCTAAGGTTGGAATGAAAATAAGATAAAAATAACACACCTGCGAGCACTCTCTGACCTTCTTCCAGGTATTATAGTTGATGGCCATTCCCATATTATGTTTGGAAGAGAACCATTTTTGAACACTCAATTTGTTGATGTCACTCTCGTAGCTGTTGTACTTCTTTAGGTAGAATCCCAGACATAAGACTTCGCATTTGTCACAGTCCTGATTGCGATGTTCGATCATCTTTGATAACACGTACAATGCATCCGGAGATACATAATGATCTTCTTCCAATAACATCACATACTTCTCATTTAGGCCATATCTATTGACAATCCCGTCGAAAACGTAGTTCATCTGAATATTTTTGCTTATTACTGATTACCATCGAGTAAAATCTATATTAATCTAGGAAACATTTTTACCTTCCACCACCAGTGATGTTTAATTTGTGACAACTTGGCCATTCGATAGTGTCCATATTTGTCCGGCCATTGCCAATTATTACACTTCAACTTTTCAGCACTAAACACAAAGACGTCATATCAAAAAAATTAAACTTGCTCTGCTTTTGATATTCGATCTGGACAATCATTGGGATCTTGGCCTGGGAAATGGTTCGGAAATAATTGGATGTTATTCGGATAGAAGATTTGAATCGCCTGAAACGAAATATATTATGAATCATAGTGCAGTGAATGCGCAATTAGACGGGAAAAGTTCATACCCGTGTGAAATTGATCGACTGGATTAGCTGGTTGATTTCGTTGTTGTTTATGTCATGACTGAACACCAGCAATGCCCTTTCGATTCCGGTGGCTTTCTGTAGGGACTCGATGAGGTACTTTAAGTATTCCACTCGGTTATGTACCTAAAATAATTAAAATTGTTGTAGATGTTATAGCCAAAATGTTAAAAACAACGTAAAATTAGTCGATATTATTCGAAATCAGTCATACCTGAACCACTATGACCCATTCCACATTTTGCGCAGTAATCTTCCCAAAAGCATCCTCATTTAGCACCTTATGCTTGTAATTTAAGTATTCCATCGAACTAACAATTGTATTCTGTCCTACTGGCGAGTTCAACGCATCCACATGAGCGAACCCATGCTCATGCAACGAAAAATTCAACGACCTGTAGACCTCATCCCCATCATTTTCCAACAAATCGAGCTGCGGCGCCGTTTCATCGGAAACGTTGAAAATCTTGATGATTGTGAAGGTCTAAAGAGCAACTCAACAAATCAGAACTCATGACTTACCGCAAATATTACAGCGGCCGCCTTCAGCCCTCTGATAACACGACTGCTGGGTGGCATTGATGAAGACGCGGGAGTTTGGGTGTCTGTTGATCATAAAGTAGGCATCCCCAGTGACATATCTGCAATCAGAATAAAACTAAAAAATTTAAGACTTTTTTTTGGAAATGAGCGAAGCGGAAATGTTGTGCAAATCAAGATAAAGGTATTTCGCTCGTTTTCGTCGGAAACATCAAAAAAATATTTTTAATTCGGGCGCAGGTCGCGCTTTCGTATAAAATGGCAAACTATACAATGGGTTTACAAATTATGGTATAAAATACTCTATTCACATGTGCCGTAATTATCTGAACTCGCACTGCTGTAAAATACACCAAACAAGGATTATTCTTCTTGCAAGACATAAATTTATAAAGAATATAATCCTTGAGTGTCTCGAAAGCTGGATATTATAGTGTTCCTGTGGAGAACAGAAAATGGCAAGACGTTAAAAATGGGACAAGAACGCCGGAGACCTATTTATTTTGGATTTTTTGCCGCAAGAAACGACCCAATTTTTCCCGCATATTAAGGACGGAAAGGTCGGTACAATAGTTAATTTGACCGTATTTTTGGAACGATGACATTTTTTGCAAAAATAATTGGGGGACAGTAAGACAAATCTAGACAAAAGGTTGTCTGTATAATTCTACTTGTTTTCTGAGAGCCACTTCGACATTCTGAAGGGGAAATTAAAAATTTTAATAATGATGTCAAGTGTTATATAAAATATTTTGGCAAAACGATAACAAAGTAAAACTTGGCTATCCAACATCGTAAAAGAAATTTAAACGCCCCAAGACCGTTGAAACTCATTGCTAATCGCATTCAAGGTGATAAAAACCTATAAATTCTACGAAAAACACGATTTATCCCTTGTCACGATAATCGCGTAGAATTGAATAAAAGACAAGAAAAGCCCTTCCCATCTCACCGTGACCACATTAGACAACCCCTAAAATATGCTCCATCTCTTCTGTTGGCGATGAGAATCGCGTGGTGTTGATTCAGCCTTCTTTTCTGCTCGCTCAAAAGTCGACCCTCAGGGCCGCATAAACAATCCGAAGAGAACGTCGTAGAAGCTGAAAAATTGAATATTTATGGCACTTGGCTCACGACCATTCAGTGTGTTTTGTGGAAAGATTCGTTACACCTGACGACGCCGTCAACGACGCTGACGTCGGCTTTTGTAAGCCTTGCGACAAAACGGGTTTAGCTATGCTAAGACGGGACCAAAAAATGCTCTTTTTAAGTTTTCGTAATTCCGTAGGGAGCGGCGTGAAACTTATTGTTAGAAATTTGCTCAAAAGCTTTTGGATTTTTCTATTGAAGAAATGGCTAGAATTTTAGCTAAAAAATAACCCAAAATTCTGGAGAATTAAGAGTTGTATTCGAATATACAATATGTTTTCACAAAAAATCACGTTTTCCACGAAAAATCAGAACGTCAAAGACAAAAAAAAACAATTTTACTTGCCCAAATGTCATCATTTTTTATATTCCCAATGATTGTTGCATTTCTCAACCCCACTTGCAAATTAAGAGCAAAAAATTTAAGAAATTTATTTCTTTATGGTCCCAGGAGAGATATGTCTACCAAATTCGAAAAAATATGTACAACTATGCTGCAAGGTTAAAAAAAAGTGACGGAAGAAAAATATACACATAACAAAGCTGACGACCAAATCCGACAATTCTCCGTCAAATTCGTATTCACCAAACCAATTCGGTCTCCAATTTCACAGGGTTTCATTTTCTCGGCTTTATTGGCACATTAATTTTCTTTTCCAAACAAATAAAAAAATATTTTGGTGGAAATGGCAATGAAAATGGAAGAGGGGGCCTCCAGAAACTAATCCCTAATTGGGTGTAAACTTTGGGCGGTTGCCTCTAATTAAATTGCTTATTATACGGCTGGGATTGGCAGAGGCGAGGATTTGATTACTTTTCAAAATCGGCTTATCTCAAAGAATGGTTTGGATGTGAAAAAAAATTGGAAAGAATACATCTTTTTCATGTTCATGACTAGGTAATTGAAAGAGAGAAAAAGTAAGCTACATTAAAGTGGGTTTTTATCGGATGCTACCTTTCAAGTATCCGAAAAGGTAACCGGCAGTTCTCAAGCTGTTCGGCGTGAGAAAACCTGGTTTTTACGGCGGAAAATTCAAAAGCGCAACTTTTTTGTTTTTTGTAGCCTATCTTTCCGTATCCTTATCGTGTTTAATTATACAGCAATACTGTATATGTATATATTTTTACTAAGATACCTACAAATATTATGAAACATTATTTTCTGACCTGAAGCGACATCCCTCCTTGTTTTATCACCAAATCCCCGGAAAACAAACAAAAAAGTTTTATGCCGGAGGGCAAATAACTTGCATCCTACCAAGTTTTAATATTGACCCCAAAAAAGGCGAAGAATACAAGTCCATTTCGGATTCGAAGCCGTCGAAAAGACGCAAAGACAAGTCCGGGTTTTGAATATGGAAATGTTTGTGGCCGCAGGGAAAGTGCGACAGACACATTGCTATTTCGGCGAGAAGTGGCCTGCGGCAATTTCGTTTTAATTATTAATTGGTTACAAGTATCATAGATCCACCCAGAAAAAAAATTTGAAAAAGAGGCGAAATTACGTAAACAAAGTCGAAATTATTCGAAAATTATGACTAAAAGATGAAATCCGAGAGACAAAATACAGGTGTAACACAGCGGGAGTCGACTTTGACGTCAACGGACTATTATTTTAGGGATTATGCATAAAACAGTATGGAAATTACAATATTTGAATATAATTTATGCAAAATGGAATGGTCTTTAGAAATGGATACATATTCGAAATGAGACGGCCTTAGGGGCTTCGGAATATACCAGAAAAAGGTTATGCATACAATTAGACTGCACAAATATTAATTGATTTTTGGGAGATTTGGAAAATTCGGAAATGGTTTTGTTTTAATATTCGAACAGGTGAGAAAATACTTTTGGAAATTGAATGCTTTATTACTACGTATAGTCTTGAATTTGTAGTTGGATTTGTTTTTGCTTCTTATTTTGCATTGAATATCGAATTTCTTATTTTTTGTGCGTAATTTCACAATTTTCGGGTGTAACTCTGTAATTACCCGACCCCCGCGGACCTCCGGACACTTTGCCACTTCGTTTGTATTGTTTTGTTTTTTCTTGCGTGCAAAAATCGCGTCCTTTCAAGTTTTTTCGTCTCAAATACAAGTATCAAACGCATGGGAAGGAGAAGAGAGTGAAGACAATTAACAGGAGGACAGGTGTCTTCGTATCGCTTCTTGATGCCTGCCCGATCAAGCCATGCATTCACCCCCCACTTCTCGAGGCGGTCTTCCCGACTTTCCTGGAGAAATTGGGATCAGCAGCTGTGCGGGGGCGCTTTTTTCAGAACGCCCCGAGGGCCCCGAAAAATCCACCTACTCCGGGTCGGAGAGCGGCCCCAAGACATTGTGAAGATTTCGGAGAGCGGCCGAATCCACGCTGGCCCGCCGCGTTGATCTGAGTGGAATTCGGGAGTGGGGATCACAGAAAATGCCTACGGAAATCCCGCGATCTCTCGCCGCGGACCGGCCTCCTCGGATCAACGAGGCGAGGCCACAGTTGTGTCTCTCGACTCCCGGACCCGGGTTAGAATTGAGGCCCAGGCTTTCCAGTCGCAGTTCCATTCCTTGTTCTAGGCAGCCACATCAGAAAGGCCGGTCAACATGGTAAGTCGTTCAACGCTGGTTTATGCTAATTTCCGGATATTCGATACTCTTGAGCTACTTTGAAATGTAACTGCAATGCTGTATGAGTTGCAGGGCAGTCCAATGTTTTTGTATATAGGAAACGATGACATTTTGTGTCATCGGTCTTGGCTCCCTCTTAGTTTTTGTTTTTGAATAATTAGCAAAATACTTGAATATTTTTTTTTTCAAATTTTGCATAACCTTGTCTGGCCTGTCTGCTTATTTAAATGCGTTAATATGCTTACCTTTACCGATTACAGTCGGATCGTAAAACCAAAAAGAAGTCAAAGAAGTCCAGAACCGGATCTGAGGCGGCTCAGTTCGACCAGAAGACCATCCAGGAATTCAAAGAGGCCTTCGGAATCATGGACCAGAACAAGGACGGTGTCATCGACAAGTCGGACTTGAAGGATCTGTACGCTCAGATGGGATCCGTCGCCAGCGACTCTCAGATCGACGCCATGCTCAAGGAGGCCCCTGGACCAATCAACTTCACCGTCTTCTTGACGTTGTTCGGTGAACGATTGACTGGTAAGTTTCGGTTTGCTATATTTGTTGAAAGTTCTAAAAACATCAGTTAGTAAATTTTTTGAGATTTGCAAGCATTATAAAATGTTAAAGCAATTTGTTTACAATTTTCTCTTCAGGTACTGACCCAGAAGCCACCATCATTGGCGCCTTCCAAATGTTCGACAAGACTGACTCCGGCTTCATCTCGGAAGAACAGCTCTTGAAGATCCTGACCAACAAACGAGGAGAGCCCTTCTCACAGGACGAGATTGACGCCATGCAAAAAGGAAAGCCCCCAATTTCGGGCGGCAAAGTCGACTACAAGGCCTTCGCTCACTTGATCACCACCGGAGCTCAAGAAGAGCTGGCCCAGGCCAACGCATAAGTGCTCATCGAATCTCCTTCTCTCCCGCTAACATCATCTCCAACCCCCCTCCTAAATTGTGTTTCCTCCACGTTTTGTAAAGACAAAGAGTATAAAGATTTGATGACATTTAAATGTCCAGGAACTGTTCTTTTTAATATCGTCTCCGGCTACGCTCTACTGCCCGGGAGGTTTGGATCAACGTCTCTCTCCCATGTTTAGGTGTTTAATAGAACTCTGGCTAGCCGAGGATCTTAGAGTAGACCGTCCCGACTAGCTCTCAATCCAAGTTTCCCCTCCATCTCCAAACGTTCTACAGGCCTAGTAGAAGTGGCGATTGTTTCTCTGGCAAGCATTCGAAGGGTGTTGTTCACATTTCTTTACCTATTATCATCGTTTGTATTTCTTGTTTCCTCAGATAAAGATGAAAAGATCACCGCTGTTTGGGGTGGATATGCGAGAGGGAAGAGGTCTGGGCGATGAAAAAATGATTTGGTTTATGACCTCGAAGGGAAGGGGGGAAGAGAAGGGTTCAAAAGACTGAACGTTGGACTCTAAGAAGGCGAATATCCCATAGACATGGCGAAAGGAGAACATCTCGGAACAACAGATGGCTTCGGATCCATTAAGCTTCAAATCATGTTTTTTATTTATGAGATTATGTATGACGATTTAACAAAGAAAATTCTAAGTGAATTCTTCTAAAATGCAAAAGCGATTCCTTCGAATTTAAAGGCCCCTCGGAGCTTGGTGTCTTCCAATAAAACTTTGCCGGATTTCCAGTTAAACACAGTAATATAACTACCAACCGGCTCTCCATCTTTTTCTTCTGACTTTAGCGCAACAATAAGCTCATCATTGGTGCCTGGCACAAATTGGAAAGAGCTGAATCCTCTGGAGCCAGTTCCTTTCTCTCCAATTGGCTTTACCGTGATATCTTTAAAGTCTTCAGAAGCTATTATCAAAAGATTTGAACCTTTGAATTCATCAGTAGCCTCGGTGTAGATCTCGTTTTCGGAGACCCGTCTGAAAATAACAAATTATAAAATTTCCAGTATTTTACTCACCTTGGCAGGAAGAACCATTTCTTATGAACCTCCGACCATTGCGCGCTCTCGTGGATCATGTATCCTGGATCCACTACTCCGGCAGCTTTCCTCAGTGCAATATATTCATCAACCCATCTAACATGCTCCAGATGCCCTTTTGGTGAAACTTTTTTAATATACATCGGGTCGTGGTTGACGAAAACTCCCTCAGTTGTCGTCCATTCTTTGCCAAGCCCACCAACGTAGAGATTGCAATCTTTTACTGTCATCCATTCTCCCTGGAGGCATTTGAATTAAAAAACGTCAGAATTAAGGGTTATCACGTACAGGGATCGTATTTTCCAAAATGGAAGCCATAAAAATTGACCTTACCTTCAGTCCTTTAGATGTATTTCCAGGTCCATCATTCAAAAAAACCCAAGGAATTGCTTTGAAATCGGAAGTGATTTGATAAACAATCCCGGTTCTATCATCAATGGACAACAACTTTCCGTCAAAAACAGTCAAATCAGACAGTTCCATTGCTCTTCCTCCCATGGAGAATTGAGATTTGATCTCATGTTCCTTCTCATCCCATTCCACAGTCACCTTATCGTCCTTTATAGTAATAGTACCCGTATGTACAAACGATCGCCATGTGGGTTTCTTCCCGCCTTGCACTAGAGAATGCTGATCCAAATCGGTGACAACCACTATTCGATGGGAAACTCCGCCATCTGAGAGATAAGAGATAAGATTTGAGAAAAAAAGTGTATTTTTAAAGCATAAATAAGGGGTAAGTTCCCAGACAAAACTCGGGACAGCTTGCAGCTAAAATTTCTATGACAAAAGCGATATATTTATCCGCGTTTTGCAGAAATCACATTCACAGAGAATTTTGAACAAAGGCCATCGAAAAAGCGTCTCTTTTTCTCAAATTTCGATTTGAAGACACTGTCCATATAAGGCGACAACTACTATTCTTAGAAGATATTCTATGGCCCATACAGAAATTCGAGCAAAACTTAAGTTGATTCTAAGCACTACCTTTCGAGAAACTTTAGAGGAAATTGTATTTTCATATCAAAATCTTACTCTTAAATTCTGGGGTCGTTAAAGGGGCTGAATTAAAATCTTGGCAAGCCGTTGAAGTCGTATCTCGAGTGTAGTAATACAGCGCCACTGATAACAACCCGACCAGAGCAACCAATTTATTTCGGCAAGACGAACAACCCGCCATCTTTGGAACTAATGAACAGAGAGTGCACCCACAAGACGTTTTTAAGGTTCGGTTAGAGGACACAAACCATAATTTTAGACAGAAAATTGTGATTTAGATCAATTGTGTTATGCGAACTATGATCAAAGTAGAAAAGACGGGAAAAGTTATGTAGTGATGATAAAGACACCTATTGTAATTGTGATGATTTTATTTACGCGAAAAGTTTTGCTAAAAAAGTAAGTTGAAAGTCAACAGAAAAGAAACAATTTGAACAGTTGAGACAAAACTTTTATTGTTAAAAACCTTGGGATCCGGTGTATGTAAGATTGAGTAACATGCAGACGTATTTTTTCTCACCTTCTTATTTTTCACTTGACCTCAAAAGATAAAAAGAAAGTCAAAGCAACTCAAAATTCCGTCAGAGAGAAAGACGAATGTCTGGAGGGAAAAGGGTTTGATGTAAACAAATGTGAAGACATGTATTTTGAAATGGCTACGCATGTTTTCATGACACTTTTTGTATATTTTTTCCGAGTTCATTCGAGTTAATTAATGATCCTTGCATTTGAAACAATATGAAAATGTAAGAGACGGTCAGAGAAAGAAAACTTTTACACCCTTCAGCCAGAAAAATTCAAAATACACAACGTCACCTAAATCTCATAACTTCTTTTACTCTTGCCACCAAATTCGCAAGAAACAACCAACCCCTGCATCGTACTAAAGAAACAGCGTACTTCCGGCTTCAAATCGCCCAAAAACTGCATGTCGAACAAGGGAAGGGCAACAAGTTTCCTATTCCACAATGGGGAACTCCTCAAGTTCGGTAACTTCGGGCATAAAGAATCAGATCGACGGATCTTCCAATGTGATCTATCCATTAGCCGATGTCACTGGGAATGGGGAGCTGGCCAATCTAGCCAAGGAAGCGATTAAACTTGGGAATACGGATCTACTGGATAAAACGATAAAGGAGGTGAGAGAAAAGTCTAATTGAGGAACACTATTTAAAAAAAGTGCTGAAATTTTGGTTTTTTCATCAGGTCTGATTTACAAAATCGGAATTTCTATTCGGAAATTCAAACTACAGGATAAGCTTTTGCGTGATTTATTCTTGGCGTATAAAGATCATGCCATCAAAGTTTTGGAACTCTTAAGATTCGCCAAAGTGAGCAGGGGGATCTAGTATAGCCAGCTCTCTTTGCCTTCCATAGTCTCTCTTCGTCATAATTTAACATAAATCGGTTTTAAAACACGTACTATGCCCATTCCAGAAAATAACTCCCTTTCTCTACAACGGCGGAGAAGGAGCACTCCTTCCAATTCACGAAGTAATCTCGGCTCGACATAAAGAACGTACGGGCAATGCATTTACAGTCGTTTCAACCCTTAAGAAGTATGTCTGTTGGCGTCTCGATTGCCGAGGAGCTGTGGGTGAGACCCTTCTTCATGTATGCTTCTTATCCGGTCTTCCGGATAACATGAAGCTACTGGCTCATCGGTTGATCGCATTATTTCCAAATATCATCAACGACTTTTATTTATGTGACGAGTATTATGGAGAGACCGCGTTACATATGGGAATTGTAAATGAAGATGCGGAGATTGTAAGGTTCTTGCTGAAGAATGGAGCGTCTTTGGACGTAAGATGCACAGGGAACTTCTTTACTTGTGATGATCAGAAGAGTTCGCGGGTCGATTCGGCCAATTCAGAACACGCGATGTTGGGGAAGAATACTTATTATTTGGGGTAAGGGATTTTGAGGTGGTTTAGTTGTAAACTGCGAAACTTACAAACACTAAGGTTGTCCACGATTGATAAAATTTCCAATAAAATATTTATAGTCATCTTTACTGGGGAGAATATCCTCTTGCCTTCGCTGCTTGTCTTACGCAGACCGATTGCTTCCGCCTTCTGTGTGGCTATGGAGCAAATCCCAATTGGCAGGATACCAATGGCAATACTGTACTTCATATTTGCACGATTCATGAGAATTGGGTATGGATCAACCAGTTGTTCCAATAAGGCCTTGTTTTTAGGAAATGTTCGAGCTTGCGCTCCGGCATGGCGCAAAACTTCACATCGAAAATAAACAACATCTTACACCGCTGACGTTGGCCTCGTATCTCGCTAAAAAAGAGGTAAGAAAACTTCATCAAAAACCTTGACACTGTGTTTATTATGAACAATCACATGTTATTAGATGTTCGCGAAGATCCTAAAGAAGGAACGAGAGGTTTATTGGACTTATCGTGGCGTCAGATCATCCGGATATCCCTTGGAACATATTGATTCAATTCATCCAAAGACCGGAGAGATCAACCCAAATTCGGCACTAGTGTTGGTCATCTACGGAGCAAGTCATGAACATTTACAATTGCTCCCCAATTTGCTGGAGAAATTGATAAATTGTAAATGGACTTCCTATGCCAGAAGGGAGTAGGTTTCATTTTTAATTCGAATCTAGAAAAAGGTGTAATTACAATATTATAATTTTCACTTCAGATTATACCGTCAAATGGCCATTTTCACAGTTTATTTCATATCGATGGTGATCTGTCTGCTTAATCGACCAACCCCGTATGACCGAAAATACGGTAACACGACTCTTGTTTGCATTGCCAACTTTCCCTTTTTGGATTACGATATGATGACAACTAAAGAACGAGTAAGTTCAAAATTAATCCTCTTCTTTTGTTAATCGTAAATTCAATTGCTGTATTATTATATTTTCAGCTCTATTATGCCCTAAACTTAGTGGTTCTATTAGGCGCTTTATATTACCTGCTTCAAATGTATTCGCATATAAGGAATGTTGGGCAGAAGATGTATTTTCAGAGTTTGGTAAGCAAAACTTGTACTTCGAAAAGTGATCACTTTTTAGTGGGGATTCCCGGCCAAGACAACCTTTCTCATCTCCTGTATTTTCGTTATCTTCGGATTTTTCCTCCGGATATTTTGTTGGGATGACTTTGAAGACATAATTTGGGAGATTACCATTCTTCTGACTGCTGTTTACTTTCTTTTCTTCTTCAGGTGGGCGTGGCATTAATTACTGATCATCAAATTCGTATTATAAGGTATTTTTTAGAGGTTTCAAGTCCGTGGGACCTTTCGTTCTGATCTTATACAAGATTATCCTCCGAGAAATCAGTCGATTCATCATCATCTACAGTATCATTGTCATCGGTTTCTCGCAATGTAAGTTCTTCGCATCAAATTGACATGCACTATAGTGTAAGTAATGTAAATAAATAAATAAACCCAAATGTCAAGGTTCTTTTAGCATTCTACATTCTCTTCCTGGGCTATCGTCGAGATGATCCAAAGTACGATCCCCGAGAAGGAAATATCATGTCGAATGTCGCTGAGAGTTTCATCCGTATGTTCATCATGTCTCTGACCGAATTTGCCGTTTTCTTCGAGCAACTTGAGATGTGTGAGCTCACAATCTTAGGGAAGATCACCTTCATCATCTACATGTTGTTGGTGACCATGTTGCTTATGAACATGCTGATTGCCATGATGACGAACACTTACACGGAGATTGCGGCTAATGGATTGGAGTACGTGAGACAGTTTGCAGCCATTATATTGAACATGGAGCAAAGTTTTACACCGGAGAATAGATTGAAATACCAAAACATGTATTCCAGTCCAATGAGTGATGGGCACAGGATCTCATTGTTGATGAAACAACGTCTCACGGTACGTAAATTTCTACTGGAAATGCAAACTTATGTTATACTATCCACTTATTATTTTTGTCTTTTCAGGACGACGAGGTCGTGGAAGAAGATCAAGAGCTCATGAATATGTGGAGAAAGTTCCGTGAAGACAAATTACGACAATTAGCGGATAAATAACCACGAAATCATATGTTGCATTCCTCATAAACGCATAAGATTTTATTGTAAATAGTCACAAAATCAATAGTTTTACAGACTAGCAAATAAAAGACATTACAGTAGAAATGCCAAGTGAAGCGATAAGAATTATGCAATATAAGTTATTGTCGTATTTGGCCAAGTGATTGGGGAATGGTGAGGACTTCTAGCAGCGGGTTTCGTAGAGCCCGGAACGACCAATGTAACGGACCCACTTTATGACATCGTGGTCAGAGTAATTGAGTTTGGGCTCGAACACCTTCAGGTATCGGACCTTGAGGCCAGAGGGAGCAAATGGGACCTAAAATTTTCATTTATGTTTACTTGACACTAAAGTAATGCAACTGAATTTTAAAAAGCAGTTTCGTCATCCTACCTCAAAGTTCATTGAGACCGGTGGTCGGTTCCATTTTTTCTTTTCGGCCGCGCCCGTGGCCAAGAGGTCGATTTCGGCGGAAATTTGAGATTCCTTCATTCCTCCCATCCTCTTGATTCTAAAAGCCAACATAAACCAAGTCAAAAATGTTTACTTACTTCCAAACAATGGCATTTTCTCCGGCCTTATATTTCGCTTTTCCTTTCATGCAAATCAGCTGAACTCCACTTGTGTTCGGAGGAGTTGGAATCCGCACTTCAATCTTTTGAGCCAAAAGAGACGGCTTGAAGTTGGACTTGATTACCACCTTGACTTCCATCTTGTTTCTACTGATCTCACGGACCAAGGGAATCACTCGGAATGGAAGTTGGATGTCTTTGGTGGTCCTGTATCTCATCAATTCATATTCTCCATCGGGTGGGATAAAGGAGATCGCGTGATCCGAATCGAACTTGGTCAACTTCACGCATTGATGGAACTGGCAGTCATCGATTGCAACGGCAGTTCGGCTTCTAAAGTTCGAATATCTAATATGTACTCAAACACTTACTTTGAGGAATCTTCAGAAGTAGCTCCTCTTCTGGATTCAATAGTCAGTTTATCATTGATTCCGAATTTGCATTCCGGCATTCCACTCAAGTAACTTTTCATGGCGACCTTTCCAGCAACATGGGCGGAGAGAACTTGACCTTGTTGGCTCATCAGGAGATTCACATATTCAATTACATCCAAGAACAACTCGTTTCTTCTGTATTTGATTCCCTCTCTTCTCCATCCAATTTGGCCGGTAACTTGGGAAGTTATCTGGGTCTGTTCTTCTTTGCTCTAAAGTGTCCATATTATTCAGGCTCAAAACGCACAAAAAATGAAAGGTTTTATAAATCCAATTTCTAGTATAACATAAATTTCTTCTTACCACAGCAGTTCTAACACCTTGTTGGGTGATAAACATCTTTAGAACTCCAGGGTCGGTATTCTGCGGGTAACCAAAGTCAAGAATCTCTAAAAGTCGAAGAATAGCTTCCAAAAAGCTGACTTACCATCTAAAATCTCATAAATCAGAACAAAGTTGTTCTTCACATTCTCTTCGTTCAATTTGCCGAAATAACTCTGCATTGTATCTGCAAAACGGTTCAGGAATTCAAAAACCATGGCAGCATTAACATTGTTCCTGGCCACCGCGCAAATCCAGACATTGCCGCGTTTGATGTGGAAGAACGAAGTTCGAGCAATATCCGTGACGGGAGATCGAACTTGCTGGCGAGCATGAATAACATTCACTCGGAAGGCATCGACGGTGTTCCGACTAAAATTTGAACATCAATAAAATAAATCCAATAACTGGTTTTCAAATTTACCGATCAGATATCAACTCACCTAACATCATCTCGATAAATCCGCGAGATGAGGACCTCACCCTTGTGGTTGTACACAAACAATCCTCCAATCATTTCATACCTAAAATGAAATCAATTACATCCAGCAAAAACGGGAGAAAATATCGGAAAAAAACTCCCGAAACGGCCAAGTGGCTGAGGCCAAAAGGGAGACGTAAAAGCCGCAAAAACGACAAAGTTTCACATAAATATCGACCTAGCAGATATACCCAAAATTTCCACACACTATTAATCAAAATTAGTTCTAGTAATAAGTCTGACAGCAAGCAAGTGATATTACCCATGAAATTTGATGGATAATGTCGGAGAGATTAAGCTGATCTCCTTGGGGATTTAATTATTGGGAAATTTGTGAAGGGGACGCTGTGGGAGAAACTGGTCGAGAAAACGGTGTAAAGTAAATATTAATTTAGGGCTGAGACCGGGAATAACGTTATCTTTGGATTAGTCGAAGAGCGGAGCGACGCCGGCTCCGCTCCACATCATCGACTCCATTTTCGGAACAAGACAAGAGACCGGGCGAGCCCCACACTTTACTCTTGAAGCCGCGGACCGCGAAAACCGGCATTTCGTTCATCTTTGATTCGAGATAGTCCTGTCTAGAAATTGTGTCATGGAGACGTTTAGTTAGTCCTTTCCTTTGTACTCATTTGCACTCTTCTTGATAAACCCTCTCGCGTCATGTGCTTTTTCCGTTAGTTTGGCCAGTTAGCTGCAGCGTTTTCCTTTCTCTTTCCATTCTTCTCCAAAAGAAATGAGTCAGAGTGACACATTTTCCGGATATCGACTAATTTCCGATAATTGTTATTTCCGCTGTTCTCGGAACATTTTTCCAGATGGAGCCGGAGTTCGAAGGGTGTGTTAACCGTGTGTTACCGGTTAAGCGACTAATTAATTTCGACTTCGAACTCATTTTCTCGTTGTGTCATGAATAATATAATTTCTCCTTTCCATTGTTTCTCTCTCCCGCACGCTTGTTCCTTTACGACTATTCTAATAGTCAAACGTGGTTGTTTGCAAGTCCATCCCCACTACTCATTGTAATGAATGGACGTTCTTTCACTGGACATATCCAACGGACGTCGTGGATAACATCGCCTTGACTAATATACGACCAGAGAGGCGCGCTTGCTTGCGATGACCATCGTCGCAACGGACCTCTCCAGAGTAGTGGCAGGGCTGGCTGGCTGGTCGGGTGTATTTGCTGTTCATTTCAATCGTTTCTTTATTTATTTTTGCTCCATCCCAAAGGCGTTCTGAATCACAACATCGGAGACCCGATTTCGGCTGTTTTGATACCCATTTTGGTGCGGGGCTATTTCGTTTTGGGTCTGTCACGTGACCCGGTTTCCGATATTTACGTGAAGGCGCGCGCGCATTCAAAATGTTTTGTTGATATTGTTTTTAGGTGGGATGCAAAGTCTGCGGAAGCTGGTTAATAAACCCCGAGTTGACGATTGGTCCCCACTTGCCAAGTTTTACCATGCAGATGAGGCACTCAGCGCGATAGCCAACGAATTGGATTCCTTTGATGGGCGCAGGGACCCAGACAGATGTAATCAGCTGGTCAACAAACTCAGACAGGCTCAGGATCGGGTTCTGCAGATAATCGGTAAGCTTTTCGAATGCTTTTTTTGGAATTTAGATATCGATTTTGTAAAGAACAACCACGAATAATTTCTCTTTCATTACTGAAAGGGGCTGCGATCTTTTTCCGATGAATGGGGTGGTTAATATAATTGGAAACTAGTTTGTTGTGAATGTATTCGATTCATATTTTCGTGGTGAATACACGAGGCGATCAGGCAGCTTATTAATAGCATAACTTTTAACCAAATTAACTTTGAAATTTATTTTAACATCAAAGTTAACCATGAGCAATATCTAAAACCAATAAAAACAAAGTCACGTAGCCGAACTAAAATAAAAATTATGTTTCAGCCGAGATGATATCGATTGTATTCCCATCGGAGTCGGAGCGTGCTTGCCGTGATTACCGCGCCAAGTTCCCCGATGAAATCATTCATGATAATCTTCCCGGTCAGCTGTGGTTCGGGGCCGAATGCTTAGCCGCAGGATCAAATATTGTCGAACATGAAGCGGAAAGTGAAGCCATTAGACCAATGGCAAGAGCATTAACACGACATTTGGATAAAATGCGGAATATTTTGAAAGATCAGGCGCTCCGGGATCCAACGGTTTACACACCCAAGATCAAGGCCAGTCTCCATGTTTTCGATCGATTGTTTGCCGAATTTGAGTTCAAGTAAGGGTGTTTGAATTGAATTTTGATTGAGAGATCGGTCTACTTTGACGGATAGATTGACTTGTTTAGATTTTATATGAATATTAAACAAAGGTTTTTTTTAATCTTATGTATGTTTGATTCAGCTATGTAAGTGCAATGGTACCAGTCAAAACAATCGTCGAGTACGATCACCAACTTGACGTTGCTGTGCTTTTCGCAGAATGCTTAAATCGGTAAGAATGTTTTGGCATTTTTGTTTCGATTTTAGGTATAGTCTTGTGTGGGTAATATTCTGAAACTTTACATGGCTTTATTACGACCGGCTTGTTATTGTAATTGATGCAAATTTATTTGAGATTGAAGTGGTCCTATGATATTCTAATGACCTTTTTGTTTTAGCGCCCTAGAGACCGGTTATTTCTCCAAAGATCAGATCGAAGATGCGGATCCAACAGTTATGATTGCCTTACCCCGAATTGCAATTCTTTGGGGACTAACAACGTTTGAAGGAAATGCCTTGGACCTCAATCAAGGACGGGAAAACATATCAGAGATGTTCAGACACTTTTATGATTTACTCAAATTAATCAGAACCCTTCTTAATCTGGTCGAAGATGAGAATCAAATACTGCTCGAGAACTACTTGATCACGGGAATTCCTGAGGAACGACGTACTCTTAGAGAAAATGACATATCAGGTAACCACAGCTTAAAATTGAGAATTATAGTTTAGGTATCAAGTGTCATGGTTTTTTTTTTGAATTTTAGATCTTGTTTCTACAGCCTCAGCTCTAACTACAAGTAAATTAGACGACAAAAACCACATCTTACATGCCGCTCTCAACGACATGTCTAACTTTGAACTGACAGATGAATTGTAAGTGGTATACCTAAAATATGAAATCTTGATTTTTAGTGTAACGCAAGCTAAGAAGAACATCGATGATGTAATTCACAGACTCTTTGTTTGTATTTGCGGTGTGGCGGATCAACTTCAAACAAATTACTCATCAGATATTCGAAAAATACTAAAAATGGTTCTTCAACCAGTTGAAACCAGACCGATCTATGAAGTAAGTTCTTTTAAGTATTAATATTTGTGTGTTTAGATCAGTGGTAAGACTGCTGCCGTCCCACAGAATATTGAAGAAACTGGGGTGGAGGTTCAGGAATCAATTTCACTTCCAACAACGACAGGTGGGAAGGATAATATAAATTTTGTTTATTTTATGGGATATAACTTATGCTTGTATTTGATAATTGTTGAACAGAGTTTAAATGGTTTGTTGCAGGTGTGGAATGGGTTCCGGACGCGGATTGCGACAACTGTGTTGCTTGTGGCTCAGCTTTCACTTTGGTCCGAAGACGTCATCACTGCCGAAACTGTGGTCGCATCTTCTGTTACCGTTGCTCAGGGCACGCCTTGGCGCTTCCGGAATTGGGTTATGAACGTCCTGTACGCGTATGTAACATTTGCTTTCTCTACAAGATCAATCCATTCACTCCATGCACATCTGACGGCCTAACTCAAACTTCAAGGCATATTGAAGACAACAACGAATTAATCCCATCGACTTCGACCCAAGACAACTTTGGGACTGTGTAACGAAGTATTCTAACGGGAAATCCGGGTGTTTTAGTTAGTCGGGAGTTAGTTTTAGGCGTTTTGGGATCAGGTTTAGTATAAAATTATATTTTTGATCTAATATTTTCGAATTAATTGGTTTAATTTTAGTCTGGGTCGAATGTTCTTGATCCTTTAATGCCTAAATTGACTCTCCCGACCCCCACACATTTCTATCGAAGTCCTTTTAAACCGGTTACCATTAAATCGCATGTATCCGTCCTCAAAAAAGTGTAATTACTGTCCTTCCTTCTCCCCGAACGAACTTTGTAATTACAGCCACGGATTGTTTGTTGCTTTGTCTCTATCTTTTGGTTTGTAATCCAGCTACTCTGATTCTTTCGCAATTGTGATTTGTACAGATAAAACAACTACCGTTATTTGCTCATTTTGTATGGAAAATAAAGAAATTGTATAGATTCAACTCATCCGAATTTAGAGGATTTTGTGCTTGATTTGAATGGGATGTGGTGTGATTTTAGGATGCATTTTGACATAAAGTTTATTCTGGAAATAATGTGATGTTCAATTCGAAAATGACTGTCATAGATGATTCATTACGCAGATAAGAGGATACATTTATACAAACCCTTAGAAGTGCGTTGGTGGCTAGCCAATCCCTTCCATCCTCATGCGTCATAACTTGTTATAAAACTGCGAAATTTTGAGTTGTAATTTAAATTTTCTCATTCATCACCGGCTACAAGTATGTCCGTGTTTGAAATAAAAGGGGTCTTCCGGGGGATTGGACAAAATTTGAAAGTCAAAAAATTCTAAACTTCGTAACAGAAAGCGTTTTCTCTGCCCGTCTCTCTTGATTTCCCATACTCTCTCATTTTTTGGGAATAACACAAGTGCTATTTAAAACGTAATTGTTGCGCTTTGATCATCTATTGTTCTCTACGGCTGGAATAATACTGGGTATGCATCAAAGTTTGATGTGCAATTTGATCGACCTTTGAGAATGCCCCGCCGATGAGTCAAAAAGAGATTCCGTGCATTATCTGCACGATCTGTTTTGATAACATCGGCCGTGGAAGGTGGGAATGGACTCCGGAGAGCTGTTTTAAGCGAATTCTTAACCTCATTGGCGCGTGTCAGCTCATTAATTTAGTGGACAGTTCAGATAAAGTGGAATGCACCGTGGTTGGGGTGGTTGAAAAGACAAGGAATTGCCCTGAGGGTATCTTTCAGATAAATCTTCTTGTATTAGAGGTCTAGATGGGAGAAGTATTCATTCCTGAAAATTTTAGCTCACGCTTCACGAAGGAAGCTGAGATTTTCAGCTATCTTTAGAGGCGAGAGATCCTGGAAAATCAGGAGGTTTGGTCGGAGTAAAAATTTTTTTGCTATGTTGATCTTTTGTACTCTGTCAGGAAAAAATTTGTTGGCGAAATCTCTTATTTATTTTACTCTTTCAAACAAACAACAATTTTTTATTTGGAAACTCGGAAATTTTCGACTTGAAAATTTCAGAAACTCGGTGATTCAAGATTCGAGAGAATGCCCTTAAAAGTTCTTTAAGGTTATTATAAAAAAGTTTAGTCAAATTCTATGAGCTTTATTTTTGACGATTTCCTTGCAAGCAGTTTTCCATCCCATTTTACCAAATTTTATTCAAATTTTATCTAAATCACCATCCGCTCCCCTCCAGACTCATTTCTCTTCCAAAAATGTCCCGAATCTATCCTGGAGTGGGCATTTCTTGTCCGGCCCGAAGCGAGATTTATAATCATTACGTAATCGCACTTAATTTTGACACAAAATTAATGCGTTTGTTTCATCCATCAGAGATTGCGTACATACGAAGAGACCTTGTGTAACAAAATTCGTCCATTAATATTGCCCTTTCGTCCAAACTAATGGGGCCCGGGAGTGGATCTAACGTTAGAAACGGCGGCCCCTTGATTACCTGAATAAAACAAATGATCGTTGTGTGTTTGGGACAACACTCGCTGATAGCCCGAGTCTGGGTGAGCGTCGGAGGGGACTTTCTTGGCAAGTTTTTAGATAATTTTTGAAGTTTGGAGGGGTTTGGAAAAAAACAGCTTATGTTGTAGTTGGTATTACATTTGATTTAATTTTTAATGTGTTTTTTAAATACTGTAATATGCCTAAGGGAAGACGTTTAAAACAAAATGGTGATTAAAAAGTATCAAAAGGTATCCTTTCAGATATTCCAGTTTCAGTTTGAACTGCCTTGAAAAACCTGAAGTCGTCTATTTAATAAAAGGCCCTTAGCCCACTTTACTTGAATCAATTTATCCTTTAACTTTCTTTACAGTATCCCATTCGCTACTCTTTTCTTCCAGCTAACAATCGAACACCGTCTCGATTCCCCCAAATCGTCAAACGCCTCAGGCAAACTTCTAATTACCCCCTCTTTGGTCCCCTTTCCTCATTACCCCCATCCTCCGGCACTGTTTTTTGGGCGCCGATTTTTTGACTTTGCCAATTGTTCGAGGGTTCTTGACCGTTGATCGAGAGTCCCGAGACCGAAATGTGTCATTCCTGCCTGCGGGCCAAGCAGGAAAAGCAACTTGGTCGGGGAGAAAAAGCCCGGGAAAAAACGGCGGCCCCATCGGCCAAAAAAAGTACCCAGGGCCAATCTGAACATCCCCTCTCTTATTTCCTTGATCGGCGCCTTTGGGAGGGGCCGCGAATTGATCTTCTCCACTCTCCGATGGGCGCTTCTGAATCAGCGACAAGGAGCGTGTGAATTGGCTCCCGTTTTGCGGGCTTGGCACTCTGCCTGAGCTCCCCGACTTCTCAGAGGTCGATTTTCATGGGAATCATTCGATCGTAGGGGCCATTTGTCAGCAGATTCAACGTGTAAGGCGGGAGGGACATGTGGTACTTATGTCTGGGAGGGATGTTTCGTTGTAACGTCGGTAGGGAGACAGATTAATCGGCTTCGAACTTGACGTCAGGGATTCAAGTAAGATTTTGGCTTGTCGGTAAAGAGGCCGCCTTCCTGGCCCTACAGACATATCTGTATGCCTTTAAATTTTTTTAGCTAGCTTTGGCACCTAGGTAAATTCTCTCTCTCTCTATTATTGTGTGTAATACTCACAACAAAATTTAGATTCGCCTTCAATTTTGCGCAAAGAATCTAAATAGTTCAGTGAACGATGAACTCGTCATTGCTAAGCGTATAGCACCAAATTATTTGATTTCGTGACGTATTCCCAAATCCCTCCAACTTTCGTCTACTTTTGCCGATGCAAACCCCGTTAACAAATCGCTTACAAATTCCGTTAGACAGTCCGAATCTTTGCTCCCGACTTCATGGCCCCCAAGAAAGGGAACTCTTCGTGACTTGGCCCCAAAAATTGAGGGTTTCGGCCATGCAAACGCATCTCTTCTTCCAGCTCCCGAGCCACCGAATATGAACTTTTTTGGAGGGATGGGTGGCCGTTTTAATGTCTTTGGTATGAAAAAATGATAAGTTCGACGCCTCGGGGAGTTGGGTTCTCCAGAATTCGGTTGGGCATTTGGAGGACGGGGCGTTTGGAGATGAATTTTTTCTGGGGATCAAAGAGTTATGTAATGGGTTGAGACGAAATTAATGTTTGGAGATTGGGGGTTGACTTCAGCGTCTGTATTTATTCATCTTTCAGTCTGGGTAAACCGAGGAAGTGGGTAAATCGACTCGAACTTGGAAATAATCGAGACTTTAGCCGAATTTTTTTTGTCTGCCCGACTCTCCTCATTTTCATAGTCTGTCGTCTGAAAATGAATATCTCCGCTTGCTAACGCTTTCAGTATCGGCTAAATTTTCAACATTTTTTCTCCAATACTTACGTTATTATGCTATATTTTTGAAGGAAGTCTAATAAGATGCACTTTGAACAGGTCTACAGATTATATTAATTTTTCAAGTTTCAATCTTTTATCAGATATCAGCACTGTTTCCCCCCTTGTTTCAGCTCTTTCCTCCTCCTTTCTCGAGTTCAACCCGATCATCTCAAGAACCTCAAATTCCCCTCCAAAAAAACTATTGAATCGTTTTTTGTACTTCCATTCTGTACGCATCAAAGTTGTGTAGGGGACAAGGAGCGGGGAATCCAATTGTTTTAATGGGCAATGTTTGATCGTCACATTCCATTCGACATTTTTCGAAATGGCTGCGCGGCCAAGAGGCTTAGAAAAACCTCCGTTCTCAATTTCCAATTTCTTTGCGATTACATGGACATCTTCGGTTTTTGGTCAAGCTTTTTTGGCCACTGGTCAAGTGTTTTTAGGAACGGATAAAAACATTTTTATAGAGTGGGTCCCCGAGGGCTCGTATATGAAATTTCACTGCTTCCGGGTAATGAATTTTGATTTTTTTTTATTAAAATTTTAAATTGTTCGTAACATTACGGTTGCTTTGGTGAAAAATTCTAAGTGGTCATTTATAGTAACTAGAGTTGTTGCATTTTTAAACCTTTGCCCTTAAATTTAACCACATTAATCCCCAATTAGCAACCGCCCCGTTCTCGATGACGCCGAGTTTGTGCTCATTTTCCGGCTGTTCGCCGTCACTTCCGCCGCCGCGAACGCATCGTGCATTCTCAATTGGATCTCGGTTGTTTTTTAGATTCATTAAGTTCCCCGGCCCCATTCTGACATTATCCTGTGATGCCCAGAAAGAGATCCGCAGTATTAAAACCACTCTGCATACTCTTGCCCTCGCCTTATTTGTGATCATGACCCTGATCCTACCGAGTACGACGCCAACTCCGACCAGTTCCACTTTGTTTTACGACCCTCTGGTGCCGAGTATATTAAGCCCACCCGGGCTGAGGCCCTTCGACGATCAAGATTTGTTGGCTGTTACGCGCTGTGCGAGAGAGGCAAGAAGTAAGGTGAACTTTGCGAGGGAGAACATCTTGAGGACAGAGCCCGGTGATACCGATGAGATACTGTTGAGCAGGCTGCCATTGTATCAGAACAGGTAAGGAGGAAAATTTGTGGCCGAATTCCTGCCCGATATATATCATTTTAAGAGAAGGTGAAAGAATTTCGAAGCGCAAGATCAGAGGAATTTTCACAAATTGGGATTAGAAGGCTGTAGATGAACATTTTTAACTGGAAATTTTTGGAGACTATCAATATTTTTGGTCAAAAAGTGCCTGATTTTATGCGCTTTTAGCCAGAAAAGCAAAACTTAGTGCAAATTTTGGATAGCGGTATCTTCACAGAACATCAAATTTACAAAATGACTATCCGAATTTTGCCCAAAAGATATTTTAACTGACTGTTTCTCCGAAATTTTCATAGTCTCTCCCTTGCAAGGCCTACTGAGCCAGATAGAATCTTGTGTGAACATAAAAATTTCAGTGATTGATTACAAAAATGTTTCTCTAAATTAAATTACGTTATTTTATTTTTATTTATTTGTAGGATAGAGCACCCCTACAAACAAGGCGCAATATACTGTCGATCTGGCGGTTGGATCGAAATTCTGGATGAGCGGGATAACGAGGGATCCAGTAATAAGAACGCCACGGCACAACATGAGTGGGTACGTGGGACAAAACGGGAGACCAGCCGATTTGGTAAGCATCTATCTGCTATCAAATCATATATGTTTGATGATATAATGCATAATCTCTTTCTTCAGCAATCTTGGAGTTCCTTTCGATAGCTTTTGGTCTGATAAGCATCCGCGGTTTGGAGTCGCAGAACTTTCTCTGCATGGATTGGAAAGGCTCTCTGTACGCGGCAAACGCGGAACATTACAATGCCGATTGTGTTTTCATGGAAGAGATGCTGGAGAACTATTACAATCTGTATTCATCATGCAATCATGGCTCTCCCCGACATCCCTGGTACCTTTCGATACGCAAATCGGGCAAGCCTCGACGTGGATCGCATGCGCGCAAACGCCAGAGGTCTTCGCATTTTATTGTGGTGCATTTTGATGAGACCGGATTGCTGGATCCAGTGCCAAATCATCTGAATCGAGCTGCTTATCGGATCCAGACCACTTGGATGAATCACTATGGGAATAATTGGAGAAGATCTTCCACTAGACATCGAGCCTGGGCTCCCGCAACTCTTCTTAATTCGGACTCAAAAAGCCTCTCGGATATTCTGGCCAACTCGATGAGAAATAAAATGATTGTAAATACGAAGAAAACGAAGAATAACAATACAAAGTTGGCTAAGGAAAAGGTGGAAAGAAAGAGGGCACAGAAATTGAAGGAAACGAAAGAAACAACGCCAATGAATGAAGTGGAAAGAAGAGTGTTCAGACAGGAGAGAAAGAGGAGAAGAAGATTGCATCGAGAGGAAAGGTTGAGGGAGTTGAGAAGACAGAAACTTCAGATTCTGAGGGATGAAGCAGCATCGTTTAGTAATCGAAGGAATTGAGTCAACATTTCCATAACAGTTATGATTGCCTCAAGATCAAAAATCCAAACGAAGAATCCATGTTTAATTTTTGGTCGCTATGTTTCCGTCACACCGTCTAAACATTCAAACCTTCGACTTCAAAATCCCTGCATCTATTCTTACAATTCGACATCAAACCCTGAGATCGAAATGCAAGAGCCCGAATCCAAATTTTCAACAGAATTCCAGCACGTAAATTTTAATCCCAGCCGCAACATCCAGATCCCAGCATCTACTTGCCTTGTACATCCATTTCCCTGCCCAATATTCCCACACTCCATCCATCTACTGCCCCGTCTGTCCAGCATCCCTTCTTGATCTCGTTCTCTCTCTCTGCATCCTCGCTTTGCATCCCAATTTACCCTCCGGCACTCCAAAATATTCCCTTCGATAATACGAGTATCTGATTCGAAGGTCTCCATAGAAGATTACAACATCATTCTTAGACAATAAGAAGTCGAGTTGTTCTTCCATCTCCCTTTGAATCCTTTCCAATTCAAGTTCAATTCTTTCCTTAACGAAGTACACGGATCTCTGTAATCTCTTGACCAAATGAAAAAGAATTTCTAATCACCATCAATAAATATTGTATTCTAATGAGCGTTGAGATTGTTTTGAAATTAATGGAAGGGAAAATTAAGAAAGAGGTAAAACGCTGTTTGTTTAGGGACTTACTGGACCTTGGCCGAAATAAAATCAATTGCGCGGAGTTTGACAAAGAAAAAAGATTCTTGTGCATCAGTTTTAATATACTGTAACAATAGTCACGTCCTTTTGGCCTAACATGTATGTAGACACCCTCCTGCCGAGTTCAGAAAATGAAAAAACAATGTAACACTATGTAACACTATGTACGTTCGATAATCACAAGAAGAGTGAAAGCCCGTAATTTGCCCATATTCTGTAACCAGGTTGTCTCAAAAAACATTTTGTTTACATTATAAATAATGTCTTTCGGGCAAGAAAAAATACTTGTCTGGGGGAAGAAAGTCCATCTTTGTAATTGTGAATACTACGTGTAAATCACAGAAATAACTTGCAGCCATGGAAGTCAACGACACAATTTATTTTTATTTACTTTAAATGAGGTGACATTATGCAAATTAAGGAGAGACAAATAATTCTATTAGATTTCCAAGCAAGCGACATACTTTTTTGCCTGCTATTCGTAAAATTATGTCTTGAAATGGACGTTTTTCAACATTAGCGTAATAACTTTTATTCGTCCGGTGATCCTAGCTTTGTTTGACTAATACTTACAACAGTAAAAAAAAACTTTGTCTAGATACCAAAAAAAACCAAAAAGACCAACGTAGCCCATTATGAATTCCATGGAAGTTGTGGGTGATAGGACAGGTGGATTTACGAAGTGCAATCCTAAATTTTTATTTAATTATTCGGTGCATTTGTATCAGTTTTAGGAATAATTAAAATTAGTGGTCAAGAAAGATTTTTTGGAAGTTTCTTGTCACCGACCGTAAAAAGATTTTACTTAGAAAGTCTGAAGAGACAAGACATTAATCATAGAATTTTATGCTTACAAGTACGCAATTGAAGTTAAAAGGTCTTAGAGATCTTAGCGGGTTTTAAAGGTGAACTATGACTGTTGATCATGGTTAAAGAAACACAGTTTTCACCCGTGCCCTTTAAAACGGGGCTTTCTATTTACATCGTGTAAGGTGTATACATAAACAAACGCCGAGCAGACTACGATATCAACCATATACATATCAATGACCTATGGCTTCAGACTTCTCACGTAATCTTTGGCAACTTGTACCCATTTTAAGTGCACTTGAAGATGTTCCCTTGTAAAAGTATAATAGAATAGGGGTGTGACATAAAACTGTACTGTTTCCTTATGTTTTGTGCTTCAAAATGTTGTGGATATATCTTATTGTTGAAATTTCATCATGACGATGTCTTTCAGTATCTGACTTCGATGTCATCAAAATTCTTTTTCGAGTTGTAGGAGATCCAAAAAAATCGTAATTTTTTTTAGCCAAGTCTTAATCGTTAGTCAAATACGGGATAGTAAGAGCCCCGGCGCGCAGGTTTGGGGGAGAAAGTCGCGATGAGGCTTGGCCACGACCTCGGTCCCAGACCGTCTCGTTCTCATGCACTTTTTCGTTATGATTATCATGGTCTTATTATAATACACCAATAAAAAAAATGTTTCGAATTTTCAACCGCTATCTTCACTGTCCGACTTTTCCCTCGTTAGCCCTGGTTGTAAGATTTATTTACAATCTGTCTAAAATAACTTATTCCAAAACACACTGTCAAAGCGAATAGCATTCCTTTGAACTCCGGAAGCCGCATAAATTACCGCATCCGCCGCAGGACACGCCAAAGATGAAAGCAGCCTGAAATAGGCCAACAATTCGATGAAAAGCCGGAATGGATGACAAAGAAATCCGGCATCTGACGCCCTCCCCCAGACCCCCATTTTTCCTTCTAATATCCCCTTCATTCAACGGTAATTTTCGAACGTTTACAGACTCTATTCTAATATCCATTATCTTGACAGCATCCCATTGTAACATCCCACTAAATCCCTAATTACAACGGGCCTTTTGTTGATATCCTCATACCTGAATTATAGACTCGCTAATCGCCGACGCACTCACGGCCAGCGGTCTTCGAAGGCTCCGCCCTACTTTGCATTAAAAGATTCGTCTGATTAGTGCCATTCTTCCTCGTTTCGGTGGGGTTTCTGGAGATGCGCAACATCTCCGGCGAGCTCGTTGACTGCCAATATTATGTTTGTTATTTAGCGCCATTTGCCAAGGTAGGTTTCAAGGGTTCAGTTGGGGTTTTTTTTGAAGTTTAAATTTGGGTTTCAAAGATCTGTGGGTTGAGATTTGGACAAAGGAAGAAAAAAATGAAATTTTTGTGTTTTGAAGATTTTCATTGCCAAAAAAAGATGGTAGGGAGAGATAATTAAATTTACGTTTGTCTGGGATACTCTAAACAACAAGATTTTCTAATTTTAATTTTTTTTATTTTCTTTGTCCAAAATTGAATTTTGAATAAAAAAATATTTTCTAGGCCTACGATCGGATTCATATCCCTTTATCGACAACGATATGCGTCTTCGGCTCCATTTCCAATATTGTCAACATTCTTGTACTTACAAGGTAAGATCAGCCCTGGTTTTCGATCACAACTTTTTCTTGTTTCTTCGAAATTTTTTAAAATTAAAAGGCAGTCAGAGATTGTCTCCGGCTCTGTCAAACATCAACCGAAACGCCCGATGTATCTTGAATATACGATTTGGGGATTAAAAACATAAGAATTTTTAAGAAATTTTCGAAATTAACTTATTGTTTCCCCTTCATAAAAGATGTCATCAATTTTTAATACAAGTTTGTAAAAGGACAAGAGTAAAAAAAGACTTACAATTTAAAATTATGAAAACAAAAAAGAGAGATAAAATAACCTTGCAAAATTTTTCTGATGCGTATTTTCAGGAAAACTATGCGCACTCCCATAAATATTTTTCTGACCGGTCTCTCAATGGCTCAATTTTTACTGGGGACCAATTACTTGGCATTGATGGTATTCGAATACTTCCGATCCCATTGGTGAGTAACTAATTAGCCGTTAATTCGCAATTATTGAATGGCCTTTATCCTTTCTACTGTCAAGATTTCTTTGCAGTTACGTATTTTCCTGGTCCTATAGAGCCACTTCATATCGACTGATCAATGTCAATCTCAACGTGGTCTTTCATACAGGTAAATATGGGTGTTGTTTCGCAAAAGAAATGTTCTAAGATCGACGCAGAAATTTTGCTGAAAATGAGGAAACCGCCGACTGAAAACCGTTTTTTTCTCTGACCAATACTCCCGATTCACCACACTCTTTTGCAGCGATCTTTGAATTTCTCATTTCTTCTTACAAACCGCAAACTAAAATTTAAAGATTTGTGGGCAAACAGTCTCAATGAAACTGCTTAGGGCACTTTCTTCGTCATACTTTCCCGCCTCCAAAAGCACAAACCTGTTTGTCAACACCCCTTAGATCACGATAACCTCTGTGTTTTTCGTACCTTTGTGACTTTCCTTTAAAATTTTCTTTTCAGTAGCCTTTGCCCACACCCTCGCCGTTGCTCTTTTCCGCCTGTTGGCGTTGAAATGGCCCCTCCGAGCCAACCGATTCCTCTTCTGCAACACGTGGGCCCTTGCATGTTCGTTGGGGATATGGATTATCGTCCCATTCCTTTGTATCCCGGTGTTTTTGACTTCATATGTGGCGTTGGTGGATGATAATCGAGGATGCAACTTCAAGGGGATGTATGATCTGACCTATTCAGAGGATTCATTTCTGGTCTCGGCTGTGTTTTGGATGTTTGGCATTGTCCTAAAATTGATTCCTTCGCTAATCCTCGCCTTCTTGTTGACTCTTCTTATACGGTAAGTGGCTGAGGGCTTAAGAGGACGGTTTTACCATAAATAATATATAACACTGAAGGGAGTAGACCAACCCAAAATTTTTGAGATTTGGGTGGATTCGGCTCTAAAAAACAAAGTTTTAAAAACTCTGGTGTGGATTCCAAAATTTTCATAAAATCTGTAGAATCCCTTATTTCCTGAGTCACTTTCACTTTGCTGCGATTCCCCGTCCAAAATCCGAGTTACTGTAACTCCTTACCCAAGGTCCGAGCTTTTTGGATTTACTTTATTGTCTCTGAATATAGCAATTACATAGCCCTTTATACCTTCATTACAATGAAAGATAATCCCAAATTACTTTGACCGTATTTTAGATCCCTCGAAACAATGGAGCATCGTCGGCAGGATACGTTGCATCGGAAGATATCCGTGTTAAGACGGTGTAACAATCGGCCCAAAACCACGCATACTTTGTTGGCTATTCTCATCCTTTGTTTCGTTGTAAGTTTTTTTCGGAAATTGCAAAAATTAGATTTTTTAATTTTTGAGCACAATAGTATAGTAATAGTTTTAAATTTGAAATGTTAGTCATCATGGTGTAGACTCTTTATGGTTATAATGGAAATAAAGAAATTGTGAGATTTTCAGTTAATCCATGCATTTTATTGGCCCAATTACATTCGTCCTTTGTTTGATGACTGAAAATTCTTGACCTCTTTTGGCATGTATAATTCTAACCGCTTAATTTGTTTGGGATTTTTAAAAAGTAACCCAAAGGTTGCATATATACTATTTCATGAGAGCTTAAAAATATTATAAATAAATTTATGATGTTTACAATAAAGTTTTCTTTTTTAATTTCTTATTCTCTGTTGTAATTTCTAATCCCAATATTTTCCAGGTTGAATTTCCCCATGGAATTCTAAACCTTTTCACAGCCATATATGGAGACAAGTTTGGAGTCCATATCTACGATCAACTTGGGTCTTTCATGGAGATGCTGACACTTTTGTACAGTTCAATCAGCTTCATTTTGTACTGTGTCACCTCCAACGACTTCTTGCGCACTTTCCGACAACTCTTCTTGAATTCCAAAAAGAGAATCGATGAAAGTTCGATAAAAAGGAATTCGAGGACGGGCAGTAATAACGTTACGAGGCCCATCGAATCGATGACTTTGATCGCTCCGAGAGGCCCATATCCGACTATTGTGTTGTCGCGATCAATGTGAAATGTCCTTTGCTTGGCTCGAGAAAACTTTTAAAAAAGTCCATTTCAATTTCTGGATGGTTTCTGCAAAGCACTCTTTTAATTTGGAAACCTCTGATCTAAACTGAACATTCTGAATTTCCCCTGTAATATAATTGTAATACCTCATTTTTTGCCATAAACCATATGATCCTACGCTTAATTTACGTACAAAGGATTGTTGTCTATCCAAATATAATTTTTCCACGTATGGTTCATGTTTTCATGCCAGGGCAATTCAACTATTGTTGTCATAATTACACGATTAAATTGATATTATCTTCCTCCGTCCTAACCTTATTACTTTTGTCCGTCATCCCTTGCAACTGCAAGATGTGACCTCAGGATTAGAATGTTTTACATCATAAGGGAATTAGACAACAAGAGAGAGAAAAGAATTCCTGCAGACGTAGGAATTATTAGTGTTGTTGTTGGTTGTGGAGAATGGAACTGAGAGATGTAATAATAGAAACAAAAGAAATTCATAAAAGAGAACGGTGGCAAAATGGGAACGCAAATGTCGCAGACCACCAGAACTTTGCGTAGGACATGCCTCTTTGTTGGAAAGACTTTTCCAGCTGATTATCTTCAAACTTTGACCACCGTAAGCGCGATAGTATTACTTTTCTCAGCTTTATACCTTCAATAATGCTTATAATCCTAGAATCTCGAGTCCCCGTCGACGGTAATCAAGAATCGGCCGTAGTTCTTATTATTAGGTTGATTCAAAAGTTTCCCGCCCTGATTTTAAAAAAAATTTTTAATTTAAACCAGAGCCAGTGTGCCTGATATGCATGTTGTTAGAAAGAGGGCTGTTTGTGGATCATATTAGACTAACAGCTTTTTACAACTTAGCAATTTGTAGTAGTAGCGCCGTGTTAAACCTTAACTACTCGAAGGAATAAAAAGTAAACCGTTACGTCTAGAGTGGCTGTGTCTTCTCAACTTATGATTCAACCTAATAGTATAAAGCTTGAGACGTTCATATGAACTTCTCCTCTCAAATTCACGCCGGCTTGGTTTACTTTATTATTCATAGTATGCGATGACATACAGGAAAGCTGATGAGCTTACGAGATTCTCAGTCTCTCGCCTACCATAATTTCTTCATCTTGAAATATTATCTGATTTAGCGAACGAGTAACTGCGTCAGTGCTTCCATTAAGCCAGCTTTAATTCGGATCTTGCAAAACACCGCAAAGTCTATCTTGCGGAAAGAAAACAGTAATAAGACAGAACAAAGATTTTGGCAAATAAAAAAAAACATCCAAAAACAACATAGACGGCCCTTTCTGTTTCCACAGTAATTAATCTTGGATGATCTCATGGTTAAGAACAAATAATTGAATAATTTTTGTGACTTTAGACATTCTATTAGTCTGTTGAAAAAATAACCACGGGTCGTCGCAGCAAAATGTTTCGCCTCGTCGAAAAAAGGGAGCAGTCGCGAACCAAATCTCGCAGCCGTCGCAAAGTGATGATGAGCGATTCTGAGGCGCGAGGATTCGCCCTTATTTTTTCCGACGACTGATAGAACCAGTGAAATAAATTTGAATGTAATAAACTTGCGGTTTTTTCATTATACTCGACATTATTTTAGGCTAAAAGTCACAATCATCCCCTTAATATTGAGCAGAATTGCTGAAAGGTCCATTCAGTAAGTGTTATCTTATCCAATAACCGTATACATATATATATCCCTCCAAGACAAGGTGGCGGGAGGATAATTCGGAGAACACGGATTAGCCTGAATACTTTACCCGGAAGCAGGCCCTTTCGGGGTGGGCCCTTTCGGGGTGGGCTTTTCGGGGTCGCCCTTCCGGGGTGAGCCCTTTCGGGGTGAGGCTTTCCGGGGTGGGCCCTTTCGGGGTCAAGGCATATACTGGGGTTTTCGGGTCCCGGAGCATAAATAATTTTATTTTTTTGAAACAACTGATTAATTTTATGACGTAATCTTGTAAAATTTTTGAAAAAAATAGAGATTACGGCATAAAATTAATCAGTAGTTTCAAAAAAATAAAATTATTTATGCTCCGGGACCCGGACACCCCAGTATATGCCTTGACCCCGAAAGGGCCCACCCGGAAAGCCCCACCCCGAAAGGACTCACCCCGGAAGGGCGACCCCGAAAAGCCCACCCCGAAAGGGCCCACCCCGAAAGGGCAGTAACCCACTTTACCCGGTATTCTACAGTACACTCACATAGATACAAAAGATAATCTTCTCCTCTGATTCGATATAATTTTTTTCGGGTCGCTGTGACATCAATTTTAAACGAGCAGATTACTTCAACTTGGAACAATATTTTGGGCTCAATCCACATGTTGTTCTTGGTGTCATATGTCTTAATTCTATCTGCAATTTGCATCAAGCTGCGTCAAAAAACAATCATGACGCGAACTGGCAGTCATTAATCGCTTTAATGCAAATAAAGACACCGATTCAAACAGAATAAATTAATCTTTTATGCAGTCATTACTGCTAATTGTCAAATGCCCTAAGGGCTTTACGGGAGGACTGGCAAAGCAAAATGCAGGTAGTGCAAGTACTAAAATATGCAAACTGCGTACAAAAAGTTTTAGAATCGGGCGCAAAATTTCCTCGCTCCCGGCTTGAATTTTATGGTCAGTCTTTACGACCACGCGATTCCACCCCAATCATTTTGCTTGACGTTGCATTAACCACGGAAAATCAGTCTGGAATTCAACAATATCGGAAATTAGGGTCAAATTGTCAGGAAAAAATAACAAAAAAATTTACAGTGTGCTTTATTAATTGAAGGCATAGAAAAATATATACATGCGATCCCGTATGAGTATGAAACAATTGTGGCTAACCGAAAAATAGGAACTTGACCTAAAAAATAAAATCCTGTTGTACTTGGTATTAAAATTCAAATTGATGAGAAACGTTCAAGAATAAGGTCATAGCTGGCCCAAAAACGGTCATTACAATCAATCCAGTTTGCTGAGTAATGCTGTATTAGATTTCTTCATTAGATTCCATTTGGTCGACAATTGGAATATGATCCACCGGTTCGTTGGAGTCGTTAAAAATAGTGGTCAACTCCTGAAAAAGCATTATATGCCGGATTAAGAGTGGATTAGAGGACAAAGGAATGACTGAGAGAACACTTACCTCTCTATTCCGGTAGAGACAAAAGTGTTGGACAAAGAAAATTATATCAAATACCATAGACACTAAACCAAGCAAAAATTTGACAACATTTCCAGTAAACGGACTCCAGTCATCTGAAAAAAAAACGTAAATATAAACATTCCTCGTCATAATCTACAGTATTATCAAAGAAAATCGGAAAAAGTCACAAAAAAAATTCCAAAATTATATTATCCATGACCTCATTCTTTACCTGTATTCCAAGAGACAATAACCATTTGCAAAATCGAAAAGCTGCCCCCGGTAAAATCAAGGATCAGATTCTCAATCGACCATCCAATTGTGGATTGTCTTCTGAAGTTGTAAACAGCCTGAGGGATGTACTTGTAACAAGTCACAGCCATCTTTATGTATGACAATAGAGTTATTGTCTGCAGGGCATTAAGGAATCCAAAAATAAGACATGCCAAGCCAATGATTCCGATGCCAACCAGCGTCGTGCTCAAGCCGACACCAATCCGGGAGACTCGTTGTTCACCTCGCTAAAACAATGGGTTACGGTAAGTACAACGAAGGCATTTCTAAAATTTAAAATAAACAAAGAAAACCCAACTTACATCGTACAAAAAGCATTGAAAGACCGTAAATATACACGCTCCAAGGGCATGGACAGCAAAAACGACATCATTTAGCAACACTGGGATCTGTGATCTCGGATCTTTCAAAAAATATTCATCTTGAACAGAATCCGAAAAGTACATAGCCAGATTGTAGATGGTATATGCAGTAAAGCCAATCGTATTCAAAAGCAAAAAGTCGAAATGCAGACCGTGAACCGATTTCCTCTTAAAGTTTAGCCAAATCTGAGGGTAAAATGATATGCTCCATGCGAAAAAGTAGATCCATCCAGTCACTCTGACCAATAAATAGGCAATCTGACTGCGGTAGACTGTAATCGGCACAAAGAAGGCTTCGTAACTAAAAATTAAAAGATTTTAGGTATCAAATAATATTTTAGTTACTCGAATGGACATGGCGCCGAACACTTATCGATCTCCAAGTAAGTTGTTGATACTACGTCAACTCCAGTTACATTCACCACATGGCTAGTCTGATTGGGAGCGAAGTTTAGAGTATGAGGTGTTGCCACAAAATCATTGGAGCCTTTCAGATGAATCGAGAAGCTCGCATTTACCGTTTTTCTAAAGGCAAATTACACAAGAATGTAAAACAACTTACGCAAACCTAAGTGTAACAGTGTCAGTTGTGGTCACCAATATACTCAACGATGTCGGAGAGCTCAGCAACTCCTTCGATGGAGGATCAGATAACTTTCGGACCTTCTGACCATCGGATATTGAACATAAGAATACGGATAAAACAAAGAGGGTAAACCAACCCATAAACCTGAAAGAGTGATGCGTTAGACAAAAAATGAGGAGTTCTTTTGTTGTGGGGGTCCAGAAACAAGACGCAGTCAAACAAGTTTGCGCGCGGGACATCAAAATTAAAAATTATATTACACTTGATTCAAGGACAATCTGCATCTGCCGACTTCGAAACACACACCACTCCGCCGGCGGAACAACATCTGCCTCGGTTTCGACCGGACAATCATGAATAATACAAACTGTCAACAAAATAGGAAGAAGTATATTACTTTAGTTATGTATAGGCCATAAATTATTGGTTAAGACCTCTGGGACTGAATATTCATAACCATCGTTTGAGGAACTGACTAATGCTTTTATAAACAAATGGAGTCCAGCTATACAAATTATCCGAGCAATCTGGCCGACAAGACCTTATATTGTTATTGTTCATCATATAAAAAACAAAACTGATAATACTCGCTCCCTCGTAACCCTCAAAACAGCGGTGAACCCAACCTTATTCATGTGATTTTGAAGTCCATTCTCGAAATCCATTAGTTTTCTCGCTTTTTTCCATCATTTTCGACGTCTGGCCTTCAACTGCGTCCTGAAGCGAAAACAAATATTACCTGCTTTTTTACATTTTTACTCCCATCGAGTAATGTTATTCTATAGTTTTATCAGTGGTGCGAATGAATACGAAAATGGTTCTTTGGTGGTCTATCAATCAGGACCCGACCTCACCTTATCCATGTTCATTGAGCGCTTTGATTCCTTTTTTTCGAACTGTTTCGGCCCTGGCTGTTCTTACGTTGTAAACTCCAACTGTTCTTTCTTGACATGGACAATTATTTTTGCGGGATATGGCGAACATTGTTCGGTCTTTTTACACTTCCTTTGATATTATTTTAGATTGACGGAGATCTCGTTTTATTTATCATCCTTTAGATGTTTCGAAATTCAGGTCTCTAAAATTAGATACTTACTTGAACGATATAGAAATTCCTTTATGTTTCTTCATGTGTTTAGACTATTGCGTCGAGAGTTGGGATTTACTTTAGTGGCGTTTTTTTCTGCTGAAAATTTTCTGTTCTTTGCATCGTTTTTGATAGCATACCCAAATACGATTTATTTAAAGGTTCAGAATTTTCGTCGATTGCATTGTTTTTACTTCATTTTTAAAGTTTTGAGTTATTGTTTTACCTATTATAATATTCCAGACTATCAAACTTCTTACTCGGTGTCCACTACAAGTTCTATAAGAAAACCAGAACAATTTGAATTGCAATCATGGCTACTGAAGAGCCGGTACCGAAGTCCGAGGTGGATAATGAGTCGGATAAGACTGATTCCGACGTGGAAAGTCTAGTCGATGTTGGGGAGGAACTTACGAAAGCTGCCGACCAACTGAATTATGTGGAGACGTTGGAGATCGGGGAGAACGCTGAGCTGAACAAAGCCTTGGTGGACTCGTTTCATTGCTATTACACCGATGTTATCAATGAATTCGCTGATGTTGAGATCTTCCTCATCTCGTTGGACTCGTTGTTATGTGAATTCACTGCCCATAAGTACAATAACTGGGTGTTGGGGGGCCAGACAATCGTCCTTTCGCATCAGGTAAGGTCGTTTGTTTCATTTTTTTAAATTTAGATATGAAGGATCTAATGAATCTTACAACAAAAAAAAAGTCTTTGATGTAATAATGTTAGCGATTCTATAGGTTCGGTCATTTTTCGAACGTCTCAACGACCTCAATGCAAAATACAAGTTAGTTTGGTTCACAGATCTGGAGCACAAATATGCCTCGGATTCGGTTCTTAATTTCATCTACAATTATCTGATCGCCTTTTTGGACAGCAGTGAATATGCCCAGCACATTGAGAGATTCTCTAGCCCTGTGGATCCCGAATGGGATGCTTTTTTGAAGCGTCTGACCCCTTCTTTCTTGTTGATGTCCATTGAGAATCCAAGTCTTGAAGTGGTTAGAGATGAAATCAATTTTGTTCCTGAATTTGCCTCGATTGGTAAGTAATGAAGCCATTATGTAACGGCAAACATTGGAAATGTAAATATGAATAATTAATGATTTTCAGCCGTCCAGCTCATCACTGTGGGTATTCCGGTTATATATTTTGAAGCCTTCGCCATCAATTTCTCATCAGTATTAGCCTATCGAATCAAGGTCTCGCCCGTTGTTGTCTTTAACTTTGAAGAGAGATTAACCAATATGTGGAACAAGACCGCTGGTGTGTTTTATGTTCATTTTTTGTTATTATTTTTTAGAAAAGAGAATCCACTCTCTCAGTGCCGGTGAATGCAAGAATGCTGTTGATTTCTTAACGTTGGTGCTCAAAAAGGAACTCCAGAAGGAAAGAAATCCAGAGTTTGAGAAGTTCTGTTTGTCCGTTCTTCTGGCCGCTTTTATTGGACAAACGGTTGGATACAAGAGGTATCTGCCGAATACAGAAGCTCCAAAAGTCAGCGATATTGTTGTTACTCAATGCAGAAGAAGGATATATGCCGCGTTGACGGAGGCATTGAAGACCCTGGATGTCAAGGTAAACATTTTTATTTTTGGATTTTGCCGTTTTAGGTATATAAAAGAAGAAGTGTAATAATTGCCTGTATTTTAATTTTAGACGGTGAAATTTGTCCTTGACGATATTTGGGATGGCCGTCTTATACTTTTCATCTTTGCCAGCGCTATCAACAACAAGCCGATTCTCCCTTACCGACTTCAACTCGAGTTTGCCAAAGCCCACGAGAAAGTTGGGTTCAAGGAAGCTCTGGCGACAGATGAAAATGACACCCTTCTTATTCCACCAGAGGATGATGTAGAGGGCCCTCTTTCGATAAATGGATGTGGAATTTATTCGGTGAAAAACGAGTTTGTTGACGCTATTTTTGATGATAAAGAAGTCCTCAAGAAGTTTGACTATAAACCAGAAGAACAGACCGACTTTGAGAGCATCTTCAGATCGGCCTTCAAATGGCGATTCTTGCCAGTGGAAGATAGATTACTTCAATTGGAACCCAAGGTCCAACTAACCGCTTTCGAGATCAAAAAGTTGAATAGGAGTAGACAAAGACAATCAAAATGGTAAGACTTTTGTTATGATTTAAAAATTTTGATGGATATTATATTGATATTCATGCGTTGTTTGCAGGCTCCAAGCGTTCTCCGACTCTTTGGAAGGCCGCGGAAACGATCTACTGGTCGATTTCTCCAGAGTCCCAAGATTACCGGTGTTGGAAGAAGAGGAGAAAAAGAATGGAGAAGATGATAAGAAAGGAAAGAAGGGAGCCGGAGGAAAGGGAAAGAACGAAAAGAAGGGCGCTAAGACTCCAAAATTGTCTAAGAAGGATCAGATCCTCGAAGCTAACAAATTAGTCATGATCAAAAAGCAGGTGGAGAGCGACAAGGTCAAGATTCAATACGCCACTAAGGTCAAGACTAATGTAAGTGGAAGGTTTTTATTGTTGATTTGTTTTTTAGGCCATCCAAGCTCTGGAAAATGTAAAGAGAAAGCTACAATTGGACGAATCGAAAGCCATCTGTGCATTCGAATTGGTCCTCAGATATGCTGACGTTTTCTACGCCAAGGCCAACAAATGCCAGACGATAGAGGAGAAACGTCAAGCGGCGGTTGAATTGGTCGGACAGATCAAGGAATGCTTTGTAACTCATTGGAATTTCCTCGATCAAACCCAACAAGGGAAGATTGAAGACATTTGGATTCAATTGGGATTCTACAAGCACCCCAAAAAGAAGGCCAGCAGAGAGTATGATCTGGATATTGATGTGATTTACTATCAATTGTATCATGGAGGTCGGCTGATTGATGTTTTGACTGATTCTCAGCACGATGAAAGAGTTGTTGGCTTCAAGCCCGATGCCTGGCAACGGCGAATGTTGAATGTGGTCGATAAAAGTGAGTGGCGTTTTGATTATATGTGATGTTTAGGATTATTTGAATGGCAGTTTTGATCTTGTTATTTGTAGACGAGTCCGCTCTGATTGTCGCTCCCACTTCGGCTGGTAAGACCTTCGTCTCCTACTACTGTATCGAGAAGGTCCTCCGTCAAAGCAACGAGGACGTTGTTGTCTACGTATCCCCCTCCAAGGCCTTGACCAATCAGGTTTGTGGATCCGTCTACGCCAGATTCAGAAACAAACCCCTTCATGGAAATACCGTACTCTTTGGTACAATCCTCAACGAATACAGTGAGAACGCCCTCAACTGCCAAGTCCTCATCACGATTCCGCAATGTCTCGAAGAGATGCTTTTGTCTCCAGACCCACAAATTCAGCAGTTTGTCGCCAGAATCAAGTATGTAATTCTTGATGAAGTCCATTGTATTAACACCGCTGGACAAGGCCATATTTGGGAGCACATCTTCCTCTTGATTAATGCCCCATTCCTGGCACTTTCTGCTACTATCTCCAATGTTGATGTATTCCATAAATGGCTTCAAGGAGCCGAGAACTCGAAGGCCGTCAAAGGAGAAGCTCCAAGGAATGTGAATTTGATTGTGTACAAAGAGAGATGGTCTGAATTGGAATTGGCCATTCAGAAAATGGAGGATTGCCCGGACGATATTGACTTTACCAGAGATGTGGAGCTCTTCAATAAGGGATTCTCCCTCGCTGATATGAATAAGAAGGATGATTCGGCTAATGGAAGTTTGGTTGATCTGAACAAGTCCATCAAATCCGTCCTCAAGTACTTCATGCCATACAGTGTCTACAAACCGGAGAAAATCAGAATGTTCTCAATACCAGATGATCAACAGTTGACTGCTAGACAGATTGTCGAGTTGTATGTTATCATGGCTGAGGTTGATGGCAAGGTCAAGTAAGTTTCTTTTGTTTGTGCTGAATTTTAGGTATGAAATGATGTTTTATTTTATTTTTTAATTTTAGAGCCGAATTTGAGCCCTCAAAATTCTTTGGCTACAAATCGGGCTCCTTGGAATGCGTCTGGCTGAACCGAACCCAGCTCAGAAACTTTGAAACCCAACTAAAGCAGCGGTTCTTGGACTGGCTCCACAATGACCAGGAAAAGATTGAGAAGGTCTTCAGCAAGCTGGAATCGGATGTGAAAGAAGAATTTGACAAGAGAATGAAACCTTTCAACATGTTCAGAGCTGCCCTCCATAATGTGGTACCATTATTGGATCAGCTGAAAACTGATGATATGCTTCCATCAATCTGCTTTAATGACAATCGTGAGTTCTGTGAGCAATTGGCAATCCACTCGTTCAATGAATTGGAAGTCCGGGAAATGAGGTATATGAATACGGCCGAGTTCAAGAAGAAGTTCAACTTTAAGGCTGAAGATGTAAGTTGCATTATTTTGTAATTTGGAGGGGATTATTAATGTCTATACTCATTGATTTAAGAGAATGGCCAAACTCGCGAAGAGAAAGAGAGATGTGAAAGACGAAGACAAAAAGAAGGGAGGACCGCCAGAAGACGAGCCTCCAGAGTCCATGGAAGAATCGGATGTGTTCGCTCTGCAGAGAATCAAGCTGAAGGAGCTCCTGGCTCAATTCAAATTCCAAGGCCGAGTTTCTGATGAGGAATTGTATGATAAGACCGTGGAAAGACTCAATCAGAAGTCTGGGAATCGCCCATCCACCAAGACTCTTCTGAAACTCTTTGAAAGAGGCATCGCTTTCCATCATGAAGGTCTGAACGCGCAGGAAAGAGGAGCTGTGGAAATCTTGTTCCGTGCTGGATTTGTGGGCATCTTGTTCTCCACATCCACCCTCGCCTTGGGTATGAATATGCCTTGTAAGACGGTTGTCTTTGGCATTGACACCCCTCAACTCTCCCCCCTCCAGTTCCGTCAGATGAGTGGTCGTGCTGGTCGTCGTGGTTATGATGCAGCTGGAACTGTCATCTTCATGGCCCTCCCAACCAGCAAGATCCGCCGATTGCTGACAGCCTCTTTGGCGACCTTGAGAGGAAATGTCCCGTATACAACATCATTCCTCCTCAGATTGTTTGCCTATGTGAATGGAGTCAAGGAAGAGTTCACGACCAGGGATGAGATTTTGGTTGCCTTTAAGAACAAGACTGTATCGGAGAAGGTGGCTACGACCTTATTGGAGAAGCTGAAGCTCAAGGAAGCCAACAAAAAGAAGGGAATCCAAGAAGATGAGACTGTCCAGAAACAAGGAAGGATACAAGCAGCTTTGACCTTGCTGAAGAACTCGTTTGCGTTGTACACGAGACATGAAAAGAAGGCTGGAGTCCTGAAAGAAGTCCTTCAAGGCCTCACTTTCTTCAATATCCAACTGTTGAGAAGACTTCAACTCATCAATGATGAAGGAGAAACCACTGGATTTGCTAACATTGCCGTCCATCTTGGAGTCCATGAACCAGGAAACTTGTTGTTTGTTTATTTACTGCAAGTTGGAGCTTTCCACGCTCTTCACAAAACGTTGCATGAGAATGAAACCGTCTACAAACAGACTGTGGTCAATATTCTGGCTCATCTTTTCACCAACAGAAGACTTCCAGTTGGATATGAGCCTAATGGAGATTCATCGATTGCGCTCCCCAAAATGCCCGAGAAGTTTGAGGAATTTGTGAACAAGTACAACAAGGACACAGAGAAGTTGTTGCTGGCTTCTCTCCAGGCTTTCTTCCCCTCGAAACTTGATGTAAGTTTTGGATATTGTTTGGTGGTGTAAAAGATTTTTTTTTCAAAAAATGGAGTTTATTGATGATTCCTGTTTCCAGAACGAATACTTCCGTCTGAGTGGAAAGACCTCCAACCTTTCTCTATCCGAATCCTATGTGGTCTCCGTTTTTGATGATGATCTTTGTTTGGACCCGGCTTTCATTCCAACTGTGGTTGAATTGAAGGATCACAGAGGCCGCCCAATCCTAAGGAACTCTTATGCATATGATTTCTACCTGAATGGATCAAAGAATACCTTGATTACCGAGAATAAACTTGACATTGGGGAGATTTGGTATGTCATCGACGACTTCAACGTAAGTTTTTGAATTTTTTTTTTTTTGAAATTGTTCTTCTCAATTGTTTTCTTTGTAATGTGATTACGAGTTTTTGTTGCAGAAGATGTTGAAATCCCTTCGCGAAGTCCTGGCCTACAGCGCCCGTGTGAACGACCCGGTCCTCCTGTCCATCACCCAGATCTCCGAGGAATATGAAAGGAAGTTCAGACACGCGTTCGGTATGAAAACCTTCACTTAATCCCCTATCCCACCCCCATTTTGCTGTTGTTTTGGATGGGTAAATTGTTATTGTTACACAGGATGTCTTCCGTTTCGACTCTGCCCGCTTTTCTAGGCTTGTTTTTAATTTATTACCGGTACGGTCTCCCAAAGGGCCTTCTGTTCGTAGACGTGACTTCTTGATATCGGCCACTCTCTAAATCGGTCAATTTCTTGTCCTAGCCAAGTCACAGCTCGCTTCTCTAGCAGTAGTCGCTTCTTTTCCCCATCTAATCGGGCTGTTTTTTGCTAAATCCTTTGTTTCCCCAGTGCACTGTGCATTTTCTTGTAAGAATATCGAATATATTTCATCATCAACTTGTTTTGAAGGTCTTAAAATAAACTGTGTTGGATAAATGACAACATTTATTATGAATCGTGAGGAAAGTCATGCGACAATATTTGAGATGCATATAGAATTATTACACTTCGAAAAGCTGTGATTAGGCGAATAACCCGTTGGATTTTGACAATTAGAGCTGGAAAGAACTAAAGCTGGCTCTTGAATAGATAATACGAAATTTGGATGTTAGAATACTAGAAAATATGCAGAAAAAATAGTATTAATGACGTTATCGTTATGAAAATTTAACTGGCGGTTTTTCCGGGCTTGTTCTAGAGCCCCGTCGTTTAGCCGATTGTCTACTCCCTCTCCTCGAGTTGGCTGTCATATATTCTTCATCACTACTTGACTCATAATCTCCGATTGGAACAGAAACATCTTCCACAGATCGGTGTCTCTTCAGCTCAGATGTTATCGATTGGACCGACTCTCTTCTAACCATATAAGGAGACGGATTTTGGTGTAGATTGGCTAATTTGGGGATATAAGGTTCTTCTTCGGATTGTCGGCTTCGGGCTTCAATAGCTTCTAACCGGCGTAGTTTCTCCTTCCATTTGTCTTCAGTCAGTTGAATTTCTTTGAAAATGTTTCTGAAAGGTTTATGGTACTTTCGATCATAAAACGACAATTGTAGGTAAAATTATACTTACTGTCTTTTGTCCTCAATCATATAATGATGCATCCATAACTCGGCTATGAGGTCCGTTGTGAACACAACATCCGCATGTTGGGCTATCAATTTTAGGATAAAGATCCCATCAGTCCTCAGGTACTTGTCAATAAACTTGTCCACTTGGATTTGAACTTCTTAACAACCATATTGACCGGTATGAGAGAAACTTACCTTTAAGACCTTCAGGAGTGTCCGCCAAGAACGCTTTATCTCCACTCATTTCCAGATGGTTAATAATGAAATGCGCTTGAGACCGAGGATTCAAAAGACCAAAGAACCAGGTGGTAAGATTGGCCAGAGTAATCAGAGAAAGGACATTATACCAGGCCCAAAGTATCATAAATGCCTTTTCGGTGAAAACATTGAGAAGCAGGACGCATTGGACAGTGTGTGTCGTGGTTTGGCCCATTTCGCGGACCTGAAAGAACGGAATAAACGAAATCCGACATCACGAAGCAAGGACGTTGAGGTATCTAATATTATTACCTAATATTAGATACCAAAATTCAAAGACTCACCTCAAAATCGCATAGAGAAACTCGTGGAAAGAGACCACTCTCTTCCCATGTTCGATTCCCTGACCAAATTCCAAACCAAGCCCAGAGCCCAAAGTTTTTCTGCGCACTTGGTATCAAATAGCGATTGAGAAGCTCGGTCTGACCGAGAACATTGATCAAAAAGGCTGTCTTGGAGAAAATGTAAATGACAGCGACATAATACGACGAGTACTTAATGTTGAGGCATCTTATGAACTTGTGGGGCAAAAGATTTTTCTAAAAATTAAATGAAATAACAATAATTTTTTTTTTGTTTTACCTTCTTCAGACGATAATGGAACTTCAAAGCTCCCTTGAGATGCATGGCTAACGCCTGAATGTTAGCCTTTCTTGTGTTAGGATCCGAATTGGCTTCATTTGTCGCTAGACGCAAAACTTCGCCAACTCTCATACCTAAAAATATAAAAAATTACTTTATTCATGACAACCGACCTGATTGAGATCCAAAATACTTCCAGATCAAAGTTGGAACCTTGAAGCAAGCTGCTTGGAAGAGCAAGAAGAATGGCATCCACTGATAATAACTGATCCTCTTATCTCTCTTCTGTTGCGGATTAAACAGCTCCACGGTCTCATTGAAGCTAACATAATAAGTGTCCTCGCTCCAACAGTAGGTCTCCGCATATTGCTCCCAAGCCTTGTTGAAGCTGATTCCGGTCAAAGGTAACATACACTCGATTGGCCGACCACCAAATTGCTTGTAACTCAAGAGAACGGCAAGCCCAATAAGAAGATTACAGGTAAAATATGAATGTAGATTGGCTATAACGTCTTGGACCGGCGCTTGGTTGCTGTATGGGACAGCGTGCATAACACGAAAGATCATCATCTTGGCAAGAGTATCTTGTGACCTTACGAGGAATAGAAATTGGAATAGACGAATTTAAATATTATTTTAGCAACGAAAGAAATCAATATCCCAGCATTCTTATGTTTGGAAACGGGTCCAGCGTAGAAAAACAACGAGGAGCATTTGATTTCAAAACAAATCCGTTGAGTACACTCTTTGGATCTCTTTCTTCTTCGTCCAAAACTTTGGCCGAGCAGGGGTGGTCAGCGGACCCTATTTTTCCGATTTTCGGCCCGCGGCCCGGCCCGTCTAATTACCGGCCCGGCCCGGCCCGTCTAGTCTTTTTCCAGGCCCGGCCCGGCCCGGCCCGTGACGGGCCTGGCCCGGCCCGGCCCGGCCCGTGCAGGCCCGTTTATAGAGGGTTCTGCGAACTGCGCCCAAGCTTGGGATCTAAACTTAGGCAAAAAAGGCGTTGATATAGCTAGTAAAGGATCAATGTGATAGTTTTGTGGTTTTATAATGGAACTATAGACTTGTAAACGTTTTAGAACTTGAGAAACAGCAACTATAACAACATCAATTAATTTTCCCGGCGCGAAAACAATGAATGCCAACGGTTTGGCATTGTAATTTAGACGGGCCGGGCCGGGCCGGAAAAACCCCAGGCCCGCGGCCCGGCCCGGCCCGGCCCGTGACGGGCCCGGCCCGTTTGTAATTTTCCATTTTTGAGCCCGGCCGGCCCGTTTGGGCCGGGCCGGGCCGGCCCGTCACGGGCCGGCCCGGCCCACTGACCACCCCTGTGGCCGAGAAAACAGAGTAAGACTTGACCCCTGGAGACGGAGGGTGTCAAGTTTTTCTCTGTTAAAAATATTTTTCCGATTTCTGACCGTTGGCTATTTGCCGGTGGTGGCTGGTTTACCGACTTTGCGTTGATAGTTAGTCGAATTTATTTTGCTGTTAATATTATTATGTTTCAGGGTTAAGTGATGTTTAGAAGAACACCAATACTAACATAATATCGACCTTCATCATGGTGCAGCAGATGTCTTTGGGCGAGGACTTTGTCCTCTCAAACCTACAGGGTTTGGCGATCTGTTCCGCATTGGCCAAGGATCTTGATTATGATAAATTAGAGAGCAGGTTGTTTGGCCGGATTCCGGGAGATGTAAATGAACTTATTCTTGGCCATAATGTTAGAAGCACTTATTTTGCAGCTGGAATCTGCATTCTACACGCTCCTCACAACAAAGTCAGTTTATTTACATTTGAATTTGCTTGGGTTTTAGAAATAGCGAAATTTAGGTACGAAGTGCAATATTATAATTTCAGTTTGATGAGCCTTTATGTGACCGATTAATGGAATTGATGGAAATGCTCCCTGTTCTTCGTTGGGTAGATGATTCCGCGTCTAGTAAACTGGACAGTAAGCTTTTAATTTTTTTTACATTCTTTGAAGTTCAGAAGTCACAATTTACGAACAATTTTTGTTTTGTCTCAATACAATTCTGGGTGATATTGCTGCTCAACATTTTGGTCTGCGTGATCGTATCATTGACCATCAATTGACTTTGCTGGAGGAGCTGGTCGAGGATATTACCGAGTTTGTTGATGGTATCCAAAGAAGTCCGTCGTTGAATCAGTCAAGATTTAACAGAAGACTGTCATCGGAAGGTGAGTGAAGCCCCATATATTATGGCGATTTGAAAAATGGAGTGTATAGTCGATGTTGTCTTTTATGACTTTATATTTGCAGTTGATTGTATGCGGGTGATATCAATGATATTTGGTCTTGTCCGAACGATTGGTCGATTCTCAGGCGATCCAAAAGCACCGTTGATATCCAATATTTATCCGCCGCCATTCAAAATTCAATCAGAAGATGATCAGAATGGGGGTAAACCAAAAAACGTGACGTAAGTTGAGGTTTTGTTTTCCTTATTACTTAAAAAATTGACAAAATAGTTTTAAAATACGGGTCGTTTACTTTCTATTTTTTGTTGTAGGTTGTCTACAGATGCCACGAATTGGTTTTGGAATGAGGAAAAAGAGTCGACCAAAGGAGGCTCGAGAAAAGTTTTTTCTCGGCACGGCAGCAGCTTCCTGACGCCCAATGTCGGTGATAATGACAAGCATGTGTTGAGGCTGATGTTCCCAGAGATTGAGAGACTTACTGTGCAGGTAATTTTATTATTTTTTTATCGTATTTTTAAATTACAGTAGGAAATTTCGAATTTAATTTAGCTAAAAACCTTGATGGATCAGAAATTACTCAACACTCTGGACAGGTATGCCGAAGATGTCTTCCACAACCAAAAACTGAAGAGATTTCCGTATAAATCAGTGTCCGAGACCATCACTTTGGTCTCTGTGACGTGTTTGAGGGATGTACTGCAGTTATATGAAATGCCTCATCCAGATTCACCGATCCCAATGGAATACGCTAAGGATGTAAGATATTGTAAAATACACCATATGACCGGTGGATGAATGCTATCTTTGAAAATTTTAGTTGTACACATTTGCCGCCCAGCAATTTGCCCAAGGCCAGGAACAGTTGAAAATGAAGAATTTCAATGAAGATATCAGAGAGATTCGGCGTTCTGTCGATGACGAAATGACTCAGCCAATGGTGAATCGACTCAAAATGCTGATTATAGCGAACTCACTTTGTATTGAGCTCATTGTTTGGAGTGCAATCGATGAAAACAGTAAGGATTAAATAATTTTGATGATTTTTACTGTGATAATTGATAAAAATCTTAATAACAAAAAGTTTAGGTGGTTATTTGGTCTGTAACAACATCCAAGACAAATTATGGCAGCCTCATCGGCATGTCCTCATCCAGAATCCAATCAGTGTTGTTGCATTGGAAGCGTTGGGCGGAATGGCCGAAAAATTCCCTGCATTGTCGAGCACCATTGTTGTCAGGTGTCTCTGTAGCTTTCTTTTGGATCCATGTCCACTGCTGACTAAGCTAACATCAAGTGAAGTATGTATTTTGAACATGATTATTCTTGGGTGACCTAGTGTAATATAATTTTTTTTTATCGATTTTACGGACTTTTTTTAGTTTGACAAAGGGGATAGAACAATGACCAAAGAGCAGTGTGAAGCGGTCAGTCGACGAAGATTGGGATTGAATAGTTTGCGAACGGCCGCCATTGATGCACTGTGCAGAGCCCTAAAGGCGGCCATTCCAGGGACGGAGTCGGACTCGGAAAATGGAGCCGAAGAAACACTTATCAGGTCTTGTTTGACCCAATTGTCCGCAAAGTTGTATGTACCCGAGAATGCGGCGGTTGAAAGGTGCGTTTCGAGAGTTCATTGTATTATAATAGGCAAAATTGGGCTGCAGTTTTAAAAACCCATGGAATTTTATGATAGTTACTACTGTTTGTGATATTCGCATTATTTTATATTTTAGCGCGGTTTACTTGATCTCCGAGAACGTTATCATGGCCTTGGGAAGTATTGGAATCACTTTGAAGGATCGAAAGATCCCTCAAATTGTCCTTCAAATCTTCCTCCAAAGATTTGCTCAACCTCCGTCATCTTTAGATCAAGTGATTATTAATTCGCTTGCAGATATGTGGATTGCTGGAGCGGTAAGTTTACTTTTGATTATTTTTTATTGTTTTTATCGATGTATTATTAAAATTAAGCTTTCTGGCTTCTCTAATGTGTTGCAGTAACATTTCAGACCGTAATTCACGATGGAGTCATCAAGTTGTTCACAAGGATTATATTGGAATCGAGTAATCGAGTTTATACTTCCGATCCTCTACAACAAGGTCAACGGTACTCTCATGTCTCATTGGTCGTGGACAGTGCGTTGGCCAGAATGGCAAAGGCCTTGACGAAAGAAGAGGAGCAGATGGAATTACTATATCGGTTGTTAGAACTGTTTGTCCAATTGGCGATCGAAGGGAAAAGAGTCAACGAGAAGATTAGGAAAACGGCGGTGAAAGTGAGTACTTGGGATCTAACAGATGTCGCTGAAATAGTTTGACTGTAGTTTGACTAGTATTACTACGGGTTTTTCCTAAAACTGGATTATTTTAGATGACGGCAAATGCTGGAAATCTTGGAGTTCTCATCCCTAAAATAGCCGCTCTAATCGTTCGAATGAAACCGATCACTGAGCCCACAATCAAAGTCAAGAACTTGTTCAGGGACTTCTTTTTCTACTGTTCGGGCGTTGGTTTCAATCTTGAAGTTAATGATGGATTATGGCCTGATGATTGGTACAAAGCTTTGTGCCAAGTTGCGGTCAAAGCTCCAGTTTTAACCGTAATGGAGAATCTGAAGTCCGAGATGATTGAAAATGCAGCGATAAAAATGGATTCTTTGCCATTAGTGAGTCGATTAATCACACATTGCAGTGGCCGTGAAAATATTACTAATTTGTCATTATTTAGTCGGACGTCCAAGAACGGCGAAATTTGGTTATGAAAGAGGTTCCACAGACGCCGGAGATCACGACGATCATTTCCAGATTGGATTATGCGCAATGCACCTACTTGTTGTCTGTCTGCAGAACGGAGAAGATGAGAGTGATAACCTCAAGTGAACCCGATGCTCCACAGCAAATGTTCAGGTATTTGGAGGATAAGTAAGTCGTTTTGGGAGTTATTGAGAGTGTTTAGATTCTGCAGTTGAGGTGTTTTTACAATACATTCCGTTTCAGAGCCATTCGAAAGGACAAGAGTGGAATCTGGTCGTGTTTATTGGCAGCTACACCTCTCATCTTTACGGAGTATCTTAACAAAATGTCCAAGAGCAACGCATGTCGGCAGAGAACGGCGGATATTCGCGTAACCGCAGAGTTCTTGCTAATAATGTTCAATCACTCGATAAGAGAAGTAAGAAGATGCGCTGACAATTGCCTCACAAAGTTGATGGACACTTTTCCATATTTGTTGTGGAATGGACAAGTCATTGCAACGGCATTGAGTCTAATCCAAGCTATGTCGAAGATCATTGAAGAAGATCGAGAATGCAGAGTTGCAACACTTGACACACCTGGATTCCAATGGACCTTGCAATTACAGGTGACATATTGAAGGGGTTTTCGGGAAAGGTAGTTTAGGGCCAAGAAAGCAGTAGAATGGAGAGTACGGGGTCTTATTTGAGTTAATCAAGTGTATGGGCGCAATTTGATCATGGTTTTTGCATAGTAAAATAAGTGTTGACAAAACGAGTTAAAAATTTTCAAAGAAAATTTAATAACCTTCTTGAAATTTAGAGATCAGTTTTATCATTCATTATTTTCAACTTCAGGACACCCTTTCCGCCCGTGAATCCATTGCCAAAGATTTCTCACAACGAGTCGAACAGATCCTCTGTGAAGCCATGAAATGGGCTCCCGGCACCACTCACGGTCATCTTCTGGAATACGTTCGCAGAACAAATTCTACAAACAATCGAAGTCTTCGGTTAACCATAGATGCTGTCCTTCATCACCATTCAACCGGCCTTGGATCGGATTTTACTCCCTCCACGACTGATGTGAACTCGGTGAATGGAACCGCTCTGCCAAAAGAAAATACTACCCTGGATGTGTCAGCATATTTGACTTCCCTGAATCAGAGAGCCAACTATTTGGGAAGGATCCAAGGGATGCTATCCATGTTGAAATCGACTCAACATGACTATAATTTGGCGCAGGAATTGTTGGTGGAACATCTGGATTCGAAGTTTAGGGACATCTTTGAGCAAAAAGAAAACTCTTACAATGATAGTAATCTAGAAGAAGATCTGGAGGAAGCCATTATGCTCAGTTCGGCTTATTTTGTGGAATCAAAAAATTTCGAAGCAAAATCTCTCCATAATTTGGTGTGGGTACCCGAAAAAAATTTCACGGAAAAGACTCTTGAACTCTGTATTTCTTGCTGGAATTGGATTCTGGTTGCTCGAGAAGATGTTCAGATTCATGTAAGTTGATTTTAATGATGCTTTGGGTCTAAATTAATGTAAATTTTTTCAAGGAAAGGTTTAATTAAGGAAGTTTGTGGTATTTTAATACCATAAAAGTGGATTATAATGGAAGAATATTTTAGTTCTTGCAAGAAATGAGCGGATGCTTTCTCCAAATCGCCCAGAAAGGCCTCGGTTTATTTGATCGGACCTACGATAATGTCGAATGCCCAATGTCCAGGAGTGAATGTCACAGAAGAAAGGCCCCGTTTGTGAAACCGCATGCTGTTTGGGCAGGAGTAAGTTATTTTTTTTTTTGACTTGTAAAAATATATTTTCAGTTCTTGGCAGAGAGGATGTCCTTGGCCAGATACTGCAACCAAGAGCAAATTGATCTATTTGAAATTTTATTTTCTAGAATATTGTCATTGGAAATTGGGCTAGACCAGAAGGGAGGAAATGCACAAAAAATACGTATGAGAAGAATATAGTTGGTAATAAAGATGGTATTATTTCAGCGATGATGAGCCGGCACATTGAAGCCGTTGGAGTCAGATTTCGACTTTTGGCCGCAGCGTTGACAATGATCCAAAATGATTTCCTGACAAATTCCCAGTCGAAAACAATACTAAGACAAAGAATTTACTCGGCGGCTTTTGATTATTTTACGTATGTTCTGTTTGATGCATAAGTTTCAGAGAAATTGATGTAAATTTTGACTGTAACCTTTCAGTTTGGCCCCACAAACCCCAACCATGAGTTCGAATGAGTTGAAAGAGGTTATAAAATACTTGATTGCCTTCTGGAAAGCGTTGAATGTTGATGTCAAGTATATCAAAAAAGAGGCCTTTGCTGGAAGTGGTAAGTAAAACTTGTGTTGTAAATGGAAAATTTGAATGTTTTGTGACCTAATCTTGATGGGTTTCCAGATATCGCCTCGGCCAATCTTCCCAAACCCCCACCAGAACCTCAAATAACAGCAGTTACCGTACTCCAACAAGCGGCTCAACAGAACCGAGGAAACTCATTCACTTGGCATGCCGCCCCGAGCAACCAAAGTGCATCCAATTTATCGACGAACACCTTTACTGCACCAGCACAGGCCAGAAACGGGCTTTCTCAGCGGACAAATTCGACTAAAAATGCAGCTCAACACGCCAAAATTCAAGAAAAACAAGTCAGAAATTTGTATAGAAAGAGACAACTTCTAATGTTTTTAGTTGTAAGTGCTGCGTTTTGAATTTTGAAGAAGTCGAGAGACTGGATTTGACACAGTGAGAGGTTTTTATGTTCTATTCTTGATGATTTTTCAGTCCCATGAAGTCGACCGTCTCAACGCCTGGCTCAATCCCCTTGGAGCGCCAGAACAAGAGAATTCGGATCCTCAGATTGACAATTATATCAGAACTGTGTTGATAGATCAGCAAAAACAATTCCGAGATATGGCTCGATTCGCCTGGGAAATCTCGCCGGAATTGGCAGTCCATTTGGTCCCGAGATTACCGGCTTATCCGGCGGTAAAGAATACGATAAGAGAATTGGTCAGAGCTCAACCAGAAGCCGTCACTCATCTCACCGAAGCCTTACAGCTTTTCCTTGGAGACTCCACCACCATTGTTGAATCAGATTCGCAGAAATTCTCTCATGTCCTAACCTGGGTCCATTGCTCACCGGTTATGGCCATATCTCTCCTTTGTCCTAAGATTTACCCACCACATCCAAGTACGGCTCAATATGCGGTAAATGTTCTCAGAGCATGCCCTCCGGACTTGCTGCTGCTGTATATTCCACAGATCGTGCAATGCATGCGATGGGATTCGGTAAGCAGCGATTTTTTATATGATACTAGTCATTTGTGCTAAAATTTCAAAATATTTCAGAGATATGTTTGTTGTTTTAGATGGGATACGTCGCGGACTTGATCCTATGGCTGGCAAACCACTCCCAACTAGTTGCTCATCAACTTTTATGGAACATGAATGCCAACATGTACCTTGATGAAGATGCCAAACAAAAGGATCCCGTTCTTTATGAACCGTTGAATGCAATCTCTGAAAAATTGATCAGCAACCTAGCTGGAACTGCTAAGCGCTTTTACAAAGCTGAATTCGATTTGTTCGAGAGGATTACGAGGATATCTGGGCAGATCAAACACTTTGAAAAAGGAGAAAGCCGAAAGAAGGCGTGTCTCAAGGCATTGGCGGAAGTCCAAGTAGAAGGAGTGACGTACATCCCATCGAATCCAGAGTGTATCATCATTGATATTGATTATTCAAGCGCCACACCAATGCAAAGGTAAACGTTTGAACAGGGAGTAGAAAGTTGTCATGTTTGTGATTTTTTAAAGTTAATTTTTATGTTTTCAGCGCTGCCAAGGCTCCATTCCTTGCCTGCTTCCGTATGAAGCAATGTGGAGTGGATGGGGTGGAAGAATTGGCCTTATCTTACTATGAAAAAGAGATGGAAGCCGAAGAAAGAAAGGACCCAAGACCTAAGGCCAATTTAGTCCGAGTTGATCCCCATGGATTTGTGAAACACGATCCCCTGGTCATACGGAAAGGCGCGATCTTCAAAGTCGGCGATGATTGTCGACAAGATGTCCTTGCTCTTCAAATGATGAGACTAATGAAGAATATCTGCGATCAATCCAATGTGGATGTCGATTTCTTCCCGTACAGAGTGGTAGCCACAAATCCTGGGTGCGGAGTAATTGAATGTGTTCCAAATGCTAAATCGAGAAACGAAATTGGGCATCAAACGGCGTTCACTTTGTTCGAATACTTCGTTACCAGTTATGGCGATGAGAACAGCGAAAAGTTTAGAACGGCCAGGAGAAATTTCGTCAAGAGTATGGCCGCTTACTCGGTTTTTAGTTTCTTACTTCAAATCAAGGACAGGCATAATGGAAATATCATGATCAACAAGGATGGACATATTATACATATTGGTAATTTTTTTAAATTTTTTGGTCATCTGCTTGTAGTCATACCTAGAACGGATGTTTTGGATAATTGATGAGGAAATTTGCAGATTTTGGATTCATGTTCGAAAGCTCACCCGGTGGAAATATGGGCTTCGAGCCGGACTTCAAATTGAGTCAGGAAATGGTGGATATTATGGGCCATAATATGGAACATCCGGCTTTCAAGCACTTCTCATCTCTTTGTGTGAGAATATTCTTGGCTGTCAGACCGTATTATCAGGTAAGGAAAGTTAGAATTGATTTGTGGACGGTTATAGGAGAAAAATATTGTTCATGATGATTTATAAAAAAGTTAAAATTTTGAACGTTTAATCTAAAAAAGGCGAGTTGATGATGCATTTCCATGAGTTTGAATCTATTTTATAAGATATTAGAACAACTACTAGTAAGATACATTTATTTAGACGCTTTCAAAATGAGTTTTATCAGAAATTTTTTTATCCAAGTAAAAATTTTCAGGACTTTATCGCCCTTGTAAATCAAATGTTGGACACAAAGTTACCTTGTTTCCGTGGCAAGACCATTCCCCTCCTCCGTTCCCGGTTTGTCCCTGAAATGAACGACAAAGACGCGGCCAAGTACATGCTCGGAATCATAAACAATTGCTGCACGAACATCAGATCCAAGATGTACGATCAACTCCAGTACATCCAGAACGACATTCCTTATTGACCGGCCATTATGATTTTATTTCTCTCAAGGTTTTATTTTCCAGATCACTTAATTGTAGTCAACTTAGATGTGGATAGTCATAACAGATGCTTAACTTATTTTGTAACTAAACTTACCCGATGTCGAAGTGTAATTCGCAAAAAGAAAGGTGTAATAGATTTATTTGATAGAGTTTTAACTGAAAATAAATGTAAATGATAATCATGTTTCTGTTAGTGTCATGGATGATACCAAAAACCAACTTTGAATGACTGAAATAAGATTTTTACTACGCCATATGCAGAGATATGGGGCTACACACCCCTCAAGCAGCTAATAACCACCATCATGAATGGAGAATCTAAATAATTTATCGAGGAAGGCCTTCGGTTTGATATTCATTTTATATTTTATTCCTCCGAAGGTCAAGTAGTTAGTTACCAGACTCTCCCCCCAGTTTTTGATGGCACTGAATGGGTGGAATAATTTACGGACTCTTCATGAATTTTTCAACCAACTCAACTTGCCAGCAGGGCAGACGCGAGCGATGAATGCATACAAGGATGGCGTTTGGACTGACTTTGAGGGTTGGGAATGGTCCGGTTGATTATGAAAATTGTTGATTTTACTAGTGCATAGAGGGATTTTTTGCAGGAAATTTCATATTTTCCAAAATTTATTATTTTGATAAAAGTTTGAATACTCTATTTTTTGGTTTTAATTTTTTTACAATATCTTTTGGGGCACTCCAAAAGTCATCACGACGGATTTTGAAGCTCCTTGGAAATTTTCATATTTACGAAAATTCGGTTTTAAAAAAATTTTACTCAAAAATTTCCATTTTTTTAGTAAAATATTTACGCCTTACGCTTTTATTTCCAGCCAAATCCCATTCCTCAAATATTGGCAACATTGCTTGCATTGATCCATCCTTCAAGTCCCCATTTAATGACTCCAATTAAGGCCTTGAATCGACCGCTTTCGGGTCCGGTCACGGCTGTTTCCATGATGTTCATCCATCACTCCGAGGTCGGTTTATGTTCGTTTCTTATATCCATGTTGCGCACCGCAATTACGGCATTTCTTTCGGCGTTTTTTTCTTCTTCATCGACCGATTTGATGGCCGGCCATGACATGAAAAAAAGGCGAGGGATCTCGGGGAATTTGATGTTCGGAAACGGCGCTTTGCGGGCGGATTCAAATCCCGAGGGAGTTTCGAAAAAGCTCACGCAATCGGCCGGCATTAATAGGCGCTTAATTTTTACGATCTTCGGATTACAGTAGCCCGACGATACCTTGAATAACAATGGCAACGGACTTGTGAAATCATGGCTGGAATTTTTTATTTTTAGCATCATTCCCAACGTATTATTGCATGATTCGTAGAGGCCAGACATGTCCTTTTAAATAACTCTACGGACGATTCTGGGTTATTATAGATTTCCAGGGCCTACAGTACTCTTTTGGTTGCAGTAAATCCTCAGAAATTTTCTATGTCAAATCTACAGTACTCCCAACTTGGACCACATAAAATCGAGGATCAAATTCTACCCGAAGAACCTACCCAAAACACCAAGAGCAATTAATCTTTTCCGCCGAGACCCCGGCGATTACTACGGTATTCGGGCGCCTTAAACCGCCGCCATGTTATGCCAGGCTAAAGTTTTCCGAGGAAACCGTTAATTATTACTTTGTGATCCGGCCGACAGGTGCTGCGGGTCTTTAAAAGTCATTCTGTTTTCGTTTTCCCCCTCTTTTCGGTGAGACCATTCATGGCCCCGAGTCCATTGTCCCATCCCCCAAACAGCTGGCCCCAATGAATTGACGCATGAACTCGCAGAAAAGGGTATGAACAGGAAGAATGGGGTCAGTGGCTTACATTGGCATCAGATGAGATTTGAGCAAGCTCAAGATTACATAGAGTTGAGTGTCGTTAAAAAAATTAGAGACGTGTTGATACAGATAGAGAAAAAGTTAAAGGACAGGCGAAGGCTAAACATGGGGCATATGACAACATTATTGAAAGGTTGGGGCGTGATAACCTAACTTCAAAAAATAGCTAGCAGAGGGTCTTTAAACACTGAGTCTAACGTTTTCCTGTTACACCGACATTGATGACAATTTGAGCTAAAACTAGGAATGCTTTTGTTGCTTTGTGTCTTCTTGTTTGTCGTGGAATCTTGTCCTTTTTTGATTTATCGACGTTTTCCTGTTTGATGAATTTCTTGGCTGGGACTCTTGGTGTCTTCATGTTTAGCTGTAGATCATCAACAGGGCATGCAGACTCTGAGCTTTGCTTTCTCTGGCATTTCTAGGCTTGCCATCCAATGATGCAACTTCAATACAATCTTATATTACGTTTGGAAAATGCAATTGCAAGTGCAATTTAACACTGCCCTTATTTTCACTTTCAACCCCCAAATTAAGTCCCTTCATCCGCTAAAAGCTCATCTCAATTGTCTCCAACTCAACAACATGCATGGCCGAAGGCCGCGGCGATGCCGTGGGAACGATTTCACGCACTCATGCCCTCCCATCCCCCCTAAGGGCTCATCTTTATAATGCAATGTTTGGCCGTTTGATCCTGGGAATGCGCGGCATTCGAAATGCCTTGTATTTACATAGGATTTGTCTGAAAAATATGCAAGAAACAGATACGATTACCGCGAGCCGTAATGAGATCCCCGCAGGCAGGTAATTGGACAAAATATATGGGCCAAGAAAGGATTGGGTTTCGGCCGAGGAAGGTGGCAATGTTTGTGTTATGAGTAAGGTTGCTGGGGTTGTTGAGTTAGCGGGATAGGAAAACTCGCCTGGATCTGGGGTTAGTAATGCGTTTCAGTAGCTGATATGCATTTTCAACGCCAAAAAATCATTTCAAGTGATTTTTTGTTTGAAAAACGGCATTAGTCCGATTGCTGCAACCCTAGCCTTTCCCAGGCTGTCAAGTAAACTGCGTTATCCTAACTACCCACAAGTTGCCGATTTTGCAATATTAGGCCGTGGAAGGCCACTCGATTGATTTTATTCAAGATTTCTGTGCGATATCTAGCGGCTTCATCAAAATTGGGCATCAAGTAAATCTGAGGTAATCACGACAACGATAGTCTTCGAATTTGACGTGACAGCGCTAACTTATGCCTTATCTCTTTATAAAATCATCCAAAAGTCGCCCCTTGCCCCTCCAAGCCTTCTTGTTTCCCTTCCCCTCCTTGTCCGTATTGTTTTGCAATTACGGAAATGGCGCAAAAATCACCGGACGCATGATGATTGTCGGTCCAATTTCCCAAAAAGCACAACAGGTCCGCCGCAAAAGTCGAAGCCATATGGTTCGGGGCGAGAGGGCTGCCAGAAGAGGCGCCCATTGGCTTCGGCACTACCGTAATCCGCGCCGCGGAGCGAGGGCCGGGGGCGGTGCCACGAAACCACACCCCAGTTCTCGACACTCAGTCCCCTCCGGTCCTTTTTAGGTATTCAATGGCGTCGTTAGCACCGTGAGGGCCCCTCCAGTATTCCGCGAATTCTCAGGCCCTTAATTCGGAATTCTGTAGTGCCTGCTTCATTAGGCCCTCGAATTAGCGCGGGTCGTTGGGTCTCCAGGGGGTCTGGTCGCTTTAATGGGCTTATCAAGTCGGTGATCTGCTTGCAGTTGATTGTAGCATAGACGAACGGTCTTTGTGCCTGCCTAGGTACCCTTCTCCACCCAATACTGGTCCAGTCCGAAGCCTCTAAAAACAGGGAATCCTCATCTAAAAGTCCACGTTTCTCATAATTGTTTCATGCGGTTGCGCGGGTCATGAATACGCAATCATTTTCGAAAAAAGTCTCCCCTCGTCCTCGCTTTGTAAGGCGACCCAAAGAATTGGGAAGCAGCCAGCACGATGAATAATTTGTAAAAAAATAAAAATGATTATTAATAATTAACTGCAACCGCTTGTTAAATATTTAATGTCAATTGTTTTCGCTTGCAGCGCGTTGAATGCCCCGTTGAGTTGGCATCATTGAGTCCGCCAACGAAAACCACAACGCGGTGGCGGTGGCGGCGAGTTCGGCCGCTGCCGCCGCGGCCCCTTACTGGCTGCCGGCTTCCATGAATTCGTCACAGAGGATCTACCCCGGCTTGAATTCGATGGGCTCCAATGATCGATACTCGCCGACGCCTTATCGGCAGAGAATGCAACAGGTACGATATTGTTTTAGGTTCGGCTGTGGCCAAGTTAGAATTTTGTCTGCGGGAATTTTTACGTTCCGCGCTTAGACTGAGTTTTATGGTCAAAAATAAGGCGGACTTATTGTACAACACTTCTGCATGTTGATTTTTCAAAATTCCTTTACTAAAACTAGTCAACGCTACTTTTTTCAGACGAATTCAATATTCGGAGCCCTGGATGATCCCTTCTTTCAAACGCGCGTTGCTCAAGCGGCCCAGGCCCAATTGGCCGAAATCGATGTGAAAAATGTAAATATGAACACGAACATGTTTTCGTAAGTACTTTTAGTAATTTGTGAAATTGCTCCAGATTTTAAGTCCTGACATTTGTAAATTCCGTTAATTGAAATTGTCATACTGTAAGAGTAAAAGTTCTATGGACAAAAAAGATTTTTTACTCATATTTATTGTAGTCGTTGAGAGATTTTAGGGCTAGTTAGGGAGCTTTGTAAAAATCTTGGTGAAGGGTTTTCAAAAATAGAACTTTTTTGGTTTAGATCAGTCAAATCCTCCGCCTACGATGATATGTTAATGCAGGCTACAAATTTCAGCTACCAAGGTCAGAATCTCCTCAATTCCTCGAACCACGACCTGGTGGACAACTCTTCGCTCGGAGTCAACTCTTCCAACGCGTCCACGAATCTCTTGGACACCCAGTCTCAAGGTGGGAATGACGCCATGAGTCCGCTGCAACAAGTGATGGCAATGCAACATCATTACGGCCCTGGTGGCAGTGGCACCTTCTCTCCGTATCACCAACTGCCTCAGGCAAGCGTGGCGAATGTGGCAGCGGCCTTTGGCCAACATCATGGAGGTCCCATGAATATTATGAATAACACAAATTTCGTGGGGAATCCCTTAAATGGAGTGCCGAACAACTCGTTATTGCCGAGGTATTCGCTGTCGCATGCAGGTAAGAGATGGGTTATTTTCGATTAAAAGGCAGACTTTCTTGCAGTCCCTGAAATCGACACTGATCCGAGGGAATTGGAACGGTTCGCAGAGCATTTTAAACAGCGGAGGATCAAGTTGGGGGTGACTCAAGCAGATGTGGGAAAAGCCTTGGCCCATCTGAAAATGCCTGGAGTTGGATCGTTGAGTCAATCGACGATATGCAGATTTGAGAGTTTGACGTTGTCGCACAATAATATGGTCGCATTGAAACCGATATTGCAGACGTGGCTGGAAAAGGTAAGAGTTTTTTCACAAATGGCTGAAATTTTGAGCTTTTTACTTTGAGATTAGTCATCCAAAATACCTAAAGTTTACCTTCTCCGTGAAGATCATCCTTCAAATGTTTTTTCAGCTTCCAAAAATTTAGTAATTCTGACGCTTTAATATCTAGAATAATATCGACCAGCTGCCAATATTTCCATTTTTTATTCAGATTTGCTTCCCATTTCCATTTTCTTTTCGAATTTTTTGTCCGTTAACTGACATTATTCCTCTCCCATTATTGATTGGGCCGTTTTCTGCGGCCCTACGGCGCTGTGGATGCCCTCGAGGCACTGGTTGCGTTCTCGACTTTTTCGGAGAGGAAAGTGGAGGTTTCCGTGTGGCGGTTGGTTGATTAAATATTAACAAGTTTAGAGGGGCCTATTCGTGTTGTCCGCAGCGAAAAACAGAGCCCGATTTTCACTTTATGCCCCAAGGGGAAATGAGAATCGAGAGTGGAAAAGAGCTCTTCGAAAGGGTCGTATAATTATTAGCAACATCATCGAAGGGGATACTGTAATTTTATATCATTTTAGTCTAGTCGATAAGCCAATTTTTGCTCTGTATTTTAGAGTTTCTGTCCCAAAATTTTTTGGCATTTCCCACAAGGAGCTGATGATTAACTTCTTATTTTAAATCCCTGGGGAATGCCGTAAATTTATGATCATTTATGGGGAAAAGCTTCGGAAACAATCTTGCACCGTGCAGACAAAAAATCAGCTGCCATGCTTACGGTAGTTTATAAGTCATGGCCGGAGGCATAATCTATAGTGCTCTCACACCCACGATAGTTCATTCTGGGATATTTTAATCTTATCTGCACTGTACGTTCCAGGACATTTTTTATTCTGCACAGTGCAGTAAGAATTTTACAATTCTACAGATTTTTTTTGAAAAAAGACTAAATATTATAGTAATCAAAAAAAAAAGATTAAAAGCAGGCACTAATCAGGGAAATAAAAGCGAAAAAAAATTAAAATCCAACACATAGGGGCACAAATCGCCAAAATTGCAATAAATTTTCATTTTCAGGCCGAGGATGCGATCAAAAACAAGACCACGACCCCGGATGTGATGGGAATCCTCCCCAACTCGGATAAGAAACGAAAACGAACGTCGATAGCAGCCCCCGAGAAGCGCCTGCTCGAAGATTACTTCCGCCAACAGCCCAGGCCAACCGGAGATCGGATCAGCGCCATTGCCGAGAAATTGGATCTGAAAAAGAACGTGGTGCGCGTGTGGTTCTGCAATCAGCGTCAGAAACAGAAACGGTAGGCACCCGGCCCCACAAACAACTGATTGCAGCCAATTCCGTTGCAGCAATCAACTAGCCACGAACGGGATCGGGGGCTCAATCAACTGTCAGAACGAGTCCAAATACACGCCCAATCTGGTGGATCTGAAGTCCGGTCTGTTGCCCGAGGAATTCCTCCAGTCCGTGCATTCGGGGAACCTCGAGAACATGAACAACAACGGCCTCTGACCTCAGTTTCGGACTATTTGTGTATCAGATTAAGTATTATACTATAATATAAAGTTGTTTTATGTCTTCAAATTGATCGTGTGATGTATTTGAGAAGCCGATTTGTAAGGTTAATGAAATTGCTGGAATTTCCGAAAAGATAAGCAACTTCTTGGCGGACGACATATAAAAGTATTTTGAACACGGTTTCTATCCATTGGTTCCGCTGAACCCCTAGTATGTAAATATGTAATAAATATAATATATAAGCTCAACTCTTCAAGTTAACGGTGCAGTATAAATAATTGCTAAAAACCTGTGGTATTTATGGGTCGCGCGGAGGCCTCGTCATCCAAGAAGGTTACAAAATCTGGATGAGGCTTTTGGCGTAAGTTTCAAACATCTTTTCAATTTCTTCTGATTCTAATTTGCTTTTTTAGTACTACTGTAAAAATAGATTTTCTTTAAAATTTGCTTTACGAATAGTGTTTCGATAAGTAATCAAAAATGCTGATTACAAAACTCATGTCTATTTTGACACACTTCATTGTCGCACCTCATAAACTTTTATTTCGAAAATTTTTTAGCCTTATTTTTCACATGAGCTACGCATTTTGTTCTTGATCACTTCTATCCATCTAAAAATCACTCCCTTTGATACCTAATATTATGAGAAATCTCTTCCTTTCGGCGATGACCAAAACTTTTTTTTATTTGACACTTACTTTTTGGAGTGTTTGTTTAAGTTGGCTTATGAATGGATCTGAATTTAAAACAAATACAAATAGCTCTGCGAAGCGAAAGGGCTTCACTATTTGAGCATGGTCATCGCTATGATCCGCTCTCTCTTTTTTTTTGATGGAAAAAATATTGGAATAGCGGGGATTAGGCTTTAGTGAGGGAAATCGTTTTATTCTTGATATTGATGGATAACAATTCGCGCTTTGCACACATCGTATACATGCATATGCTCTGCAAAACACCTAGTCCCCATCTTTGGCCAGACTCAAGTCCGTGGGAACGGAAAGGCCATCCTTGAAGTCAAAGGCAACTTCCCGAAAGCCGATACTTTCATGTTGTTGGAGGGAAAAGCGATGAGTAATGTGCGGGGTGTGGTTGATAGCGCTTATCAACGGGTTGGCGCTTGTTTCAACCCTATTTTCTCGAGTTTCCAAATTTTTATTTTCGAAAATCGGAGACATTTTTGGTTGTGATTCAGATTAATTTTGGTGTTATACTAGAGGAATATAGCGAGTTTTTGGTTGAAAATTGAAGGAAAATAGAACTATGTCTTAATGTATGGGTCAAAATGCGGGTTACTACCTATAATTCACCGAGCGATTTTTTCACCAGATGGTAGGCCAATTGCATTGCAAAATTGTTTGAAATTTATGGTAATCTTTCAAAGGACCCTAAAGAATCTCGGGGGTAAAATATGAAAAAAATTTTACTATTGGTCAAAGATCTTGTTAGTTCGCCCTATAAAATCTATTTATTACTCTACAATAATTCGTTCAAAAATCGGATAATCTGACCCAAATTTCGCCTATTATCTCCGCTATAAACTAATGTAACCCATCCTCAAATATATATGTGATCCCATAAATAATCCGTCATTTCATTTCCTGATTCTTACCTGCGAAACTTTTTCCGCCTCCTCTGAAGAGGGCCCTATTGTGACCGGCGAACTTGAGGCGGCGGTTTGGTTGAGGTCGCGCATTGTATGGGGTTTTTCTGGGTGGAAATGGAATCGGAATGCACATGGCGAAGGTATATTCGAGGGTCGGATCCGCTCTTTTAAACTCTCTGATCGAAATTCAATTCGGTTTGTTTTGAGGTGGTTTGGGTAGACGGGATGGAAACGAGGGAGGTCGGTGAACCGAGCAGGTCACTAAGTTTATTATTTTCTCGGGATTCTAATGAGATGGGGTTTGTTGACGGTGTAAGGTTGAGTGGACGGGATATTGAGGTTGTTATTCAAGGTGGAATTGATGACTCAATTCTTGGCAGAGACGGGTAAAGCCAACGCATTGAGCAGGTTTGAATCTCCAAACCTGAGTTGTACTATTATTATTATCGTAGTTCTTACTGTTAGCTGGTTTTTTGTGGAGGCAGTTGTTAGATATGGTAGTTGGGAGTGTTGAGACTTGAGCCAGAACTCACGAAATAGCATTACCAAAAATTAACAGCTAAAGATATACGTTTTCAGCTAAACCCGACTCCTTCACAGATCTTTGAAGATGAGAGATCGTTGATTGCTTGGAGAGATGATTTGTTCAAAGGTAGTTTTTTCTCAATATCGTTTGCAAAACATCTTCCTTCTTCGCTTTACCCTCGTATTCAATCTTTGATGGAAAATATTTTTGCATTCGATAAGAAGCTCCTTTATTGGATAATTTCATTTTTACACTGCCATCTCGACCAATGGTTGATCTCGTTTTACGATGGGTATATTATTTATAAGGCTTTATTTTGACATCTTTTATTTAGGTTTCTATTCGTCTTCTTTCGTTTTTGTCCTACTTTTTAAATTTTGTAAAAAGTGAATGTTTCAACGATTGAATTTTAAAAAAATTTGCTTTTTCCTGATTCAACAGGTTAAAAAAGGTCTTATAAAAGTAGAAGCCGCTAAAAATTGCTGTCTCCCCACCTTAATGACCCTCCTATAGTATAATACTTTATCCATTGCCTAGCAATGGCGCTTCCTCGACCTCCAGTTTGCGACGCGCCGGTCGAAACCTGGCCCCAAATTTATGTATTTTATATTTTGGCGCAGCCGAATTGTAAGCTCACCATGGTATCCGGGATTACGGAGCGCGTTTCCCGGCAGTCTTCCTTTTCTTCGGTTTCTAGGCGCCTTGATTTTCGACGCATTGCCGGTTGCTTAGCGCCCGCCGGGGGTCTTTTTTCTTGGCCCACTTTTTCCCATTCATGGCCAGGTGCCATTCTGGGGACACGTTTGGGATTGTTAGTGGGGTGACATTAATCGAATTAGGTGAGGATCTGTGGGGGTGTTGATGGTGTTATGGGGAAGGGAATCGAGATGATAGAAAAGCCGGAGGTTAATCTGGAGCTTTCCAAAATTGGAAGGGAAGAAAAACTAGGGAGTTGTTGCAGTTTGGAGGATTAAGAAATAGTTGTTTTGATAATTTGGAAGTAAGACTTTAGGGTGAGAAAGCCTTTTCAGGATATTATTATGTCATTGACGAGCTAATCTTTTCTTGTGACCCCTAAGGTTACTTATAAAATAAGTTTAAGTCCCTGCATGCCTTTGCTCTATCCTCTATATTCCAAAACCCCTAAATTCAACCTTTAGGCAATATTCTAAAGATCTGTTTATAACATTTTGAAAGCTCTCTTTCGCAGTCTGAAAAACACAGTCAGCACTCGAGTACATTACAAATAGGTGGACTCCCGAAGTGTATTTTACACCTGTCCTTAATATAAAATGTCACGAGACTTTTGAAATGTGAATTAAAATTTTTTCGAGGAAAATAATCAGTATTCTACTACTACTACCACCAACTACAACCATGGGAAATATTCAAAGCCACTCTACGACGATGTTCGAACGTAACTGTTGTCATCGTTGCTATTAATGGGCTAGTATCCTGCTGTATTATGCTACCCGTCCCTGTCGCCTGGCCGAGCCGTGGTTTCAGATGGTTTTGCGTTGGATTCAGAGTTCGTAGCACCATGTGAAGCTGCTCTTGGCCCAGGCGGACTAATCGTATTATCCGAGCGAAGTAATCCGGCTTGACATTGGTATGAATAAACATGAGAAAAAGAGAAGAAGATATCACGATATTACACTTGGCAATAAATTCGCGTTGGAAAATTTCGTACATCTTTGTGAGGGAAGGTGTAATAACTGAGAAGATGTTTGATAGGCAATGTAAACTACGCAGTCAAAGTATGGCTTCAGGAGTGTTATGCAGGTTGTCTTTTTAACTTCTCAAAATCATTATTCGTAATGGTGATTTGTTCCTCGCTTTCTGAGCTTTTCATGTCCAAATGGCGCTAGAAATAAACACCTTGTAACGGTCGGCCATTTTCTCTGCAAAGTAATTGATTACGTCCTCCTGCTGCATGTGTGTTACCTTATTAGACATTCAATTCCACTGGGCCGGAAGCCCAGCGCAGGCTTTGACAATCTTATTAGCGCCAGAACTTTTGCCTCCGGCAGAGAACAATATCATTGAGGATGGGGGCAAGGTAGGCGATTCGCTTTATTATGGACAAAAACTTGCTTCCTGAGGATGCTTTGCCGCGGATTTTTCGATGAAATTTTAGTAGCGGAGAAAAATATATTTCAAAGATTCAAATGCAACTTTTGGCAAAATATGACGCTGATGTAAAGGTAGATTATATCACTAAAGAATTGTCATTTAGGCTCTACTTTTACAGCCGATTTCATCACGAGTCGAACGAGATTTTTGTCCATTTTTCTTTTTTCAGCTGGAAATGCCGAACTTTCCTCACTCTCTTATTCAGTTTTTAATCATTAATGTAATGACAACACCGATGACCTGGTTCATTTCTTTCTCACCAAAAATCTTAATAATATCCGTTAAAAGTCCTTTGCCTTCCCCAATCCGCGGATTTAGGTAGAGGAAATGTGCCGACTTTTCCGCGGATTATCTCAACTGTATTTGCTGTTAGTTCGGACCCGACTTACTCTGTTTTTTGGCACTCTTCTATTTCACTTTTGCGCTGATATACGCATGTAAGGGAGACGCTACTGTATTGAATTTATAAACAATATTGTCTTGTCATCAGACATGGATTGTCCTTTCCTAGAACCGCACCATAGAGACGGCCGAGACAATGGCCGCGAAAATGGACGACGGCGACTTAACTAGCCGGGCGTGGTTGGAAAATGGGAGTTTTGGGAGATTGCTAAGGAAGTTTGGGGAGTGTTTAAATTTATTAATTTCAAGAGCTGTGCTTTTTGTTTTAGGTTATTTTCGTTGCTTTTTTGTGAAGAAAAAGCTTCTAAAATACGAAGAGGCAAGAAATAA